ATCCTCTTAAAGGGAGGCTCAACCCACCATGGGGTGTGCGTATTGGGAACTTGTCTGTTTTTTGGTCAGCTATTCAAATTTTACATCTCAGCAAAAAATAAAGCAAATCCATCACTTAATGATAACTTTTAGTACATTTAAATGCAATGGTACTGGGATAGGCTCCAGTCCCCCCGCGACCCCATTTGGGAATAAGCGGTAATGATAATGGATGGATGGACGGTTCAGAAAATGAATTGATGGATGGTACATTTTTTATTTTTCTATACAAGATACTTCAGTAGGTGGGCTGAGGTTCACAGACAGTGTTTACAGGTATTTGTTCGAATTTGTTATTCTAACAATATATTTAAATGAGGGTGCAATTAATTGTTTATCCCAAAGAACTACTTTGATTAACTGGAGGAAATCATCATTTTTCCACAAGTATTTACATATTTGCTATGGCTGTAATAAATGTAAGATCTGGTTAATAAATGAGATCAAATTGTCATTTTTACTATTTTTGCAACTAAATATCTATTCGTATCCATATGTCTGAATACCATTATCTCAGTGTGGCTTATGAGTATTCAAATATTTGTGTTTTTATGGGTATTTCTGTCTAGCTGGCTTTTATCCTTCGGGGTGATTCATAAACTGTAGCGGATCAAGGTCAGAGCACCTATTACTGTCTCTTCTGCACAGAGACGGGAATGAAGAGGATTGGTGGATTGGATATACAATATGTAGCAGCTGATGAAATAGTTCTAAAAATAATGTTGTTGGTTGACCTCTCTATTATCTGTCTCTCAAAAATGCTCAATATGTTTGGGTTTGAAGATAACTTACTTCATGGTTAAACAACCATTAACAAAATCAAGAGCCTCTAAATGAGGCACCGCCCCACTTTACTCTTCTTCCTGGCAACACAGCATGGAAACCAGGTGAATATGAAATCACGCATTCATGCATGGACACAGGCTGAGTGAAAACGAGAAAAACAAAAAGCAGAGCAGGTGTAATGAAGGCAGAGCAACTGGGAAACATTACGGTGACATATGAATAATGAAGTGTCGCATCTGAAAGGAATGGGCGTCTTGTGGGGAATGGGGTTGGACGGATTGCTGACGTTATCGGACGGCGGCTGTCGGCTGGTCTTTGCCAGGGCCGGGCTTGTAGGCGGGCCGCCTGATTGACTGGCTGTCTGAGTGGGAGACTGCTGAGTGTGAATGATCTGTCACCTAGACGGAACTGAGGCAAGAGCACTGTACTCATGGGATGATGGGCGATAAATGAATGTGGGGGGGGGGCGCCTCAGGGCTGAGGGGGATTGACAGGCAGCCGCATTGGTGGAATTTTTGTGTGTACACGTGCCTTTGAAGTTTAGACGTTTGGGAAAGAAACGGAAAAAAAGTGTTTAAGAAAATGATAAATTATCACATAAATATAATTTTACTTCATCTCATGCCATACTGTATATTATATCTGTTTTATAAACGTAAAACTTTACAATGATGTAACATAAGAGGAACGTTGGTTGTTATCTGATGACAGACACAAAAGCAGACAGAGGGCGAGATTGTCTCTGTGTTTACACTTTGTTCCTTTTTAAATGTCCCTAAGACATCTGAATATTTCTGTTAGGCACATACATAACAGCCATTCACTGTAATGCAATCTTTCAGGTTCATCTCATAGTATTTGCAGTGCTCTCTTGGTTCTTTTTTACTCCTGGAAAGTGAGTCAGTCCATTGACCATGAATGGATAGGTAAGACAGGAGAATATTTGTTACCTTGTTCATGCGATTAAATAATTATTTTTTGTTGTCTCTGCTATTCATTTCCCTGTAGAAAACAGGGAAATGAAATTATATCAAGATTTCTCTTTATTGCTTCCAAACTACAAATCCTGCTTAGGTAAGTGTTAGTTCTTTAAGTGTCGTTTAAACCACTGTGTGACATGGGCAAAGTTCACCTGTTGTGGGCTGTCTGTGAGGCTACACAGGGATTGCCATTCTCCAGAGTGACACACAATCTTGTCACTCAGGCTCCAGGAGGAGGTACTAGGATCACGTTTGTCAGGTGAGCAGGCAGGTGCAGCTCCAAGAACACAGCCGGGAACAGAGAAAATGTGCGTGTTTGGGTATAAAGCAGGGCTGAGCTTTGAGGGACTTTTCAGGGTGTGTGCGCGTTTGTTTGTGTGTCACAAAAGCTAGTCACACACGAACTTAGGAAAACTGGGAGGGCAGGATTTATTGTGATACCGAGCAAGTTGTTCTCTCTCTGTGTTTTCGATTCTCTTACTCTTTGGACTTTGGATTTTTAAAACTCAAAGAAAGAACGCAAGGTAATGCTTACTTTGAACAAACTCCCATTTCTCAGAATAGTAGGTATGACACATCTTATTGTCCAATTATTTAACGGCACACAAGTGTGAGCCACTGGATCGTTGCCCTGTGGTGATATTCCTTCAGAAAAAAACTGTGGTGTCAGCTGCGTTCTTACTGCTCTCTCATTAAGTTTTATGTCTGGTATAAAGCGGTTTGGCATGAGGGCCAGATTGTGCTCTCAGGTAACCATGACCACACTGTGTTTCCATAGGTACTAGCCCTTTTGCCCCAGTCTTGCAGTGTTATTTGTTTTTCCCAGGAGAGACGACGGCCAAACTTGGGTCGAAATGCTCTTTACTGAGCGGTTGTTTGGCGGTTGGACCCGTTTACTCTCTTGATCATGCTCAAGCTTTTGCTCTTTCTTGCCTCATGTCATCACCCAGTTAGCCGGCTGAAGGTAGAGACCTGTCATTGTCATAGTGGAGAACGTTTTCCTTCATGCCCGTATTACTGTGGAGCCTGGAGCTTTCTCTCTTGTCTTGGATTTCTTCCACTGTTGTGCAGAGACGGTGGAAAAGCCTGCAGTGTGCCACCTGGGGCAGACAGCAGAACGGGACTCATTACTGAGTGAATTTCTCCTTCCAGTGCCCGGAGCCCATCTTAAAAATTCTAATTAGATGTGCCGGGACTCTTGTCAGTGCTCCGTGCAATTTTTAGAGTTGGTGAGACACAGTGGAATCCACACAAAATTCGGAGCTGTGTTATGGTGGTCTGCAGTTCTATTCTAATCAGCTTAGGACGAACAGCTACGAGCTGCCTTCTACCGCTGAGTCCACTCTTCAATAATTGAATTATTGAAGAGTGGATTCATAGCACCCAAACGTGGGCAAGCGCTTTGCTCCAACACTCCTTAACTTGAAATAATATGCTGCTCATTTCCTTTCCAGGATATCAAACATGTTTTAGCTAAAGCTAGCTGAATGTTCCCTGCTATATTTCCTCATAAAAGCTTTGAAACGCCTAACCTGTTTAATGGTCAGAAAAGCGATCGGAAAAAAATCTAATCAAATGCACAGTGTCCTCTTATTCTGACCAGATAGAATAAATATGTTTTCAAATGCATGTAATCCCATTAGTTTGACTATAATTTTTAAAACACAAGGATTATCAAACCCCATTAAAGATGCTCCATCTTACTCCAAGAAAAAAGTGTTTGTGCTGTGAATTTGGGTGTAAACGCATGCTCAATGGTCCCCATATAGAAAGTTAGTTGCTTAGTCACACAGTCCATCTTGTTTTGCAGACTCAATTTTGCATAGGAGCTGTTACAAGGATTATAGTTTAACTGTATAACCCACTGGAGCTATAACTATAATTTGGGTCAAATCATAAAGTAACTATGCTGATTCACTATGCCATTTCAAATTTTGCAGCAAAAACTTTTAAGACCAACTCACTGTTTGGAAAGTCTTTGTTAAAAACTACAGTACATTTTGAAGATGCAAATATGTTTCTAAAATCCTAGCTTTAAAAAAAGACAGACATTTTCATGTTTTTTATTTAGCATATGCAACTTAAATATCAGATGTCAAGATAAAACTCAAATACACTAAAGGCAGCCATTTTTACAGTTTTTTTCACTTAGACCCTGTTTGAACCTGACATTCACGCAGGCAATAAGGGATCTGAACAAGAGTGAACATTTCTAACTGGGTTAACCTATATCTGGTTCAAAAGATATATGGATCTAATTTCCTCAAATTAGCTGATGAACGCTCAATCCACATGACACACACAAGGTTTCAATCAAAGGAAGACATAATTAAAAGGTTTAATTGTAGTTGTAAGCTTTTAGTAAAAATATTCAGCGACCTAAAACAAACTTTTATTACGATTCAAACATTGACTCGCTATAACAAGTAGGTTTTTATAAAACTGTCATTATAAGTGAGCTGTGTAACCTGCAACAAAAGATTCTCCCGACAGAAAAAGTTATGTTCTGTGTTCGATTAATGTACTCCAGAAAGGCAAAAAAACTATCCACCCTGAAACCCCGTTTGTTTTTGTGTGTATTTCAGTACTTTTGGTTGAGCAGATGAGCCTTGTTATTACTTTTGTGTCCGCAGTTAAAGCATGTTGTTATACGTGGCCAAAACCTGTTCTGAATGTGGGCTCAAAGACTTAATCACAGTCCATCCTTAATCTGTCTTTAGGGTGTTCACCTGTCCCTTTGCAAAGTAGATCATGTTAGTGCTAGCCATAAACAGTTAATCTGGCTCCTTTTAGAGGGAACACAATATACCGGATCAAAGTATAATAAATGCATATGAGATGTAAGCCCCTCTTTTTCTGATGACGAATATTAAATGGAAAAAAGGTTCACCAAAAGGACGCTATTATAATTTGGGTAGTTTCTCTTTCTGTCCCCCTCACCTACGCGTAAGCACACATCTATTTACAGAGCAGATATGATGCGCTCAGTCAGAAACACACCACAGAGAGTGAGAGAAAACAATATGCATCCTGCAGCGCTCTGCAGGTCTGGTGCTACAGAGCCTCTCCTCTTCTCTGCTCTGAGGGCGACACCCTCAAACACACCGCACTCAAGGTCACTCACCAACACTCCTCTCACTGCACACTCCCGCAGTATGATGGCAGGATTATTTTTGGGATGTGCTTTGCAGCTAGATGAATCTTTTCAAAGCCATCAATGACTTATGTTGCTTTTCTTTTATCGATTCCTTCTCCTCTGCAGATTTGGCCGCCTCCTCTCTGCAGTACCCGTGTGGTTCAGTGGATTATCTGTGTTCTCCACGGCTGGTGAAGAAAGGCCCGACCCCTAGACCATGTCACGACCGGCCGGCCATCAAACCCCGGCCCCAGCCCTCCGCCTCGCCCAGACCGCCGATCGCGCAGAAGCCTCAAGGTAAAACGCTGAACCCAGCGTGGCCCTTTTGACACTGCTGCCGTCAGTGTAATTGAAAGGTGCAGCAGGGCCAGACCCCCTGCTATTCAGCTGTCATTGATTCTGATCTGACAAACGCTTTTCTAGAACGTGGTAGGTGTCAGCTGTCTGGCCTCACTCTGCCACTCACACTGGTTTGTAGGTCACCTCCGCACGAGCAGCTGGTGTAAAGGAGGCCAGTGGCTCCCAAGTGCTTGTTGTTTGGACTCCATTTGAAGAATGCTAAATGTGAAGAACATGCGCCGCGTTCAGGGAGTTAGCCCAGTGGTCTGCAAGGACTTTACACGACAGACTCGACCCACATAATCAAAAGTGTTTACGAAAAATCAAAGCTGTCTGTTGAAGTAGTCCCTTTTAATCACGATTATTGGATCAGATTCAGGATTTGAAGTCATGCAAATGGTGGCTAATTACAGAGATATGTGTTTTTGGAAATCACAGGGCCTCTGTTAGACCTCAAGAGTTGCTTTGTTATTTCAAGAAATTCCCTCTTGGGATGTAAGATGGTGATGGTAAGCAGCAAATTCCAGCATGTTGGGTCAAATGAGTCACTGGCTGAAGCCAGTTATTTTTAGCACATTATTCTTTTAAATAGCATGCAGTAAGAAAAAAATACACTACAATCATTTTTCAGTGCCATTCATGAAGATTAAAGCAGGAAGTGAATAACAGGTTTGTTCTGTTTTTCCCATATTCCACTCCTCCACCCAGGTGTGTTTAATTCGTTGTACTGAAAAGGGATTTAATTTAATCTCAACAGGTAAATATGCAGAAATGACAAATGTTTATCCCTACAAAAAACCTTAAACAAAATGAAAAGACATATATAAAAAAATATATAATTGTTATATTGTTATAGATATATATATAACAATATAGATATAGTTTTATCTAACAATACTATAATTGTTATATCTGTTAAAAAGGTCTGAAATCTAAAAATAGATGGTCGTGATATTTTTTAATAAAATGACCTACAGTATTTTAGTTTTATTTAGCATTATTATTAAAGTGGTGGTGAATTTATAGACTCACATGATAGTCTGATAAAAATCCAGTTTAGATAATGTTTCTAAACCCTGCGAAAATCTTCCTGGAAAACAGAAATGTCATTAACACAGTAGTATCATTTTGCGTGTAAAGGACCAGTGTTCTTGTGTCTCGTTTTTTTTTTTTATCATACACTCGCAAGAGAGGTAGAGGAAGTGTTACATGTCACCATGTTTCCTGCTTTCACACAAATGAATTTCCTAAAACTAAATATATGCAAATGTACAGACAATGTGAGGGCATTCATGGGTTTTAGCTGTGCCAGCATGGATGAGTGCTGTGTTGCTTTTTAAAGATGGTGCTGTTTGTGTTTTGTTCAGTTTTTTTCTCGTTTATGATTTATCTGGAAGTGTGGTGGCTTACGCACATGCTGGTCTCAGCATCCTGTTCTGTAATAAGGAAGTTGGCTGGTTGCTGACGCTCACGGTCGAGCTCGCTCTGCTCGGCAGCTCCGAGCCTCTTTTTATATTTCGTTCTTTTTACAAGGAACTTTTGTGTCGTAGTTCTCAGCGATGGAGGTTTTTTGTCTTGGATTTCTTCGTGTTACCTGATTGGATTGTTTTTTGTTGGAGTCACCACTCTTATGCGTCTCTCCTGCTCTCTGCTGTTCTTGCTTTGTCTTGATTGGTGCATCTGCAGTGCCCCCTAAACCTGCACACCTGCTCGCCCTCGGGCAAGATAAGAAACCTAAGAGGATCCCCCCAGCACCCTCCAGACCCCTACCGGCACCCCCTCCTCCGCCCAAACCAAAGCCCTGCTTAGCTGCTCCTGGCCTGGGACCACAGCCTCAAAGAGAGGCCCAAAAAGTTGGGCAGCTCATTGAGAGATTTGAAAACTCAAGGTAAGTCGTAACGAGAAAATTATATTTGGAGGCTAATTTGGTCAATTTGTCATGTTGTAGAATCTGCCAGTAGATTGATAGTAAAATGTGTTTAATTTGAGCGTTTTGGCTTAGAAAAAAAACCTCTCTTCTCCCCAGTGTCCAGCACCCTGTTCAAAGCTTGAACTCCTCTTTGGTCATGATTTATAATGCGCTGTTTGTCCTCTCAGGGTCCCCATCCTGGGGGTGCTCCCACGGTCACAGCTGCACCTGTGCCTGACAATGGACACTGCCTCTGACCCCCCCCTCCCCTGCGGCCCGGACACCGCGGCACAGGTTGCAGAGGACCCTTCTGTGCTGGACAAGCTTGCACTGGGCACCTGCGCGCAGACCGATGAGGCCCCTGAGCTGTCCCGCCTGGCCTCCATGCACATCGACGAGGCCGTGCCGGACAGCTGCGCGGAGGACGGCGTCGCGCGCAGGGTGGGCTGCCTGGACGAGGAGGGCTCCTCGGACAAGCTCCTGGACAATCCCGACTCCTCGGAGCAGAACGGGAAGATCCCCAATCGGGACAGCGGCATCGACAGCCCCTCGTGTGCGGTGGAAGGGGAGGTGTTCCCCAACGAGGACGCCATCGACGAGGAGGATCATTACGACAGCGTCACCGAAACGGAGAGCGTGTCCTGCTGCGTAACCCTGGACAACAAGCGGGACTCGACACAGGACGAGGACAGTGACTTAGACGAAGGCAGCAGCGGGGAGATACACTCTCTGACGGACACGCAAACGGCCTATGTGACAGACACACACTCAGAGGCACACAAAGTGAGTACCTCGGCCGGTCATTCCCATAAACCTGATCAGCCGTAATCTCAAGCCTGGCTCTGTACAACCATCACTGCTTAATTTTCCACATGGCGCGGTAATTTTCTATCATCCTCGTACTGCAAGTCAGAGAGCTTAATCATAGGCTGCCTTTCATGTAATGGAAAAAGTAGCATGTGTCTATTATTATCTCAGCTTGGGTGAGCAGGTTCAAAGAATACTTTTGAGTGCAACATAAGATGCTATTATAGCCTCAGTTTAGCGGTCACAAGTGACTGACTGGTATCTAAAAGCGGCTTTAACCATACATAAAAGGCCGAATACCTGCCCAGAAGCTGAAACTGAAGCCGCCGCATATTGCTCGATGAGAGTCCACAGACTAAAGTCTTCCCACAGCTGAGATAAGATTTCAGCTTTGCTATTGATTGTAAACAACACTCATCCCACAGACCAACACAAACTTTTCATTTTCAAGCAGGCTGAACCTCATCTACAGTCAGTAGAAAGACAAAATGACAGTGTCCAATAAGAGGAGCTTTTAAATACCCAAAAAAGCAACTGTCTACATAACTAGACTACATAACCTGCTCTTACAGCTGTTTGGAGAATATTCTTCCTCAGATGTTTTCATTGCTGTGAAAAACCCATCAGTCTCAAGCAAGCGGTCACATGAATGCATCAACATGCAGCCGTCTGTCCACACCCTCTTGTGTTTTAGGGGAAAGGTATCTGCTCTTCGGCTTCCTGATCCTAACACTGCTGCGCAGAGGAAGGCTGTGTTGTGATATGTGTGTGTCTTGTGGGTCTTTCTGTGTAAGTGTGAGTCTCATGCTGCAGCTGACATGTTGATGGCTGTATAATGACAGCCTTGTCACAGAGGATGTGGCTTTTTCAGTAATGTACGCTGCAGGAGGCCAACCAAAAACAAGTTCTGCTGACTGCCGACTGGAAACCACCTCGGAAAGATAGAATATTTTAATTTACAGGATTATTTTCAGGATTATAATAGATGATTATCCCTTTTTACTCCCTAAATGTCCTCCCCTGAAAGTGTCTAAATAGCTGCGTAGAAAAATGTGGATGTTTGTTCCAGTTCCACTGTGTTTACATTGCACGGGATACAACTTCCTTTAGTGGAGAAAAAAGCAAACCCTCCTAACTGATGATGGGGAAATTTGGTCAAACGTCCAGGTTGGGCTGATAGGTCAAATTTCATTTTAGAGAAACTAAGTGATGAAACACATGATTGTGTGTGTGTATGGAAGACAGCCTTTGTGAAATAAGTTCTAACTTTCATGACCTGAGTGCACAAGAATTCAGAAATACAGAGATTACCTTATCAGTAACATAATTCCTAATGTTTACGCAAATATATTTCTGTGTAATCTGAGCTATAACAAGTCAAAAAGCGAGAAAAAGGAATAGCATTTCTTTATTTTCACCTCAATAGCATGTCAGACATTTTATAGGTTTAACAGGTTACTGCTAATATTGGACTTTAAAGCTGCTGAAGATGCTGTTAATGTAGTCTCAGGCTCAGGCATTTAGAATATTTGTTCCAGTCTAACAACCCTATCAGGCTTGTTTTCAGGACCCATTTCTCTCCGACTTTTTTCACAAACAAGGAAGCTTTTTTCACAAACAAAATTCCAAGAAATTGTTGCCAAAGGAAAAACTTTGCAGGGTTGGAGTGGTTGAGGTTTTTAGACTCACTTTACATGAGTTTACATGCTCCATATCCCATTTTAGGATTTTGCAATATGGAACAGGAAGCATTCCTATGAGTCTCATATTTTTCCCTGGAATTCAAACATTTGTTTTGTTAAATCTTTGCACAGCTGCAAACCAACATTTAGCATGTGTAGATATGCTTGTGTATTGATGCTGTTAGTCTTTGTGGCTGTGCACATATACATATGTGTGCATAAAGTCTTTTTTGGCATTAGCAAAGTTTCAGTGGGTTCTCATTAGATTTTTAAGTTATTCTATCTGTTGGCTGTTTTTAAGCATTTAACAACAGCTATGACCTGTTTTATGGGCTCCAAGTAAGCTTTCGCTCTCAGTTCAAGCTCATTTTGCAAGAGTCAGCTCATCTAATGTCATGCACAGTCATTCTCTAAGGCTGCACATGACACCTTTAAACTGGGAGACCTTTAAACAAGCAAGACTCTTGTCTATAGCAGATGGATAAAAGAAATAAATTATGTCAGAGATTTAATCACATTTAATAATGTAATGGTTAAATGACCTTTTTTCATTTATTGATGGCACTTTTAGTGCTTGATATTCCAGAGTCCAGGTTTTGCAGTGCTTTTATCTGTGTATCCAGTAACAGCAGCCATCTCCGATAACTGTTTCAAAAGTACCAGATGACAAACTAGATGCATGTTGGCAGTGATTCAAAAGTCTATTTTTGCAGCACTGCGCAAAATTGTGTATCCACTAAGTGCTCTCAGTTTTTCTGCTAAAATGTCAGCCCTCTCACAAGGTGTGCTGCCCCAAAACCTCTGGAGTGTGCTGTTGGTGTGTTGGCATGTCTGCCTTACACAAGGCACGCTTTTAAAAGAAATCCTGTTTTTCTTATTCCCCTTCCACCATACATGTTTTTGGTGGAGGTTCTACCAATTCTGACGCATACGAGACATATTTCTGTGAAGATGAAAGTCATTAAGTTAGTCAGTTCTTGTAGTAGGTTTATGCATAGTAGTAGGCCTTTTTATGAAGTTCCAGTTTTTTTTTTTTTGCTCCAATGAAGACAATCCTATTACACTTTATGGAAATGTGTGTCTTTTCTTGTTTGTTTGTTTTGTTTTTCCTTTTGAGCAAAAAACTGATGAGGGAAAGTGTCATAGTCAAACGTCACAATTCAGTGGATGCCTTTTAACGTGTTCTAAGGAACTATTGTCTATAAGCTGTTGGCTCTGGTTTCATGCTCAGTTGATTACAGTTTTGTGAAAATAAGAAGTTACAGATGAAAAGGAAGAGGGGTACCTTGTATGTGCTGCATTTTACGGCTACTCAAAGGGGATAATGTGCTGATGGAGAGCTAGTTCCAACATATATAACATAAGATTTATGGTTTTTTATACTAAATTAAGAACACTGACTTTACTATGATTTTTCAAAGAAGGGTTCTGACTTGAATACTTCTCCAGAGCTGACCATGGCAGCTTTACCACTTCTGTTATGTGGCCGAATAGGCCTCAATGTTTAGTTTTTGCTCTCATGCCTAAAATGTCATCTATCTTTTTGGTGCTTCTCTGTTTTCTGTAGTGCTCAGAGGCTCAAAAGCTCCTAAACATTGCCAAAGAGCTTCTCCAGACTGAAGAGGCCTATGTGAAAAGACTCAACCTCCTCGACCAGGTAACGTTCTGAACATGATGCGGTCTTTCATGTTTTTTTTTGTTGTGAATCGGTAGTATAGTAATGCATGTTCAGCCAAATATTTGTCACCGGAAACCTAAGTTTGAACCCGTGTCTCTTGTGAGGCTGGTATTATTTGTGTCTGTGTGCTCGAGTATCGTGCCCTATTCATGAGATAGCATCTGTAAAACTGTGAAACTGGCATTTTCACAGCCGTCTGTCTTTGCTGCTGAGGACTCAGCCCACATACTTTGGCTCAGTGTCGGACTGCCCGTGGGTAACATGCCCTCCCTGTGTTTGTACATTTTCCCACCTTCTGCTGGGTTGTATAATTAGAAAGCTTCCTTGACGAAGAGCTTAATTTTAATGACCCTGACTTGCTTCATATTCTACTGCACAAGTCAGAGGATACTATTTAATTCCATGTTAATGCCATGAGAGAGTAATCAAAGTAATGGAGCTAAAAACGCATCAACACTTACAATAAAACCTGTCACTTTTGTTTTTTTGTTTAAGTTTTGTTTAAGGTATTAAAAAAATTTCATTTAAATTATTCCGTACTTTTTTACAATGCTAAAGTCAAATTTCAGAGTCCTTGGTGATTTACAGAAACATTATCTACATTATTCCATAAATTAAATGAATGCAATAAATATCTGAAATGTATGCTCTGTAGAAATACAAGTATATATCTTGTTTGCTTAAAATCAAAGCAAAAGCCACATGTCAGGAGCATTCAGAGGTGATTTTTCTCTCTCTCTCTCTTTCCAGTCATGTGAATGACTCAGATAATGGGCTACTTGATCCAGCCACATCTAATTTTTACTTGCTGCTTTTGTAAATGGATCATAGTTACACTTTTTTTGTATCTGTAGTGTATGATTTTTGTGATGAGAATGCTGGTTGAGCTGGTTGAGTGGTTGAGCCTTCTTCCTCTTTGCTCAGTTCATGTGGTGGAGGAGATGAACTTCTGTCCTATCACAGAGCAGCTCTGGTTTATTTTCTACTGAGCTCAGAGCACCCTCGTAGTTTACTTCCTGTTTTCGTCTTCGGGCTGCCACACTTGTATCTATGGTTCCTGTAAAGCCCACCTGTGGGTAAGACTGGCAAGGACACCATTGTCAAGTTGGTCATAGGGTTACAAATTCTATCTGCTGATGGGACAGTTTCCTCCCTGCTAACATTTTTTGTAATGTTCATATAGAAACACAATAACCTGAAATTCATGCAGCTTGTTTCCTGAGTGAGTCAGTGCCACTTCTTTCAATTTGCAGTATTTTTAAGACAATGAGTTGGAACATCAGATACTACAGTATATCCTATGTAACAAGTTGTTTTCCTATCTTACATTTCCCATCATGCAACCTCAACTGTAATCTTTAAGTAGTAATTGCTTTGGCGATAGATTAAACAAATGCAATAGTAGCTAACGGCCATTTGAGGCCTTCTTTAAAAACACGCCCCTCTACAAAGAACTCTGTTACAAAGCCTAGAAACACCGGAGAAAAAAAACAAAAAAACTCACTGTTACATCCTGAAACAAAAAGGTTATAGCCTCTATTGCTCATTTCCACCTTTGTGACACCTGCACAGAGGTCCAGTCTCTTTAAGACCGAACTGATTAGATTATTTTATAGATTGCATTTTGAAATCAGATCCAACCCTCTCACTCAAATTCTATCTGCTGAAACCCAACATGGTCATGGCCAAATAACAAACCAAATGCTGCAGTACAAAACTTGCTACTTCCCGTAAGCCCAGTTTTGTATTATCACTCTCAAACCAAAGCATTTCCCATCATCATTTTGACTCCTTCCCTCCTTTTCTATTTCTTTAAATTTATACATCTGTATTTTTCATACTTCTGCATCTTTTTTCCTTGTATGTTCTTCTGAAAAATATTAACCTTACAAATCCAAGCTAAAGTGTGCTCAGTTGAAGAGGGAAGTAGGATTTCTGCTTTTAGAATACGGAAGCTTTGTGTAAAGGTATGAAGCCAGGCAATTCTCAAAATCCAACAGGACTACTTACCTAGAGTAGAAAACAAGTTTTAACTGGTTTGATAAGAGATTCATAGAGAAATTGTCCTTGTTCTAGTATTTCATATATAACCATTTGATACATAGTAAGATGGATGATATTTCCACATAAAATAAAGACTAAACAAATAAGTGGAAAGCAGGCTTTGGACAGAAGATACGAGTCATTCGAATCCATACAAAACAGAATAATTATTGTTGACATTTCTTATCATGGGTGTGAAGTCAAAACCTTAAATTGTACACATTAAGATGAATCTAAATGTGTCCACCTGTGTGCAGCCCAAGTTGGAAGCTGCTCTGGTTTTTAAGTGAGATTTGTGCCCATTTTGCCTGCAGGTATTTTGCACTAAGCTTACCGAGGCTGGAGTCCCTCAGGACGTCATTACAGGGATCTTCTCAAACATCTCCTCCATCTACTGCTTCCACGATAAGTTCCTGCTTCCTGAGCTCAAGACACGGATTACTGAAGAATGGTGAGTTTTAAACATCTCGGTGGCCTTACTGAGTTAATGTGTAAAGTTATTCTAGAGATAGTTCAGCTCTGTGGAGAGCAGTGAGGCAGTAAATGCTGGTTGTAATAATCCAGACAGCAGGTTGGCAGCGGGGGACATTGTTGTCAGGCTCTCTAAGTGGTGTTGTATTGCTGGGTCACATTCTTATTTTCCACAGTAAGCAGGAAATATATCTCTGGTGTGGAATATTCTGCGAGCATCAGCCATCCTAAGTTGATAATGACTCCTCTAGAGGACTGTCTTGAGGGAAATCACCTGTCACATAACACTCCCATTCACACTATTTTCCCAAACTCATTAAGATTCACTGGCTCAGATTGAAAGAAAAAGCATTAACACACAAGCACAACACTTAAACTGAAGCCAGAAAAGTGCCCCTCTGGGAGAAACTTATGTGGATAAACCTGTGCAATGAGGAAAATGATTTTTTGAGATGGCGATGATCTTTTATTAACCCCTGTTTCTTACTGCATAAGATAGATAACTAAGCAGAGAGACTTATTCAGTGATAATGATATCCAGGGCCAAAAAAACCTTTGTAAAATCAGAAACCTACATGGGTTTTGTCTTAGAGAAAAAAGATGTACGCTAACTCATATTACATATATAGGTGACTAAATATCGAGGACTGTTTGAATTTGATGGAAGTAAAAGCTTGCAGAATGTTAAGAAACTTAAATGCCTTTTAAATTGATCAACTTAAAATGAATAAATATGTTCAGGGTACATTATATAAAGGGATTTTTTGCAACATAACATTTTGATGTTGTTTGCTGTTGTTCTTATAGGGGTTCAAAACCCCGCATTGGAGATATCCTCCAGAAACTGGCTCCATTCATGAAGATGTATGGTGAATATGTGAAGAACTTTGACCGAGCCATGGACTTGGTGAACACATGGACCCAGAGGTCTTCACAGTTCAAGAGTGTTGTCCAGAACATACAGGTTTGTATCTGTGTTTGTATTCCTCATTCACTGACCCTTTACCTCCGCTGCTGTTTGACCAAGAGTTAGTTTATTCAATAACTCAGTAAATTGTCCTTTTGAAAATTATCTCTCTATTTTCCAATCCAGAAATCATATGAAATTGTCAATTAGTGCTTTTGGTTTTAATCTTATTTCTCTTTCATGACAATATTAGAGATTGGAATCCATGTGAGGATATGCATCCATTAGTTTAAAAGTGTTTTTTAAATGATTATCTTTTCAAATCATCCATTTTTTTCTTTTTCAACCAACAGAAACAGGATGTATGTGGGAACCTGACGTTGCAGCACCACATGCTGGAGCCGGTCCAAAGGATTCCTCGATATGAGCTGTTGCTGAAAGACTACCTGAAGAAGCTGCCTGATGATGCCCTTGACAGAAAAGACGCAGAGAGTAAGACATGAAAGTCCCCGTTTTGACTGCATACACACACACTCACACACACTGCTCTCATAACTGAATATTTGTAAAGAAAACACTCATTCGTCCCATCCTGTTACCTTGTTGTTTCTGAGATGTCATGTGTTATTCCTTTAAACTGCTAACACCATTTGCTTTACTTGTGCGGTGTGTTTATTTTCCACACACCTTATGTGTGCTGAAAGAGACTAGTTACACTTTTTCATGTTATCTGTTGTCCTCCAACATCCCTGTATCCATTCATCTGACCCTTCAATTTACAATGTGGTTTGGAGTCTGGAATGGATTTTCTCATCCACTCCTGCTGAAAAGCAATTCATCCCGTGTGCTTTGGCCTTGCTTCCCCCCTGCCTGTGTGTCTGTTCTGTTTAGAAAGGTTATGATTAATACAGCTTACTCAGGTGCTATAAGGCATTTGTGCTACACTCAACATTTGCTGGAAGGCAATTCAGTGCACGCAGTGTAGTTCATGTTTAGAGAGGGAGTGTTTTGTCTTTGACCTTGGTGAACCTGGGTAACATAAGTGTTATAACACCCATGACAATTACCGTAGTTATTCTACTGTGAACAACAAACTCTACTTACCACTGTGTTTGTGAATGAAAGTTGGACTAATATTAGTCATTGTCTGAATTTCTGAGAATATTATTGATAAGATGACTAGTTTTGTCAGCTTTGGCTATTTTTCTCAATGTTTTTTCTTTCTCTATATGCAATTATTTTACAGAGGCACTGGAGCTGATCTCTACAGCGGCCAATCACTCCAATGCAGCAATCAGGAAAATGGTAACTGCTCTTTTGACCCTAAAAATCTGTTGTCTGTTTTTTTCCATCTCTCTCTTTTGTAAACAAACTGTGTGCATCTCCCCACCCCTTTCTGAGCTTTGTAAGAACCAGCTCTATGTTACCCAATCTAAGTCTGGTCTATATTGTCTGCCAGTCTGCAACATCACATTAACACAGACAGGAAGTTCCTGTTTCCTGCTCTGAATGTCATGCCACACGGAAGTCTGACTATGTATTTTCTAACTCTCCTCATCACTTCTATCTGTTTCGCCATGTTTCTTTCTCCTTTTTTATCCTTTAAAAAATGTTTAACAGACAAATGAAACTCTGAAGCAATGAAGACATTCATTGCCAAAACCAGCAAAAGCAGTTTTCTGCTTTGCTGGAAAAGCCCACAAACAAATAGAAGTCAAACTGATTAAATCCCAGTAACTTTGGAGTATACCCCCATCAATCGTCTGACTCAAGTTTACTCAAAGAGATTCTCCCTCTTCTCTCTGTGTCCTCTATCAACATTTTTCAGGAGAAGATGCACAAGCTGTTGGAGGTTTATGAAAGGCTCGGCGGAGAGGAGGACATAGTCAACCCAGCCAATGAACTCATCAAAGAAGGACATATCAAGAAGATGTCAGCCAAAAATGGAACAGCACAAGACCGATACCTCTACTTGGTGAGAGGGCTGGAAAATTGAAAGATAAATAACTTAAGGAATGTTTTGATGTCTGAATGGTTTATTAATTCCTTCTCTGTATTTTACGTAGTTCAACAACATGGTTTTATACTGCGTGCCTAAACTCAGACTGATGGGGCAGAAGTTTAGTGTCAGAGAGAGGATTGACATTGCTGGCATGGAGGTGGGGTTCTGCTTCTTAAACCAGGATAAGTTTTTGTTTTCTTCTGGTGACTGCATATGACACTTCTCCTGCTTATTCAACACAGGTGCAGGAGAATGTGAAACAGAATCTCCCTCACACATTTGCCATAATCGGTAAACAGCGTTCACTGGAGCTACAGGCCAGGTAAAGAGATTTAAATCTTCTGAAGAGGAACTCCTGATTTTCAACAGGAATTTGATCCATGATTTAACATTTCAAGTCCTAAGAGTTAATTTAGTACTTTTACAAGATGGAAAGTGTTACTTTGCATGTAGTTGGCATGTCGCCAAGTAGATCAAGGAGTACAAAAACATAGTCCTTATTAGCTTTCTATGTAGTTTTCTTGTGATAAACAACTTTTTTAAGACATTATTTTTACAACTTTGTAAGAGTGGCACTATTATACTATGTGTTTTTTTAGTCTGGGCTATTGTAGTTTGATGCTGTTTCTATCATTGATTTAATTTTTTTTTATTATGAAAGGAACTGACTGTATTTCATTATTGTTGTTTTTTGTGTTTTTTGCCTATAGGACAGCAGAGGAGAAGGAAGATTGGATTCAGGCAAGGATCACACACAGTGTACCTACACACAGAAACACAGCCTCTAATTCACACACATCTCTGCCATTAGTCAGTATGCTTTACTTGGGAATGGAATGAGTGAAAATATCCCCCACACTTTCATTCAGTCTTCGGGTATTATATGCACTATTAATTCCCCTCATTATTGCTCATTTAGCCGATTATACAGAGTTAAGCTGATTAGAACATTTTGGACTAGAAACGGTGGCCATTTTACACAGTGAGATTGGGGGTAGTGAACCAGCATATAACCATGAGAACAAAGCAGAAATGAACATGGGATGTAATTTTGTAAAGGCTGATGGATAGCAGGGTATAAAGAGAAAGCAGTGTGAACATGATTCATTTGGAGTATTGCTGTTAGGCTGTTGTCAGACATTAGCTGCGTGGCTCTGCCGCTCACCATGGTGCAGCAGCTTTCTTTGCCCACCCTGTAGAAGGAGATGGAAAACTCAAAAGCTCAGAAATAGATTTGACACATTTAAACACAACAGGCAGTTGTTTTACTTTTCTCTCCTTTTCAACCCTCCTTCTATTCCTCCTCAATATCTCAAACCTCTCAGGTGATCAAGGCCACTATTGAACGGCACAAACAAAACAGCGAAACGTTCAATAAAGCTTTCAACAGCTCCTTCTCCCGTGAAGATGACCATCTGCCTGAGTCACCGGTCAGTATTACTCTCCCTTAACTACTCACTTCATTAATAGAGCCCTTGGTGGGCCGTACTGTGCAGTGAATCATGGGGCGACTGCGGGCACACCAAATGTCTTTGTCCCAGTCTGGCCTTTGTCTGCCTGTACTGCTGTCCATCTATGGATTTGATAGTATCATACAGACAAAACACTTAAAGAGAGAAGAGAGAGTAGCTCTTTACTTCCACACGTAGTGTCTGTGAGTCTCATCCCTCTGAGCTCTCCCATGACCTAATAGGGAAACCCAAAGTCAAAGTTTATACAGAAGTATTACACGTCTGCTTTGACCCACTTTGTGCTGGCCTGAGTTGGATCCCAGCCAGACAGTTACTTGACACAAGCCAGAGGACTGGGTTCAGATGGTCCGCACTGACACCTTGTGGCAGAGGTATGCATGACTGCAAGAAGAAGTGGTTGACCGGCTTGTTTGTTTGTCTCCTCAGGGTCCCTGGTCCAACACTTCCATTGACTCAGATGGTGAAAAACTACACGAAAGGGTAAGATACTGTCACACCTCGTTGTTTCTCAGTTGCACATTTTGCCCACATTTGCCTTTCACCCTAAAAATGTTTTGAAATGTCCAACAAGGCGCTTTTTCTGTATTTTTATCTATTAACTCCCCTGCCACTGTTCCCATTTCAGTAAAAAGTAGGGGTTGAATCATTTCTAAGTTTATGTTGGTAAATTTGTACCCCGCCTCTCACCCATTGACTAATGGGTTAGGCTCCAGTCCCCCCGTGACCCCATTAGGGAATAAGCGGTTACGAAAATGGATGGATGGAAGTTGTAAATTACATACCACACAGGGCCCCAAATGTTTTGATACATGGTTGTCAGCATTCTGCCGCCTGCGGTGACTAATCTCTCTACTAAATGAAAAACGAGCATGTTTATACTTTGATCTATAAATGAAAATCTGGCTCATAAATGTCCTGAAAGCATTTTTGCCTCATAAAAAATACGGATACTCAGGGGGCAATGCAAGCGCCAAGCGGTAATGGTGCACCTCACGGGGAAGATTCTTACATTCCAGCCAAAGAAATTGTAATGCATACTAATCACTCACTCCCTTTTGTCTACGTTTACACAGTCTCTGTTGCAGTTGTGTATTAAAAACCAAATAAAGTAGGGGTTCACTTTGTAAATATTCATAGCTGAGCTGGAAAGTTTTTGTGGTAATGCTGACAGACGCGTTGAGCGGTGGCTGGATGGTTGAGATGTTTGTCTGATGGTAGCCATTGACCCACATGTCTTGCATCTAGAGATGGAGGAACAGTTTTGTTGGCTGGGGAAGACAGTGCCCATGTGTACAAAGATGAGATTAGTGTAACACATATCCACAACAGCAGTCAGACAGGAAATAGTGTGGATACTTTAGTGTCTGTGTGGGCGTCTGCCTTTGTGTCTTTGTTCACTGAAATGAGAAAAGGCAGACAGACAAACAAAGGACTAAGCAAAACAAGCTGTCAGACATTTCTTCTGCTCCGCTTGTGCTTAAGCTGCAAGACCTTGACCCACCTCGTGTTGTTTTTATTTTCAGAAGAGTTCCAGGAAAAAGGAGAAAGAGAAACAAACGTGCAAGGGCTGCAGCGAGAGCTTCAATTTCACCAAGCGCAAACATCACTGCAAGTCCTGCGGAGCGGTGAGCACAGATGGAACAAGACACGGCCCGATGAATGAACTGATGGGAAAAAAAAGTGAGGGAGCTCACGGAAAATCATCTCAGACAATTAAGTGCTGTACGCTGTGTGTCCTTCTGCAGGCCATCTGTGCAAAGTGTTCAAAGACCTTGGACAACAAAACAAGCAGAGTGTGTCCCGAATGCTTTGAGGCCAGCCTCAGCCTGGAGAATCTCTGCGGTGGCGAACAGAGAAAGAAGGCTGCGCTAGAGGTGAGGCATTCTCTTGGAACCTTTCACAACTAAACCAAAGTGATGGGACAGAATGTTGAATGCCGTCGAGCAATGGCAGCCAGACGACAGGGACACCTCGTACATGGCTCCTGCAGACCTAACAACACATCGTACACATACAGCCCATGCGCACTTCCACACACTTCTACTCCCATCTACACACATAGTCACATTGAAAGATCAGCCAGGCCCTGTATGATGACTAATGTGATAATAAGATTTCAGCTTAAGGAGGACCAGCCGTCTCTGCTGACACAGCAGTCTGGTGGCCTCAGGTGTCTTTGCCTCTGTCAGTCTGACCGATGTGCAGTCCGCTCAGCTTACACCGAAAACATTACAGGAGAACATTCACTATGTATGGTGTTACAAAAAAAAAGTCCCATTGTGACCATTTGAAAAAAGTCTAAGTCTTGTTTTATGGTCATACAGTCATGGAATTCTGAGGAGTGAGGAGCAAACTTACATGGAGATCATCCTCCACATGGGGGCGCTGCAGGCAATGCAACATTTCCACAAGGTGCACAGGAGCTTAAGCACCTGTCTATGAACAAATCTCCTTGTGTCCTACATTTTTGTTACATAATGGTGAACAGTGAAAGATCTGCCCGGTCATTGTGTCATTTAATTTAAATCCCCAAAATGTCCCTCTGGTGCATATCACAGCAATCTCATTCATGCCAGTTGTACTGTTCTCCCTCAGTTCCTCAGTGAAGCCTCCGGTGACCACTGGTGATATTGATTCCCTTTTTTTGTGTTTCGTGTTTTGTTTTTTTCCCTCCTCAGAAACAGACATCGCTAACGGGAGAAAACTGCCTGTTGTGCGGGTACCTCCAAGTGCAGGAGAAGGGAAAGAGTTGGACCAAAATGTGGATGGCTGTAACCAAGGCTGAGCCCCTGGTGCTGTATTTGCAAAGCAGTGGACAGGTAACAGATAAGCAGATATACATTCTCTATGGAATCTCCTGACTTAGCCATTCATGGATTATATCAAAGTGCTTCTTCAAAGCTTGCGATCCCATAAAATAATCATTTTATATTTGTCAAATGAGACTTAGAAGTCACACATTTTCACACCTTCTGCAAGTAGATAAAGAGAGCGCCGTCATCTATAAAAGACAAAAATTCTAATAATTTAGTCGTTTATGGAAAAGCTTCGTGTTTCGGTGGTCAAATTAAACCTTAAATTTCCTATCTTCACATAATAAGATTTGTTTATATAGCAGGACATCTCACTATGTGTTCTGTATATATTGTCCAGGGGGAGTTGCAGCTGCTACTACTGCTAATATATCCTGTAGTTCCCTAAAACCATCCCCCTTAACTACTTCTGCTCATAGCATTCAGTGACTTATGTCACAGGTAGTCTTAAATATCGGTGACTGGCCATGTGACAAGCTGCAGAAGGTTGGATTTGTCCCACTTGTTTTGGCCTATTGTGTTTGATCTCTCTGCTTTGCATAAGAGGTGAGGGGCAGCTCTGCATCCGCACTCACTAATGTACACACAGAGAGAGAGAGAGCCTTTGGGGATAATGGTAAAGAGAACTGAACACTCAAATGAGTGGCAGCACTCCACAGCGTGCTTGACATCAACATGTGTAGTGAGTCCTGCATAAAACAAAAGCAGTCCGTGGACACCGATGTTGAACATTTCAAATAGAAAGATGCACACAAATATTCCTTACCCCAGGTAAGGTAAGCACATTGACCGCCTGGAATTTGGTGTTTTTTCTGGAAGGTTCACAGCTTCATCTTAGCTGTCTTTCAGAAACTGAGTTCCAGAGCCCTCGGAGATTAGGGGATGTATTGATTTTGAGGATAGAAATTTAAAGCTGGTATTCATCCTCTCTCTACCTGAACATTAGCAGAGATGGGAGAAGAGCTCAAAACCTTTTTCTTGAGTTGTACAATTAATGCAGCTCAGTAAAAATGATGTCTTGTGGCGGTATTATCGGCCATTTGAGCTTAATTGTGCTTAACATCTGATCTGTACAGAGCTTTAAATTCTTATATAATGTATGAAACACTGTTGAATAATGTTGCCCCATTTTCGTTATTGGAGACATTTTCCAAGTGCAATCTGTAATATGCAGCTCGGAGGGCACTGGGACAGTTCAAGCTGAATTTACCCATTCAATTATGGTAATAGGTTCTGTTACAATTGCAATTAAAGCAAAACATTTTTCTTCTGTTTTTCGTAGACTAAAATGAGTGATGAATATTGATTTAAAAGTGCCCGTCTTACCAGTACTGTTTACTCTGCATACAAAAGGTCCTGCATCCCAGGACCAAACAAAGTCGGTTATATTCTCACAATCTCACTAATACTCAGTAATACCCTCTGTGTTTGTCCGTTTGGATTGCATGCCAGCATACTGGCAGACAATCAGTATGTGAATATCCAGGATTTTATGTCATAGACATGGGCTATCCCTGTAGCTTTTCTCACTTTCACAGATGAACCAGAAATGCTCCATCCTTATTCTGGAATTTCCCTGAATCTTGAATGGATGGTAACATCCCGAGGTTTCATTTCCAAGACTGAATTCCTGTCCCACTTCAGAGAGCTGCCATTCCAAAGATTAGGATTAATAAGAGTTGGATGAGCATTTCCTGATCATCCAGAAAGAAAATGGGGGAAGGGAGAGGGAAAAAAGCAGGGTTTATTCAATATTCCTTATGGAATCTTTTCTCCTGCAGCTCATGAGACAAGCTGTCACTTTATTCATTTGTGGGTTTTTTCCTTTTCTTCCTGTTACAAATGTTCACTTGGAAAAACCTTCTTTCCATTTTTCTGTCTTTTTCTTTTCTGTAGGACTTGAAAGGGTCACGGACAGTAGCTCTCTCTGGGTTTGAGGTCAGCACGGTGCCATCAGCTGACAAGTCTGATGTCAAGCATGTGTTCCGGCTCAGTCACACACAGCAAACTTTGCTCTTAAGTGCCCAAGATGCAGAACTTCAGACCAAGTGGGTGGACCTCCTCTCCAAAGCTGCTCGTGGAGAAACGCCCACAGAGGCCTCCACAAGCGTGACAGAACACAGGAAGAGCCAGTAGTGGTCATGTAGGAGCCACAGGTTTCGCTCCCCCTCTCTGTCCTGTGTATAGAGCACACATTACTTGAATTCACTTTACCTTGGCACTTTTTTATTTCCCCCTCTTGAAAGGACCGTTCAATCTTTTATGTCCTTCTTAAACCTTATTCTTATGACCACACATCTACTTTTTCCCCTCTGTTTTTCTGTCTCTCAAACAAACAAAAACCATGCTATCCACTTACCAATGCCACTCGTCAGTATATTTTATTCTTCAGTGTTTTCAGCAGCTGGAGTAGATCTTTGAAGAACCTTTATTTGTAATATAACTGAAGAAAGTTCCTGTATAATTCCCTTTTTCCTTTTTTCTTTTGTAAGATGAAGTTCTTGTATATTATTCCATGTTGTTGTGAAGCATTAATTCTTGTTTGTCTTTCCACCAGTGTGGAAGTGTGTGGAAGTATGTATGCATGTATGTATGTTTGTATGGATGGATGGATGGATGAATGAATGAATGAATGTATGTCAGTGTGAATCCCCTCTGTGTTTTGATAAGTATGAAATGTTAGAGTAAGAAACCAGTCAAACCAGAGTCACCATTCAGTGACTGGGGACACAGTGGTGGTTCAGTGGGTATTGTACAGTATGTATACTATAGTGTGATGTAAGGAAACAAAGATAAGATACATTTAACTTAAAAAAGACAAAGTAAACGTGTACATTAGTGGCTGGCCACCTGATGCTCCCAGTTATAGCACCCATCTTACAGTCCCTGACCTATTACCCTGAAGTACATTGGTACTGCCGCCCTCTCTATTATTGTTGTTAAAGTCTGAGACCTTTAATCTAAGCTTGATCTGACACATTTCCACCCTTGCTGTTATTATTTGTCAGTACCAGAAAGGCATCACTTGGCTTTACTTCTGCCCTGCCCTATGAGGTCAGTCTCAATATCTCCACTTGTAAACAAGCTAAATAAACCCTCTCTGTCTAGTTCTATTTCTCAGCTAAGAAATCAGCTTCTCCCTTTGGTGATGTGATGGAAACCAAGTACTGTACTGTAAAACTGTTTATACAGCCTTGCCCCCTTACCTTTTTCCTGTCAGCACAAGCCTTTAAACAAAAAAGTAGCAAATAAACTTTGTCATTGGATCTTTTTGTGCATGTAAACTCACTCATTTGTGTTCCGTGCCATGGAATCTTCCCCTCCTCCCCCTTTTTTAATGCACCAGAATTCATTCAAGTTGTACTGTAAGTGAGCAGAGTCACGCCTAAGTGGATTGTGCACGGTGGAAAAGCAGTCATGCATATCATCAATAAACAAATGTGGCTCATTTGGTGCCACTCTGTCCTATAGCACTGTCGCAATGTCTTGAGTTTTCTGTTTACACATTCAGGAAAAACTCCAAATAGCGTGAGTATCGGCAGAAATTTCATTATACTGATGCAGATTAATGATCTTATTCTATACGCAATGTTTGTGCCATCTGGAGTTACTATGCATTCAGTTAGGTTTCATTTCCCATAAATACTGTTTTCACTACTGGTTTGTCCATTTAGAACTTTCAGTGAAATGCAGCAGGAAGCCCTTTTACTTGAATTGCTCTTCACTCATCCCTTAAAGGGGCCAGTTAGACAAATATGTGTATTCTAATCTTGAATTGACTGGCAAAGTTTCAAAACTTAGTGCCTTTTATCCGACAGTCATAGAAACTTTGAAAGTTCCAGTGATATGAAAACCCTTTCTGACTTTTTCGGGGAAAAAAACACAAGCCTCACAGCAGGGCCTGTACCCTGTTTTCCTGTGGTTACGTTCTGTCTTTTTGATAAATGTCAATTTGTCATCTCTAAACAAAACTAAAACTAACGCTTTCAAAAGATCAGTGCCACCTTTTTGTTTCTCTTTATTACTGGGGTTCTTTTCACAAAGTTAATCAAGTTACGTTGGATATGTAGTTTAAGTCCAACAGTCTTCAGGGTGCCTATGATTTTGTCTACTTTGTTTCCTTTTCTTACTGTGTAAATTACTCTAATGTATTATTTTATATTTCAGATTCATCTAAACAAACTGGCATGCTAATGAAGCTTCCTCGCAACCCAGCAATGAACACATAAAAAAGGAGAAGTTGCCCATTTAATCCACCTGACAGTTGTTAAGATATTTATTTCTCTCCAAACCAGATGTGAAACCGGATTTTCTTTAGCATACCAATGGCGTCTTCCTGTTGATGAAGTAACATGTCACACCTTTCAACCTCTTCTTGACCTCTATGATTCAGTTTTCTTTTTGTGACCATATGGTTTAATCTATTTAGCAAAATGCTTTTCTACTGACTTGAAGTTACGTACACTGTTTTAAAAAAAAAAAAAGCCCCCTGTGGTAAGCCGCAATGTTAACAGCTGTCATGATGATAACTGCTGTGAAACTCCCTGTACTGTGGCAACACATGACAGTCTTATCAAGGGGCTGAATGAGACAGGCACTTTCCGGTCACTTTTCTTTCTCTTCTATTTTAGCCTGGTGTGAGGAGATACTGTTTCTAGAGAGCCACGGCGGCCTGTTTGTTTCATCGGGTGCAGTATTTTATGATAAGAAAAGAGACTCACAGAAACAGTACGATCTGAGTGGGTGTAAGGTTTTGAGTATTGTTTGATTTCAAGATATGCACGTGTATAAAAGAAGGCGTGGAATAGGTGAAGCTGCCTAAAGTTAATTTTCTTTTACATCTGGATTTAATTTAGTGTTATCATCTTCCATGAGCACTGTCTATATTTCGTAGCCTACCCACATGTTTTGGAGCTTTTGCTGGCATACATCTATCGACGTGCACCTTTATAAAAAGACTAAACTGAGGGCAGCTATTGCTGAGTGAGATGAAGCATAAGTTATTTATTTAGCAAGTCAACCCTAAGTGTCAGAATGATGAATTGGTAGAGGGGTATCTCTATGGAGCTCTGAGCTGTTGTCCAGAGGCAGAGAGCAAAGCGCTGAGTGGCTGCTTCTGTCATAGCTCTACATGTGATACACCCAGAGCAGAGAGGAACTGGGTGGGTGCTGTGACTGCAGCAAGATGAGAACCTGATCCTGCAGCGATAAGCTCTCTTAATTCCTCCAGATTTCTATCACAGAAAACTCCAGTCTGTGTTTTTCAGCTTTCTCTTGAACCGATCACGCTGGCCGTAAATCTGAGTGGTTGCTCCCACCTAATCAGAATGAGGAGTTTCCATTGTCATCAAAGACTTGCATCATTGTTATTGAATCATCTTTATGTGTAAATTCTCAACTTCTTTCTCTCTTTGCCTTTTCCTTTTGCGTGTGTGCCAGTAACATCTGACGCTACCATGACTGTGGTGGAGTTGTACGATGTCAAAATAGACCTACTGGTTTCCACAAGGCTTCTTTTAACCACACCATGGATCAGGGCGTGCACTTCTTTGAAAGTACAGACATACCCAAGGTGTTTCGTTTTTGGTAAAAATGAAAGTGGTAAAACGCCTAATTTGGTGAGAGAAATGTTAAGCAAAGCCAAGAAATATCCAAACAAAGATATTTGTACAAAATCTCAGGTTGTGACTATTCTGGACAGCTCTCCCACAATAACTGAGGAGAATGGATTTAATGGGAAAGCTGTTATGTTCCACTGGAGCTTAAGCCTCTTACCAGCTGTCAGTATGTGAGTGCATGCATCTCTGTGGCTCAGAAACATTTGCATTTAGCATTACCAAATGCAAAAATGCACACCATTATGACCCTATTTGGGGAAAACTGGAAGAAGAAATGACCACTTGCTTCACATAAACCATATTTTACTTTCTATTTGGTCAATTTAAACTGATTTCTTATGTTTTGTGTAATGAACTGGTTATTTCTAACAGATATCAGAGTAGTCAGTCCAATGACAGATGACTAGCAATATATTACAGGTGTGTCAAAACAGTTCAAAACACCAGCCATGGATTAGATAAGCTTATGTGACTTTACATTTTTTATTTTGTTCATTTATAACTTATCAAAGAATGTTGTCATTCCTTCAGATTCGATTTGCCAGTGGCAAAATGCTTGTTAAATCAACCAACGGCTGGTAGCTGTCTGGGTGTAGTACTGTGCTAAGCAGACAATATGCAGTTTTTAGAATTTTTGTGGGCTGAAACATTTTTCCAGAGGAAGACTAGGGAAAATATTTAGATCGCAACTATTAGAGAAGGAGGGTTTTTAAAGATTAACAGCTCTTAAAGGCTTTTACAGAGATTCTATCTAACAACCTGAAAAAAAGATCGGGATACATTTTTGTCTTTGTGCTGGTCAAGATTTTGGATCTTCTGATACGTATGAAGAATCTATCAGAAAGGGACATTTCTGTACTTTTATACATTTTAATCTCCAACTCTGAACTTTCACTCAGGAAGAAAGCACTTGATGGTCAAGGGGAACATACAGATGGTAGTCAGTACCCGGTGTGTGGTGCTGCTCTTTGGCATCCTGTCTGCAGAGACACCCACGCAAATGCAAATGCTGAAACCTCTTCTTTGCTTCCTTCAGTGATGCCTGTAGACACTTCTCCTTTCTGGTACAGGAAGCCGTTGCAAGTGTTTGCTGCTGCATTTGGCCGCCACCACACCCCAGTTTCATTGCCTCTGTCTGTCTGTCTGTCTGTTGTTTTGTTTTTTTGTTTTTTTTCATGTTTTTGTTAGGTTTTCAAAAATCTTTGAAAATGGAACATTTTCCTGTGGGGGGGAAATGTTTAGAAAGTACAATATCTATATTTTACCACAAACTAACTAATTGTTTTCTTGGGATGAACCCTTTATCATACTGCTCAACCATTTGGTAGAGCACATTTTTCACTGCTCATACTCAGTCACAGGATATACTAGACTAGAGGAAGTGCACTTACCTGAACTAACTCTGAAACTGAGTTTAGGTTCATGATCACCAAATTATTTATGAATTATGACATTCCTTTTTTTAAATTTCACACTTTTAACATAAATAGTCACCCCAAATATCTGTGAAAAAAGGAATAGATTCTGATTGTTGTTGCTCCAAAGACATGAAAAAGAAATGCAACTTCTCTAGATGTTAAAGGCTTAAAGACAAAATATAGCAAAGATTTCTGTTACCATGAAACTGGGTTAGTTTGTCAGGGGGGTGATAACTGCTCTCAGTAGGACTTTAAATGTGCGTACAATTGTTTTGCCACTGAAAATAACCAAAGGCTTCAACTTTGAGTTTATTTTCTTAGTTTCCTATGTTTTTATCGTCCATTTTCTTCCATATTTTTTTTCCTTTTTTTTTTTTTTACAATAAATTATTTTCTATTGCTCATGTTACCACAACATTGTAATGTATGTTTTTTGCAGCCAAAACTATCTTCAGAGGTGAAAAAGGTGTGGCATATATTTTCTACGTTTCCTCTAGTGTGACTAAAATTACAGAGCAGGTTCCCTGCAGAATGTCCTGTTTATAATAGATTATGGAAAGGTCATTAGTAAAGATTTGCATCATGATGATGAAATGTCCAAGCTGTAGCTGCTCATCATCAGAGGCAAGATCATCCTTTTTGTAATTCACGGCCGAGGCAATTAAAGAAGAAAAAACAAATAAATGATGCTTTTTCAGCTTCCCAGACACTTGAGAGGCCTGTTCACACAACAGTAATAATTTTGATAACTGAACTAATGTGCATTAATTCCCATACTTACACCAAATTAAATTCCACCAGTGCTTGTGTGAGCACATTCACAATTCACAGCTGAACAATCTTTTCTCGAACTCCATTTAACAAATTATATTGTAAAGCACTAAACATTACAAGGATTGAACACCTAGCATCTAATCAGCTTGTATGGCACATTGCAAAATGAAACACTTTTTAATGTTTGGCAACAATTCATCAAAACAGGATGCATAGTGATCTTTTTTTTGCATAAAGGGAAATGTACCCACGCAACCAAACTGAAGATAAAAAGTGGATGAACATCTCTTTTTTTCAAAATGGAACGCCAACCTCACTTTCAACGTGCTGATTTTTCATCTTCTTTCTTTACTTTTTCCGGTTTTACCTTTGGTATGCTTATCTTAAATTTGTTGCTGGAAGCACAGTTGTGTTGTCCTGCTGCTCACTTTCTGACGATGCTTCAGTGGGAATCTTTTGCAAATTGCACCAGTCTTTCAGAAACTGCTCGGCAAACCTGACATTGAAGCATTTCTACCTGCAGTGTTGCTGACACGCACAAAATGATGCCGTTTCCTTGCTGCATTTCATGCATTTCACTTTCTCTCTCACTGCTGATTGCTTTTTTGGTTTTTCTCCACTCCTTTACAAAAAGTGGGGGTGACACCTTTAGACATAAGGCTTTAGGGGACTTATTGGTCTGTTTGCTGTTGTATTGAATTTAAAGGTGTCACCAATGTATCAATGTACACAAGCCAATGGTGCTTGATACCTCACTAATCTTTAATCATTTACATCTAATGAAAAGGCCGCACAGAGGTTCATTATCTATAGGCAGCACCATTACGTGATACCAAATGTACCAAAAAACAAGTTTGGGTAAAATAAACCTGACTTTGTGGGAGGTGATCTCTAGGCAATCAAATTGTGAGGATAAAGTATATTTAAAAGCAGCTAATTGATTAATGTGACACTACAAAAACCCATTATCCTTCAAGGCCACCCAATTCAAGACGTGTAAACTGTCAAGTGCATAAAACTGTCAAGTGTGTGTATGGGTCCTGTCATCATGATCTAGCTGGAACTTTACGGGCTGAAACTATACCAAAATTGTTCTACATCTGCTGGTAGTTTAGCAAACACACAGACCACTGTGTGTTTGAGAGGCTCAGCCTGCAGCTTCTGTGTAAGTTAGACGTAATTAGTTCCATTGACACAAAGTTTGTCACAGCTACATCGGCTGAACGGTCTCTGGATTTTTTAGAAAGGCCAGACATTTTGCTTCCTTACTGTTGCTACTTATCTTAGAATATAGAATAAACTTGCATGTGGTATGCAAGTTGTGCACACAGTATATCCTGAAAACTGGTCATCTGCTACATTATTATCCATTCAACCTCAGTCTTTGGATTTTTAGGTCATGTTGTGCTTACCATCCCATATCCTTAACAGAAAAATAGAGGCACTGCTTAAGCAAATTAATGTCTCACTGTAAAATTGCCCCTGTGTTTTCGGCTACCTGTTTCCCATTTCTCCCCTCAGGGTGTGCATGAGATGCTGAGATTGATTGAGTGGCTGGGATGTGGAGTGGCCACCGCCCACCCTGAGAGGTATCAATTCTTAGCTCACTGTATTGAAAAATGTGCATTAATGATGTCATAGGCGGCCCACTACAGAATGATGCGTGTCCGTTTTGAAGTCTTTTCCTGTAACTTTTTCAAGGATGTCCAACCTCATGCATTTTACTGCTTTGTGACTCTTTGTCATCTAAAACTGAATTTGTTTTCATGTTTTGGTCGGACTCCTGATTGTGGCTTTGCTGTAACCATCAATTAGCTTTATTTTCACATCAGATATCTTTCGGAAAAAGTTACTTGTCGTCAGAGGAAGCCTAAAAATAATAAGGTGTTGTGGTACCTAGTCAATTAAAATCAACAACTCCCTAGCTGCTTGTTTTCGAATATAGCCAAAGACAAAGAGAAGTCACCTTCAGTCCCTTCCACCCAGACCTCCAGCCATATGTGGCCTGGTTAGAGCATCAGTGTTGGTGGGGCTGCTGGCACTGTGAGATGCCCCTCCTGTTCTACTTAATTACCTATGTGATGGAGTGGTCCCCCCCCAGCAGAGCCACACCACCACATTGTGTCAGGGGCAGGGCGGACACTCCAAGCTGACCAGTCTCACCTGCCTCACCTCTACCCGTCACTCTTGTCAACTCAGATTAATTTCCATGTCTATTTTTGCTCATCTCTGGTCTCCCCCACCCCTTTTTAATGGCCTCTGACTCCTCTTTTTTTGGACAGAGAAATTTAGTCTTGGCACTTCATAGGGCAAAATACTAAATATCTGCTGTGCACCAATCTAATGCAAAAAAGGTCATTTCTGACTGTCCTCATAAACAGCAAGTCCCAATTGGACACTGCATGTTATGTTAGAACACAAAGAATTAAAGCCTGGCTGGAGAAGAAAGTGGAAGGCACTGGAAGTCCAAACTGTACTCATTCCCAGAACACTGTTTATGTAGCAACCAAAGGAGAGAAGATTTTAAACGCTTTCAGCAAACCATTTCTACAAATGTCCCCATTCACTGGGTTTCTATCCTTTTTCCCATCCTCCTAAATTAGGTTTGAATGCTGAATTCCACGAGGAAACACGTTGCTCATATGTCTCGTGTTTTAAAAGATGAATAATGTATTGTAAGGAGGAAGTGTAGGTTGGCATATTCGGCTAACTTTGAGCATCATCTTTATTAGAATTCAACATCATTATTCAATCACAGACACTATCAGCATCTTCTTCCTGTTTTTTGGAAAGTTAAAGATAAACACATCCCTTGTTGACACTTTAATCAGGAATGACAGAGTATTTGTTAGGCAACCTGCAGTTTGAGTAAAGAGTCCCAGTGTGTCTGAGCAGGTGTGAGAGGGTTTGTTGGGCTGGACATGATAGGGCTGTGCCTGCAGAGACACTTATCGCCCACAGCAGAAATATACATGCCCAGAATCCTCAGTAGCATCAGACCCACCTGTGGGTCAGACAAGACATTTCTTGCTTTGAAATATACATGTGAAAAGAGAAAAGAAACCCATATGAGCCCCGATACTGTGTCTTGTGTTGTGAGCATAGAATATAGTTGCACCTTGCCTTGAGTTTTTGGATTTTCTCCATGTCTAAGTTTGTATTATGCATTTCTATAATGGGACTACAACCTCCTGTTATAACATTTTCCAAAAGATTCAGATAAAGCATTGTTTAGGTTAGACTTTAATGGTGTTGACATGGCGAGGAACAGGAAGGAGGCCAGAATGTTTCACCTTTAGTAGAACACAAATAGTGAAGGGCCTACACACACACACACACACACACACACACACACACACACACACACAAACACACACACACACACACACACACACCTATATATACTCATTTGCAAACGCAAGTGACTGCTTTTTTAAGATGTGAAGTGGAAATTGTATTGATGCATCTGTTGATGACCTCACATATCAAAGAACAGATTTACGCCTATGGACCACGTTCACATTTTTGCACAACCCTCAAGCATCATAAAGTGACTCTGTGCCAACTGTTTCGTGCTGCGGTTACATAGGCATCCACATCCTGCTCTCGGTGCGCAGCCGATCTAATTTAATCCACAAAGTCATTTTTTGCTTTGGTCGACAAGGACTCGACTGTTCACTTCATCAACCCTGTGGAGCGCTCATCCTCTTGCGCGACAGCAGCGCGCAACCCAGACCGATTAGTTTGGGCGCGGACGGGCAGTGGGAGGACTCTGAGACTGTGTAGAAGTGAGGATCATTGCGCAGAGGGACACCTCACCGGCAGTGTTTGCTCATCCTCCAGCGGGCGCAGAGAGCTCAGAGACGCGCAGTCTTCCCGCACAACCGGAAGAACAGACTGTCACCATCATGTCGGCGGCAACAGCCTCTGTAGTAGACGTGTCCAGATCTGATTTTACCAATAAAGATGTCCGGAAAAAATCAGGTAAGACAGAAATGCATGTGTCGCTCGATGGTACTCGATTTGTCCTCAAATCGAAGTTGTGGGGTTGTTGCACAGATCTGTTTTGACACTTTGCGCGCACGCCAGTTAAATGAAGTCGTGCCCTATATGCCAAGTGCTTCAGAATTAACGGTACAGAAAAAGAAATACTGAATTTGGGCGCTGTATGTCTGTGTGTCACATCAATTTGATTTTTTAACAAAGCTTGTAAATAAATGGGGTGAGTTTGGTTAGATCAGTTGAGTTGAATCAAATTATTCTGAATTGTATAATTAAAGAAAGAAATAACAGAAGAAAGAAAGGGGAAGTGAATGGTGGTGGCTTTCAGAGGCTGATGGACGAACAACAAGCTCACGGAATTATACACGTGTTATATAAAAGCGATGCTCACCTTACTTGCACTGAAATGTGTCAAGGTGTTACTTAAATGTGAGTGTGGTGCTGTTGGAAATGGTAGAGTCACTGGCATTTTGTTGCTTTATTCTCAAAATCTTTCATTTCAAATGCCTGTTGTGTATCTGAGAAGTTTTGATGTATTCTGCAACTTCACCACATGGTTTTGGAGAGCACCTCTCATATTTTCTTGTCTTTGGTTAATAAACAGGGAAAAATCTCTCACAATTCTGGCAAACCAGAAAGTGTTTATCACAAAAGCCAACATGGCTTTGACTTGACTCCTGGACCTATTCGTGTAATCTTGTCAAATTCTTAGGGACACAAGAAAAACTCATGTCACTGTTTTTGTTTCCCTTCCAATGCCCTTTACTCTGGTGTTGCGTGCTCATCGTGCCGTAGTGCTGGTGCACTGTGCGTCCTCATCTCCTTTAATATGCTCAGCACCAAGCAGTTGTGAATGACAACTGGTTTTTAAGCTTGGTTCCAGATGGCCCGTGCACTTCCATCAACCTCCCCGGCCTTTTGTTGAATGATTTATCACATTTCCTGCGTTGGTACAGTTTCACACCATGCAGCGTGCGCAAAGAGGATACAGAGGGGCTGCTTTTTGTCACACGGTTGTGCGGCCCAACGGGAGTTCTGTGCTGATAGTTCTGGAATGACTGTCCCCTTCTTCCAGTCTATCACATTCCCTCTGAATTGCTGCTGGAGCAGGATTTCGAAGTCACCTTGTGAAATCTGTGAATACAAATTTCTGTCGCAGATGTATGAATGTTGGTCATCTTTATGAGAAGTTTAGCTTGAACAGCTGCATTTGCTGTACACAATCTGATTCCTCAACCTGTGCATGCTACCTTTCAGCTTCAGGTCATCCACAGGCTCAGTGCACGCCCATTCCCCTGCCAGCTTTGGGCACGCGAAGGATCATCCAAGGCAATGGGACCAACGTGGGCACAGTCATTTCCTTACAGTGCCCAGCCAAACACAAACTGGTGGGCAAAGACGTGAAGTGTGTCATGGACAACAACAGCACCCACTGGGAGGGAGAAACCTACTGCAAGCGTAAGTAGAAACAGAAAAAATTAGATCATAAGGAAGTGGACAGCTATGGGAAGATATGGTGACCTTCTTATAGCTGCGCCTTTCTCGACTCATGCAGCTAATTGTTCATTTCTGTCCAGCGATATCTGTGTGTGTATGTGTATAAATTCAATATTGGTAGAACAAACAGAACTGTAGAGGCTTGCCAACTTTCTGTGAACTCTCAGCTCATTATTCTGAAGAAAGTAAAAACCAGCACATTATTAGGCATAAACAAAGTTACATAAATTCACTTAAAGTGGTACTTCTCTTCAAAAATGTGATTATTTGACTTCAAATGGTGGGAAAACACATTTAGGAGAAAATAAGTAATGTATTGCTTGTGGACAGAGCTCATTAAATGATCATATTAATGCTAATTTATTCAGAGTCACAGGTGCACAGTTTGTTTGTGGAAAAACAGAGCGCAGGCTTTAACTGCAATTCAGAATCAACTGTCAGGGGACAGAATCAACCGTCTGAAGTGAAACTAAAAGTAATTAAAAGCTGGGTTTCTCACCTGTCCACTATGAGCTGACAAGATCACCATCTTCCAAAAAGCTATTTAAATCCCTCGAGTCTTCTCTAGAATTTAACAGCGAGAGACATGTTATGTATATGTGCAGTGTATACGTGTGCCTATGACCAGGTGACCATGTATGTTTTATATGTTTCTGATGAGGAGTGGTATTGAATAGATTAAGCATAATCATGAATGACAAAGAATTTGCGGAGCACAAAACAAGCCAATAAATAGGTGGATTGTCCTCGACTATCTCACTCCAGCTTTGTCTCGCTACGACGACTATGGTTTCCAAGTGGCCGTCCTGGTGTCCATTATAAGTTCGGGCATCATCTTGCTCATGTCTGTGGCCTTCATTACCTGCTGTTTGCTTGACTGCATCAAGGAGGACGAAAGGAAAAAGAAGGAGAGGTGAGTGGAGCTGAGATGGAAATGGTTCTACTCTTGTGGAATACAAAAATCTTCTTCTTTCAACTCTACTGAATACTGTCACTGAAAATATCCTTGAAGAGAAACACTCTATGTGCTCTTAGACAGTTGAGGCTGATATAGAACTACTTTTTTTTTTACAACTGTGTTTGGTAGGCCAGCAGGTATAGAAAGAGGATCCTTGGGAGTAAGAAGAAAAATAGATTTAGATGGAGTTGAAGGTTTTTCAAATATCACAGATTGAAACATATAGAAATTATGTATATATATATAAAATGGCTTAAGTAAAGTACAAATACTACAGAATTGCACCACAGGATTAAATGTCAATGGATGGAAAGGATTAGTTGTGTTTCCTTTGCTGCAGTTCAAACTGAAGCTCTGACATCCAGCTCTTAATTCATTTCTGTGGCAGAGAGTCCGATGTGTGGCAACTGGAGGAGCAGGAACAGCATCAGGATAACAACAGATTTGGCTTCAGTCATAAAGGCCGAAACAACAATAACAACAACGCCCATGAGCAGGTGGTTCCCCTATGGGGTACCGGTAACCCAGCCCTGTGCGAAAACATGCGACCCTGCAGGTATTAAATCAATTTCACCTAAATGCTCAAAAAGGGGGATAACAATTCAAGCGTTCAAAGCATACCTTTGTGTCTTTTCCTCAATAGATGTCAGCAGCCTTACGCTTACGGCCCTCCTGCCTGCACTTATACTCCCCCGCCTCCTTTTGCAAGTCTTCCTGGACAGAACTATGATCAGCCTCTCCTGTTTCAAAACCTGGATTCTCAATTACCTCAGTACCCTGGTCCTCCTCTGTCTACCAATCCAGCTACCAGCCAAGACCTGGTCTCAGCAGCGGGATCAGGATTGGTGTGGCACTATGGGGGTCATCACAGCAGGCCGCCACACACCCCACCAACCACAGACTCCAGCATGGGGAGTTTAAACTCAAACAGGAATGTAAACCCCAAAGAACTCTCCATAAGGATTATATCAGTGTAAAAAAACATATTGTCCAGAAGAAAAAAAACATCCATCAAGAACTTGTTTACTTGCCACATATGTACAACAGTGACTCTGCTTAAGAGGACTATGGGAAGTGTGAACCATGTCAGCATGTCTCGTTGGGTTCTGTCTTCTTTTTTTTATGTCTGCAGTGCTCCAGAGTATGACGGCTGCACAGACATTCAGATTTGACAGGATTACTGCGCGTGCCTTGTCTTGTGGAACTGTGATGGCACACTGCCCTCTGGCGGGGAAGAAGAACCATTGCACGTTCCGGACACCAGCCGGCTGTGTGGATGGCAGCACGATAAAAATGGACTGTGGAAAGATTTGTGCTTGAATAATAATGTAGCCAAACGATTCAGATTAATACTCGAGGTGTTTATTGAGACGTAGTTCGCAAACACGCATTGTACTAAACTGCGAAACGGCTCTGTTTTTCAAGGCCATTGGCCTGAATGCAAATGTGGGGTTTGAGGAGTTTAAATAAATTAAGCTCTACTGCTAATGAGTGGTGCCATAAAGTGAGCAGAGCTTGACGGTTCAGTTTGCCTTTGCACTGGCCCCACGGCTCTGTGACTCGGAGCTTCTGCTACCCATAGACGTATATATGTCTATGCTGCGACCAGTCCCCTGCTCCGTCCCACTACAAGCTTCCGGGTCACGTGGTCCTGTCGTCACCAGCGTGGCCGCGCGGCGCTGGGGAGCGCGCGGGACCGGAGGAGCAGCGGCCGTCGCCCCGGATGAAGCAGGAGGCTCCGGGCCAGCCAGTCCCACGAGGCGTGTGTTTGCTCTGGCAGACTTGGGAGAGATGGGTAAGACGCTTTCGCCTTGTGGAAAGTTCACGTTACGAGACGCTTTGCTCGGATATGCAGACTGTTGTTGTTGCGGAAAATGATTAAAACATTTTTACCTGCGTGTATGACTTTACTTATGTCACCTCTCAGAATACATGACTTGTAAAATGCATATGTTTTTTTATAAACTGTAGTGCGGTGCATGTTTTCTGTCTTATTTCTTCTGATGACAGTTCCCTCCACTGTCCATCTAGTCCTTTAAAGATGGAGAGTGACCGCTGCTTCTGTCTCCAAATCTGGTTTTGGAATTGTGTCAGGGGAAATATTTACTATTTAAACAAACATTGGAATGAATTAATGTAACAAATATTTCATCAGAGAACCAGACGTCTGTACATAGAAAAATATATATTATTTTGTTCAGGTTAAAGTTTTTGTCAAGTACATTTGCTGGTATATCAATAGATAAATACCATTAAATTACCAATACTCTGTTGAAACATAGTTTGTATTGCAGATTATTTGTATAAAGAGTGTTATATACCCGCCAATAGATAAATCAGGAATTGTTATTGAATAGATGTGCATCTATAAATCTGCAATGGTTGTCTTAACTATAACTAATTATAATATAATTCTTGCACAATGTGATACACAATCTAAAACACTGTGATAGTGTATATAGTAATATTAGTTGCCTAGCTGCTCATTGTCAGCAGGCATAAAAAAGTATGGCCTTACAAATCTGCTGCATTTGCATTCACCCCCACAAAGAGAGAGAATAAACCTCTTAGTAATTTATTTTCAGAGCAGACTTAATGCCAAGGCCAGCTTACTAAGAAACTACTTAAGACGAGACATGAAATCTGCACAGCATCAATTAGAGCTCTGCAGCACGCTCTCACTGTGTCGTCTTTGAACAATTACAGCTTTGAATAATTACCTGTTTTATATCAGTTCAAGAGCCATCGTTTGTCAGTGGGCTGGGAGAATGTGATGAAACACTGTCTCATGAATCTTTTGCCATCAGGTGTTGAGGGTTATGATGAGCAGCTCCAGAGTGATGCCCCATTCCTGTGCTGTGATCAGAGAATGGACACCGAGCTGGTTGATAGACTGGTGCTGCAGCTCAACAGGATCTACCCCCAGATACTCAGTGACCAGGAAGCCTGCAAGGTCACCACAAATGACATGTGGCAGAGATTGAAAAAAAACAAACAAAGAGAAAAGATAAATCCATCTTTTCTTCAGTTTGGTTTGTACTTGACAGTTTCAGATATTAGAATGGAAGGACAGGTGGAGGAAATGTCAAAAGTTCTGGTTTTGACAAAGCTTTATTTTCCAAAGACTAGTAAATACCACCTTCCTCAGACAAAAACTCCCACAGAACCAGGATATGCTTTGAGATATCTGTAAAACTGCTGTTCGACAACATTTCTTAAAATATTGGTCCTTATCATTTCACATTTAAACCATTTATCCTTGAAGGGAATAGTCCTAGTAACTACTGTCATCACGACACAATGCCCCAAACTGGGAGCATTAGTAGCATATAATGTAATCCTGAATTGGGTTCAAATGTATCATAAATTTATAAATGAAAATACAAGCTTTTATGTATTATCACAGTTGTAATGGAAGAACCAGGCTAAGGAGGAATTCTTTAAAAATGATCAAGCGTCAGTCTGAATCATATTAGTTTAACCAAAAGCACACTCCTGAATATAGTGATATACTATGTAGTGACTGTTTCAAGCTAATGTATTTACATGCCAAAACATTTACTTTACAGTCTTTTTTATTTCACTGCAGCGATAATCAGTCATTCCTAAATTCCTAAAGGTTCACAAATCTACCAGCTGTACATACAGAGATTGAACCCAGCCTCTGTCTCCCTGCAGTTCAGGAGACTGAGCGAGCCCGCTGATGTGCGGCTGTCTGAGTTGCTGAAGCACCTACACGAAAAAGGGGAAGAGGCATGTCATGAATTCTACCAAGCACTTCACATCCATGCTGAGGAAGTCTATGCTAGCCTGCCTACCAGGAGCAGGCAAAGAGGTAAAACAATGAGCACCCAGGAGACACCCAGGCTGTTTTTTTTATTAGATAGCAGTTAGACAGATGTCTTTCAGAGGTTTGATTCCATAAACACAAATTTATTTTTAAGATATGTAAAGGGGCTGGCTTTTGGAGCTGTTTAGAAGAGAGTATTTAATAAGCAGAAAATGACAAATATGATATCTCATCATCCCACCCTGGGGTCATCCGATTTGTCTGTTACACTTTAAGTAAGTTAGGTTTCTAATTTAACCCTCTATGTTTGAGGTTGGCACCTTCCACGGTAATTCATAATGGCAGGTGTCCTGCTGTGTAAATACGGTATCTAGATTTATACTGGCTAATCCTGGTTAGGCAGCAGAGAGAAGCCGGTGTGAGGCCAGGGCTGTTAGCTGTTGTTTCAAATGTGTTGCTTTTGCCATCTAACCGCTTTGACTCTCTGTTATAGAGATGGCAGACGCTAAATGGACTAAGATGACCATCCTTCAAGAACCATTTATACTTAATGATAAAGGTAAATATAACCTACATATTAGAGCAACTGCAGTTCAGTCATTCTGAGATTTCGTGCTTGGTTATTGGCATAGCACCCTGTCGTTATTAAAAAGCAATCAAGCAGCTGTTTGAATGATGCCTTTATGATGTTAGATGTGTAGCTTCCACTAAGAGCTATAGATAGAGATCTTGAATGCATTTCTGTTATCATTAGTGTTGACTTGCTTGATTTATTTAGTTGCTTATATTAGTGTCTTTCTCAGTTCCACTAACTCAAAACTCAATCATTTAGACAATAAATGCCACCAGTTTTAATATTTATATATCGTTCTATATACAGATGCAGTTTATGTTTGAATTTATCAGGGCAATAGTGTGCTCGGTCCCCAAAAGTTCCTCTGTCTGCCCTAACCCTGCCCCACAAATGTCCATTTGGCCATTAGTGCTTTCACAGACAAATGCTTGAATAGTGAAAGGTGCTGGTCTAAAGACCTAAAGACCTGGTCTAAAGACTAGTTTCTTGTCCAGCACAATGTTTTTGGTTACTCAGTTGTTGCACTTTTAACTTTTCGTCCAATCAAATTTCTTTCTTTTTCTACAGTGTACCATCCCAAATGTTATGGTTAAAAGCTGTCAGTATCCTAATATATATACATAGAAATGTTTCCATATTCCAAAAACATAAACTCTCACATTCCACAGCTCTATCTGACTCTAACTATGGATAGTGAAAGCACTGTGTTCGGACATGTGGACAAAGCTACTTTGTCCAGGTTTTCTAATGAGACTGGACTGATCCATTATTTACTGGCAGCCTCAGAAATCTAAATTCGCAGAAACAGTCCAAAGGTGGAGTGTGACTTTATTCTGTGTTTCATCTTTACAGTGAGTTTAAGTGAGCCGTGTTGCCACTGTATCTTTCATCGACCGACGGATAAGCCTTAAGCTCATGTAATCTGTACTCTTTAGCAGAGGTTGTGGTCTGCTGAACCCTTTAACCCCTATGGCAGAACGTGGGCCCCAATGCTGTGTGTTTCTCCACCATTCATCAACCCATTACATCCAGGGCTGTGGCTTTGTGGGTCAGTTTAGCTCACGTGGAAAACTGCTTCCTCTGCCATGCATTCTTTTCCACTGTCAGGGGTTCATCCACTAAGTGAAAGGTATGACAGCAGGGAAATTGGCACAATGAAACAACGACTTCTCATCATCTTTCACACAATCACGAGAGGACGGCAGTTGCTGAACAGCACACGTTTTCCCCACGGCATATTTGAACATGCCGTACTCTAATTTTGATGTCCATCCTCAGTCATGAGTCGTTCATTTCTTGTCTCTGCTTCTGCAGGAACAATGTTCTTCCTCTGCTGTTTCAGTTTTGTGGTTGGCATTGCAGTTCTCTACTATTATGGAGGTAGGTCATTCAGATTCATGATGCAACTGAAGACTTTCAGTGTTTACTAATTCCAGAGAGTCTCTTGTGAATTTCTTTGAACTTTGAACTCTTTCTACACACAGAGGGTGAGACATTGAGATGCCCTGGAGCATTTCTTCCCTGCTCTGCCGCAAGATTTAGTAAGGATGCTAAGGATGTTTTCGTTTCTTATGCAGAGGTTGGAAAATAGAAATATTGAGGCCATTAAGGTGCTGAAATGCTTCAGAAAAAGCTCTGAAAGAGGTTCCAGATATGAAACTTTCCTCTTTCCTGTGCCAAAGCATCATACACTGCATTTGTTCATCATAAGAACATCACCAAATCATTTTTAACCGTGCCCAAGCATGTCGGGCTCTGGCAAGTTGTTCGATGAGAGAGTTGGGTCAAACCTTTGCCGTGTTTAATACAAATTTCTCTACTACAGTCATGTGATAAGTGCAATTCCTTCTCATTTTAAGGTTGTGTTTTACAGGACAAAATGTAAAAAAAATAATTTAGTTTTAGGTGCATGAACATCAGGGTTAATTTTTAAAATTTAGTTACTGAAGATGAAGTTCACTTGATTAATTGATCAAAGAAACCCCGCCACTCCTGTAAATGCAGTTGTTTTAACAGTTTGCCAGTTGTGAGCCTGATGCTAGAAAATAAATAGTTCAAATGAGAAGAGAACTCTTCTACTGATGTCATAAAAAAGACTCCTTGAATGATAACTTCTAATGGAGGTTCTATAAGCTGTTGAATTGAAGGGTGTATTTAGTGTTAAATGCACAGTCTCTGCATTTTTGTTTACTTTTTTGATAAATGAGTAGTAAAGAAGTTTTATGTTGTTCAGGGGTTGTATTTTTCTTTTTTTAGATTTTTACACCAGCTTTTTAGACCAAGGGTTTCTTTTTTCTTAAGCGTCATGGTCAGGGAAACCTTAGAACTGAAAGAGAGTGTGTATGCCTTTCTTGTAACTGCTTAAAATATAGTCACAAATGGCATGTTTTAACGCACAAGAATTGAAATTTACATGATTCATTGTATTCAGCGCTCATCTTCTCTGTGGGAATTCTTGTATGTGTATACAGATATCAATTTCGGTCTTGGAGCGTGAACCATGGATACATACGCACATGAAAACCTGTTTACTGTCACTCTAGATTGTTTTTTTATGTATACATGCCAAGAACAACAAAGGTCTCAGGATAAGAAACTTGAATGTCACTAACACCTTATACAGTAAGCTATCCTACACAATTTCTTAAACACCTCATCTTAATACCAGTGCCTACCAATCATTTCTTTTATCAACCAGTCACTGAACAAAGTGCATCATGAACATGTTATATTTTCATCAAATAAAGCATGAAAAGAAATATCACCAGGGTTTGCATCATCATTTTTGTGTGGATCAACAAATGAACAAAATGCTTACCAGTATTGTTTTTTCTAACACATAATGTATAATGCTGATGTCATTAAAACATTCATTGCAGCTACTTACCATCAGTCTGTACACTAGAGGGCACTACTGCCTCATTGGGTCACAAATGTAGGAGACGGTGACGGTGAGTGTTACATTGATGACAATCAGAAAGAGCAAACTGCTCATATTAATTTATTGAACATTTTATTTGATGAGTAACGCTAACGCAATGAAATAATAACGGCTATTTATTGACTGATCAAGAAATGTCTGTACAAAATAGATACAGCTTAGATACCCTGACACATTTGATCACATGTAATGAGTGTCTGTGGAAACGGAGCGTTATCAAAGATGTGGAGAGGAGCTGAGGAGATTTGCTGCTCTGGGTGGGACTTGTCTGCGATACATGATTGACAGGGAAGTCAGGCAGAAGGAGGAATGAAGAGGTGCTGAAGTCTTTTAGTAAATGTTCCCATGACTGATTGCTGAGATCGAACACTGTCCACATCCAAGAGAGCCTCCTAATAACTCTTCTTCATGAGAGCCAAAGCTTGTGGTTGATCGGTATCTCATCAGCATCCTCTGATCTTCGACCCCCACAGAGTCACTCTGTCAAAGACTGAGAGGGAGGCAGAGCAGTAGGCGGAACAGTAGTATCATGTATATATATCAACCACAGATCTGCCATGCTTGAAGCTGTGTGTATCATCAATTTGTCTCCCTCTGTTTCCACGGTTACCAGTGTTAGTTGTGGAGGAGGAAATGGATAAGATTGTGATGTTGGTTTGTCAGTTTAATAGTGCTTTGTCACTGTCGTACTGCACAAATGCACTTATGCATGACTATTATTCAGATATTTAGCAAAGATTCAACCTGCTTTTTACATTTTCTTTTTAAGTCATTGCAGTGTACAAAATGAGTATTGGCATGGGCTCTAATTGGGGTGTCGGTGATATAGCTGAAACAGTCTAATTAAAGCCTTCAGTTTAACAAGCAGTTGTGCTGGGGTCTTTGCTGTGTTGACTCTGACTCACCAGCTGCAGCCAGAGCAGAAAACCACAGACACAGTCCATCTTTGCCCGTGGCAGAAAGATTCATGTCTAAACCAAGCGTTGTTGTAATTTATTGCTGGGCATGATCCCTGTGGGATAGATGTCGAGATAGGTCAGACTCAGAGATGAAGCACGCCCTACTTTGCATCTACATGCTCAGCAGACCCACCGAAACCTCCTGGGCCGAGTCGTCTGGGAAAACAAAAAAACGTGCCACACCACCCTAACATCATCATCATCAGCGCAGTTACAAGCTGAACTGTGTTCAGAGTCGAGTGATGCTGAGCCCCTGTGTCTGTCTGTTGCGTGGGGTCAATGCAGGACAACAGAGCAGGCAGACAGCGCAGGCTCACACGTGACTCACTGCTGTTGTCTCCACTTTCCTGTCGGTCCATGAGAAACAAATCTGCTTTCTATGCGCCAGACAATGATTTACTGGTAAATGAACAGAGGCTTGAGCTCGTTTGAGTCGTTTTGTGGTGGAAACTTCTGTGAGCGCCTGGAGAGGTCAGCGGGTTTCTGGGTCAGGTAGGGGATTGTGATGGTCAGGCCAGAAGAGGAGAGGACCAAAAACATGCTGACCACATGGGTTTGTTGAGCAGAAAACTTCACAATGAAACAGGAGAGAGAAAAACTAGATGGAGAAAAGGAATAAATAAAAAGAGAGTTATTACATGTGTGGCATATTCACTCAGACTAGGTAAGGATATATGTAAGTACTTTACCCCTGAATGGATAAATTACTATATTAAAAAAAAGTAAATCAAATATGATCTTCTATTTGTCACAAAATATGTATCTAACAAGATGCTAGAATACTTGCACTTGTTCGTGGTCAGTTTGGTCGGTGCACTCCAAAGGCTGTGATGAAGATGTTGACCACCACAATAATAAAAACCAGGCCCGTGATTAAGTTTTCCATGAAGTTAAGTTTCCCCTGTATCTGATCATCATATAGGTTCCATCGCACTGCAGTCAGAGCCAGGAAACACATTTCACAACACACATTCGCTGAATGTCTAATCAAACAGGCGCTATCTCATTTATTCTGGGAACCAAGCCAGCTCATTATGGCTTACTGTCAAGCACAAATCTATTTATACTTGATTCTGGGTTCAAAGAGTTCATCCGTCTGCAAGTGACAAGAGAAAATTAGATGAAACAGAGTAAATGATTCAGCTTTTCATTTAGGTCTAAGGAAATGCTCAGTCTATAAGATATGGATTATATAAATGATATGAATCATCTATCATTTCATCCTTTTTTCATGTTCTTTCTCTATTTTGTTTGTTTGATCAAATCTTAATGCCAGTAATCCAAATTATTGACATTTCACATTTCTTATTCAATTGTTCCAGTTTCAAATGGTTTGTATTTTCAAATAAAATGCACCTCAAGATACAAAAAGCATGACATAATCAAACTAATATGTCACTAATCTGTGTTCATTAAGAAAATCCACATACAGTCAAATTGTCTCGTGGACTGAGACAGACAGAAAACAAGATTCATAGAACAATACAGGGGAACAGGGGAACAATAAAAAGCAATGAAGGGGAGCATGGATTTCCTATAATACAACTTAATTTCATAGAGTGTTTTTTAAGAAGCTGGATCAAAACAAAATGACACTATTGCTACATTTTGAAAATGAAAATGTGGTTATCTTCGTAATCACAGGAACTGGCCAATGAATAATGCTCAAATGAATGTGGTTTCCTAGAAATGCGTGCGTGTAGGGGTACAGGGTGTGTGTGGGTGTGTGTATATGTGCATATGCATTTGCAGACTATTATCAGAGGTCAAATGGCACAGGGACCCAGCCTGACCTTGTGTGTGAATGTCTGATCTGCCCGGGTGGAGTGGGGCTGTGGGAGCGGTATGTAGGCCACTCACATCACGCACCACTGCCCCTATTAAAGAGACTGAATTAACGGGGGAGGAAGGGGGGTGAGGGTTTGGGAGGTGGGTTTACTCTGGCTGTAGTGGTGGATGAAGGAGAGGTGAAAGTAAATGTGTGATGCAAAATTATCCCCAATGTAAATGTCCAAGTAATGCAAATACTGCCCCCCTTAGTATTTTAGTGGTGTAAAGAAACAACAGAAATTCCCTTTTGAAATCATTTTTAGATTATCGCAAAGATGTCTTCCATTTCTGTTTTCCAGAAATGGAAAATAATTATATGCCTCCCTGTATTTACTCATTCTGGTGGAGCTGAGGTGATTCAGCATGACCCTGACTAAAGTTCACTAACCCGTTGTTTCTCCATGTTCCATGTCAGGTTAGCTTCATCTCACTCTGACGAGCAGATGCTACTTTTACACCTTATTCTCTTTTGGTCACCTCTGCTGATTCCAGCACCCTAACAGACACATACTGAAATGCTTTCACACGTACACTGCAGAGAATTCAAGTGACCTCTCCCCATTGACTGTCATACGTGCTGACAAACTAAAACCTGGTGAACTCTGACCCGGTAGCCATGGTTACAGCAAAAGTCTGGTAGGTAATGGGTTGTTTTTCAGCATTGCTTGGTGAGGGGGCAGTTCAATGTCGGGTAAAATGTGGAAAAGAGTAATCAATCTTGCTGATGGGCTAGGTGGATAGATATTAAACTTGAAGCTTGCAAGATGTGAAGTAAACATAGATGCCTCTGAGATGCATCTTTCATTTTCTCACCTATGAATATAAGCAGGATCCCAACTGCGACCTGTAGACAGAGGGAGATGCTGATAAGGGTGACGATGGGGACATAGAACGAAATCTTTGGCCCCTGATCCAGCACTGCCTTTAATTGGGAGGCATTGGCCATCAGTAGAGCAACATCCAGCATGCTCTCAGCTGCACTCTTCTTATTGGCATAGTGGTTCATGTTGAGAAGGGCTGGGCTGCCGGGCCCAGGATCTGGATGGGTGGCCTGTGGAGAGAAGAATGTAATTGGTGCAGGGAAAAAAAACTGTTTATGGCTTGGAGAAAGTGCCTGCGAGAAGGATGCCTGGAAATAAACAGAGAAGCACGCTCTGTGCTCTGTTTTGTTCTCCCAGTTGAACAAAGCGGCATGTTGATGAGACTAGCAGTAATTTTGTGCTTCCTGTGCATGGATAGTGAGGATCTGAGCTCCATTCTAAGTTAATTATCAGAAAAAGCAAGCAATACTGAGGAGCGACCCTCAAGCAGCTATTAAAAAACTTACAAGCTTATGAGGTTGAACAAGTCAGTATGTACATTTTGTGCCCATAGTTTGAAGCAATTTTTTATCTTTTCCCAATATTCAGATGTTACCCATGTTCCACTGTTTCCTTTAAACCCTGGCTGGCCTCTTCTCTTCCATAATTTGTTGACTTTGCAAATCAAGGCAGTGATGATTGACTGTCCTGTGCCTGTAATCAAGCTGGTTGTGTGGAGTGATATGGTGACTATTCAGTCACATCTCTGTTTATTTGAGCACAATTACAGAACAGGCTGCAGATCCTGAGTTAGTAAAACCCAGAAGCATTTGTTTTATGACATAAGTTCACCACACAATCAACAATCAATTTATATTTAGCACATTTGGAGCACATGGGTAAACACAGCTTGTTAGATTATAAAGTTTGTTTGTCCCTAGAGTTCATAATAAATGTCATATATCCTATAATAATAATCCAGAAATAATATCAAAAGTTAGAGATTGAATGGATTCTTGTGGGGGCGATGATTATGTAACAGATCACTGGCTTGGTTTTGTGAGTGGACTCTGACCACATGAAGTCATTCCTGTATAGGCATTGGAGGGGATGGACAAATACTGTGATATTGATAAACAGGAAAACTCATTCTGAAATGTTGAAAATAAGATTTATTTGGAGTGCTGTGACCGTATTAATATCCTCTCAGAATTGCTTTGGTGAACACCAGAACTACAGTACACTGCTAAAAACTGAATGGTGTCAAGGCCAAAGCCTGAAGACTAACACTTTTGGGGGGCATTCAGTAATCAGCAGCCTCTTCCGGAGAACCAAAACCTCCTCTTTCTTTCTCACAACACACCCCTGCAGCTGCAGTGAGCATAGCTTGTCAGAGATTAACCAAACCACTGAGTTGGTATGAAATGTCTTCCCTCTGCCACAGAGACAAAGAGAAGAGAGGGGAAAAGAAGAGTTGCACCCTCTAATTTGCCACAGAATAGGCAACAGCTGAATTACAGTGTCTTTAGGATATTCATAACAATCAGCTGCCATGGGTTAGGTTGATATTTGAGGGGAAGTTCAGAATGAGGAGAGGGTGTGGCTGTTGGGATGAGAGGAGAGCTAGAGCTGTTTGGCAGCAGTTATTTTGATTAGTTTGATTCTATTAATACGCCTATGCTTTTTTAGAACATGGTTTACATGTGTCAATAGCCGAGTTCCTAATCTATGAGAGTATTGCTTTTTTTTTTTGGCAGCAATTCTTTAAATCGACATTCTCAAAAATATCCAACAGACCTTGGGGAAAAAAAGTTAAACTGTCTTACTCAAAACCCATCTCACTTCTAGTCATAATACCTCGTGCTACAACTCATCTCAGCTCTTCAAAACATGTTTCCCTGCATTCCACTGGAAATCAGTGCGGTGCGGTGTAGTCCCCATGTGACTGTGATTTGGGCCAAACTGCCACAAATGGTACACTGTCATGACGTGGTGGGGTCAGCCATTCTGCTCCCAAACACTGACACAGGCTTTTCAAAGGCAGCCCTTCATCCTCAAGTCAACAGACCACAGTGACATAGTGCTAGTTGTGAGATCACAGGTTTGTAACATGGAGTCACTGTGTCTAGAAACACAACGGCTGACTATTTCTCTAAAAATCACCCATGAATATAATAACCTCCTCATACGGATTCATGGACCAGACTTGCAGTCACCAGACCTGTAAGGTTAAGCTTTTTGTCATCTTTCGTCTCATATATCAAGAATGAGAGCAACAGGTTATAACTATCTGCTGAAAAAGAGACACAGTAAACAAAAAAAAGACCAATGTGGGATATGATTGGTTATTTTGCCAATTGGGCAGAAAGCCCACCAAAAACGTTTTAAACGATAAATCCTATCTAAGTCCTTTCTCTTTAATATGAAAAACTTTTGCACGTGTCTGTCCATACTGCTGATTCTCAGAGCAAGCAATAGACTTGCTAGAAGGCCATTCATTTCACACCTATTGTTATGTTAAATAAAAGAAAGATTCTCGTTAAATGTTGCGTTGTGGTTCTAGGTTTCAGTGCTTATTTTGTGATAAATTCTAGACACTTTTTTTATTTTTATCCAAATCAAGCTTTGGGCAAAACACACCAAAGGAAAGGACTGTGAGGGAATGAGAGCAAGGCGAGAGGGGTGAGACAGGTATAAAGATTGTTTAAACTCCCAGTATATCCTCACAGTGGAACATCAGATGTATTTATGAAAAACACCCATCTCTCTGTAAAGGCACATCAGACGTCACGCAGTGGGTGTCTATGAGAAAGAAAGAAAGGAAGAAAGAAAGGACTTTCAGTAACCTAAGTGTTTTAAAACCTCTTAAAATGATAAAGTTAACCAAAATTCCTTACTGAGAAAGAAAGGTATATGTAATCTTCTGGATTAAACACTAACTACATCAGCATGTTTCAGAGAACATCATAGAGCTATTCTCAAGAAACTGGACCAAAACCTTAAATGTTCTTTTTCAAAACTGAATCTTTCTTTCCCTGTGTATTAAGATGCCTCTTAGATTTGGCCAACGTCCAAGCCAAAGCAATGAACTCATTCATCTCCCACACCTAATCTAAACTTGTTGCTATTTCCCACGTTGTCACACAGAATCGCACCCTGAGCCAAATACCCACATGTCAATTACAGAGAGACCATGCTGCAGCAATGCTTTGTACCACTAAGCTCTGTATCTGTAATGTGCAGGGCTCTTTAAAGCAACAATGCAAAGTACTTAAGACATTCTAGGATCCTACATTTATTATTCACTTGAATGATCCAGCTGTCGAAAGACCAAATTAACTCTGTAACTTGATGGGTGTGTCTCTCCCTTCCTTTTCCCCTCTCTCACATAAGCACTTCTTTGCTCTCCATCCATCATGTAACATCAGCAACCCTCACTTCTCACTCAGCTCAAACTCTGGCAGCCCTCCAGATGAGGATCGACCCAACTGTAAATCTAATTTCCATGATTCTCTGTAGAGCTTTTAGTTTTACAGCCTCACACAAAGAAAAGTAAACATGCCTGTTTCAGATGGTGATCCAGCTACGGCACTTAAAGAATTGAATGCACTTTCCTTTGCTCTAAAGAGAAAGATGCATTGAAAACCTATGACACGGAGGGGTGACCAAAGCACATTGTCCTGGCTTTGTACTGAAATCTAATACAGAATCTGATTGGTGTTCGATTTCAGTGTAAAACAGATCAGGATATTAAAAGTCTGTTAAGCATCTGCAGAAAAAAGATCTTCATTCTACAAAACAACCATGAAGTGATTTTTATCTCATGCTGGAGGGGTGGGAGGCAGGGGGGCAACGAGGACACATACTGTAAATGAGATCATTCAGCCATTTTATCGAGCGTGAGGGTATTGCACTTTGTCTCTGACAGTCACAGGGAAGTATCTCTGGCAGCCAGGGTCTCCCTTCTTCCTCCCCACTAGTTCTGCAATCACACACACAAACATGCTTCCACCTGAAATTAAACAGCACTGAGAAGATGGAGTGAACTCCATTTCCCTACATTGTAAAACTTGATAGTGCGACCTGGATGGGGCTCAGAGCGCCTGCATATTGTTATTACTTGTCAAATGGAAACTTAAATTGCCACATAAACCATCTGTCTAATCAAGACTCTTAGTTATCCTGCTGCTCTCTCGTCGTGGCTTGCATTGATATTATATAAAAGTAAGACTGTGTGTGTGTCTGTATATGTGTATATTTAGGCTGGTGAAGTGGAAACTGAGCAGCACATTCTTTATTTATAAGGGCACTTAGGTGCCAACAATGCTTCACTCCTCAGATGAACCAGAATGTCATCTGACCCTGCATGCCTTCAGCAGCCACGCCAATCTTTATTGAAATGTTTATGTGGATTGATCTGTTTCTGTTTAGACATTAAATCAGTTACTATCTAATCTGTGCTGCAGTGCTCCAAAAGTTCCGGCTTTCATATAGATTGTATGGGTTGAAAAAGAGTGGCATCAAAATGCAGATACCACAGGTGGTTGATAGTTTAATGTCATCAGCTTACACAAAACAATCAACCAGATAAGTATTGGTTACATAGAGGGTACTAACAGTCCCCTGGCCAAAATGGAATGCTTGTAGCTTACAAACGTGCATGGGCATTTTTAAAATGCTGCTTTGTGTATCCAAGATACCTTCAACTATTATAGACTTCTATGCAATTTAGACATTTATCTAACATCTATTATATTTACCATAAAAAGGGTCAAATTGATCTATTTGCTTTATGCAGAACATATTCCATCCAAGATGTACTCCTAGTTTTTGTGAGAAATAGAGACATTTGACCATGCACTCACTGAGAAATAGGCAGATCCTAACACATTTTATGTCACAAGAGAAATATGTCTTACCTCAGGCCCACGTCCACTGTTGCTGCTGTTCATCAGGTTTTCCTGTGAGCTGCAGGCTGCTGCTCTAACTGCCACCCTGTGTCATGCAGGGACACGCGACCTGAAAGCATGTGCGTGTTTTTTTTTAAAGAAAGCAACAGTTGCACATTCTCTCTTTTGACATCATAAAATTGCCCTTATAATTTCTATCCTAAATTAGTTGAACTGATATTGAGGTACACACTGACATGACAGTGTCCTTTCTCTATCCTAGCTGTGAGGGATATATAAAAAGGAATTTATTGTTTAACGAGGTGTGATTATTGGCATTGAAATCGACGAATTGTCTTTCTATAGAGCACGGCTCGTTTTTTTTTTCACGTGTCAATCTTCGTACTGCAACAATACGGTGAGTTAGCTCTCCGGGTCCCAGCGCGCGCTCTGATTGGACGGCGCGGCCGGTCGTTCGCGGGGCGTGGAGCCCGGCCGGCTGAATGGGAAACGCATTTGGGTGTCTCACCGGCGCACGAATCTAATGGAGAGAGGCGATGACATGCGAAAACACTTGCTCATTTAAGTTTACTGCCGAGGAGACAACGGGAAAACCCAATTTAGCCCCGCGTGGAAGCCACCGGTGAGGTATTTAATTCCTCGCACTGCACCCAGCGGCCACGAAGAAGAAGCGGTGGAGGAACGCCAATTTGAGTCTGCAAAGAGGGATGCGAAGGCTTGTCATGAGATAAATGCCACATATTTGTCGTTTCCTCCCCTCCAGCATGGGGTCTGTGTTCAGTTAGCAAAGCCTGGACAGGAGCCGGATTTGTTTGCGGTGCTTGCGGTCGTCCCTGTGCGTGGAAATGGGGCTAATATCCAGATAGGGCGTTTTTAAAGTCCACATTTGGTCGTGGACTGTCGGCTAACGTTAGCGACGTTCTTTTTTTTTTTTTTTTCTAATACAGGACCAGACAGGTTCGCCTCCAGTGTTTGAACCTGGGTGGTCTGCCCGGGGTTCTTCTCGGTTTTCAACCAGGTAAGTGTTATTTTTCAGCAGCGTAATTTGAATTTTAGAGACAGGTGACAGTTGGCCATGGCAGCGCTTGGTGGAAATCACGCTAGCGAACTTAACTTGTGTCGCCACGGCCAGCTCGCGCCCATGTCGTCCACCTGAACGACGACGGCTTTTGCCAACAATATTGTTACACTCCCAGGTTTGTTTTGGCATCCCCCCGCATTTATTTGTCACCAGCTAACTTGCTTTATTTTAATCATTACTCGCGTGCAGAGTGCCAGCAGATGGCCTAAGCCGTGCCCTGAAAACATTACAGAGCGTTGGTTTTCTATTTGTCTAACTGGCTCCGGCTCTTTTATCTGAAATCTCTTCTGTGTCATCCATCCCAGAGCCGTTGAAGGCCTTTGCTGGCAAACTGCGTCACCGGGTGGGCGCTGCAGGTAATCATCTGTAGATTTGAAGCCATGGCTGGAGTGACCGGGAGATCCAAGTGACTGAACTTTTAAATCACCATGGAACCCATGGAGCCCAAGGCTACTTTAAACTCCGAGGTTCCCCAGGAGCACAAATATACATCTACACCCAAATCCCAGTGCGAACCCACCGTAAACATGCAGGAGGCCAGGAGTGATGGAAACCTTGTGGACTCTGTCGTGAGAGGTGGGAGTGACCCCAGTGCGTACCCTTCCTCCAGCTACCAGAGGAATGTGCACCAGAGATTCATCAGGAGGAGTTTGTGGTTTTCGGATACGGATGATCAGACCTTTGAGACACCCGAGGGCGAAAACAAGAGTAAGATCCTAAACATCAACTTGCGAACAATAGTAGACAGGACGCGTGGAACGGCTTGTTTGATACAAGAGAGTTCCAGCACAGAAAGTCAAGGTGGACGCAAAGACAGCGCCACAGAGAGCACCAGCGCCGACGAAGACAAAGACAGAGGTGCCAACTCGTTGAGCGTTACTCACAGTGACGGTGGCAAAGTTGCTTTAAAAGCAGCCAGTGAAGAAAATGAGGAGGAGGCAGAGATGAAAGCGGTGTCTACATCTCCAGGAGGAAGATTCCTTAAGTTTGACATTGAGCTGGGGAGAGGGTCCTTCAAAACGGTCTACAAAGGCCTGGATACTGAGACCTGGGTGGAGGTGGCCTGGTGTGAACTGCAGGTAAAGTCATAAAACTGTCCCTTTCTGTCACAGTTTCGGTGTTAGTGTCAGTTCAGAGTACACAGGGAAGATCTATGAGGTCTGTGCATTCAGAATATAGCTTTAAAAAATCACTACAGTCTGATGGAGAAGGCACTCAAGTCTTTTATTTTTTTAAAGTGTATGTAAACACAGCATCTACATTATTTCCCTCTCTGATTAATACAATTTTGAGTGATTTATATTAATGAAAGAATGGTTCTCATAGGATACTCTTTATCCTACTAGCATGCAAGAGGATAAAGATAAAGGTGTCTAGGGAGCTATCGGGGAACATGACTCTCATGAAGGAGTGCCCAAAAGGGCTAATGGGTTCACACTAAATTTTGAATGGTTCTCAAAAGGAAAAATGATGTGCGTAGGCACCGCCACTAATGTATAGTAATCTGCTGTTCTGCAAATGCAACCATTCTGTTTTCCTCATTATACAGACAGGAAAATCACAAGCTTATGACTGTGTAAAGGTATTAACTAATTATTTCCGTCCTTTGGAGACTGCAGCAGGGATTATCTCTCTCTCCCTCTGTCTCCCAGGAGGCTTAATGGGGACTGTAGTAAGCATGACTGACCCCTCAAAGAAAGTAAACCTGTGCAGCATGTTATTTTTCCACCGTTAGGCACAAATGGTGATGATTCATTTCCAGTAATGTGCCACCAATCTTGATTTTTCACTGTAATGATTTAACCAGTTGACAGTGTTGTGGCAGTTTTGGGAGAGGACAGTACAGGATGCACGTATGTCCAGTCTTTCACAGCAGTTAGCCTGCTGCAAAAAAGTAGTGTCACTCCCTGCATCACTCCCTCTATTCAACAGGAGGTAGAGAGACAGGAAGCAGCTGAAAGTGCGCAGTAGCCTGTTGGAGCCGTGTGGCGGCCAGTGGCCTCCGTACTTTGCCTGGGGTAGTAAAAACATGCAACGTTAGTAATGTGCGAGATGAAAGATTGCAGCCTTCCTTCCTCAAAAAGAACTAAACCTGTTATGTATGGCTGCAGCATTGCAAGGTAATGATGCATCTCATTTTTTAAAAGGGCTAAGAGGATGACGTTGCATCTGAGAGAGTAAGGGCACAGTATCTGTGTGGCTTTTTCAGTTCAAATCTGAAAATGCAGTTTCTACATTGGACTGAATCTTAGCATTGTCAGGGTCCATATCAGGTGACAGTTTTACTCCATTACAGTGTCATGGTCAGAAAAGACCTATAGGTCAGTAGTTGTCTTTCATAAAGGCTCTGAGTCTCCACTGATTCTATTGGCCAATCACTATGCTAATGTATCCTGCTAAACATGCACTTGCATATCTTACCTGGAATGAAGTAGGACGGTAACAGGTTGTGTCCAGTCCAGTTCAGTGAGTTAATAGTTGTGGAGATGTTGGAGTAATGCTTGTCCAGCAAAACAACCCTGGAATATGTGCTACTTATGCTGGGTGGTCACTCAAAAATCCGCCCACCTGAGGTTATTGTGTCGGAAAGATGAGTAAAAGTGTAAGTTTAGGTGAGGCAGAAGAAGAGGAAACTAATCAGAGGGATTTATTCCTTAACTTGTAGTCATCTCTTTTCTCTAGGATTATAGCTTTTGTAGTTTCTGCATCTGTTTGACTGTAAAAGAAAGAGTCAAGAGTTTATTTAATAGTTCAGAGGTCTGACAACATAGGCAAAGAAGTGCTTTAAAGTTTTCAAAGTAGCCTTTATATATGTTTCCTTGAATAAATCTGAGCTATTTGTGACTGGTTGTTTATTTATCCATATATTATTTTTTAGTAGGGCATTGAAGTGATTTACTTATTTGTGCATCTAGATAATTATTGACGCAGTATTGACTATGACGCAGTAAACAAAGTCAAAGATAACTTCCAGTCCCTTTCCCTCTTACGACTTTATCTCTATCATACACTCTTGTTAGCCTTCTCTCTTGCATATTTCTTTTACAGTCAGATAGCTTTTTTTAATGTTGGTACAATTAATTTTCAGGGCAGCGTCCACCTGGTTTAAAGTAGGGTCACAACGGTGGTTTGGCCAGCACAGATAGACACCACTTTGCACGTCTGGTGTCAAGTTGCATCTTTTTGTGACCGTGCACATGGAACTTTTCTTAAACCTGTGTAATTCTAGGGAGCTTTGCCAATACTCTTTAACTTCTATCTTTTAATGAGAGACTTGAGTTCCTCCCCTTTGGATTATTGGAATACTTTGTGTTGTCTGTCTGCTATCAGATGAAATGCACTGGATAGTATTTTAAGTCACTGCTCTGACTAGTTGTCTGAGCCAAAAACAACCCATGCTGCCCACAGTTACACAAGATCTTGTCACATTCAACAACATTGTGGAGCACAGGTAACAACAAGACCTAAGACTCCCACAACTAAGTTTTGAATTCCTGTTTGTTGGTCTTGCATGTCCAGGTTGCCAGCTTAGTCTTGCCCAGCATAGATGTTAGAAAACTAGGACAGATGACATTTCTGTGGAGGATGAAGTGTTTTGAAATTGGACCCTATGATTTCCCTCCGTCTTCCCTCCTATAGTCACATGGCTCCATTGCCTCAAAATGGTTTTATCTGATATTGTGCCATGTGTTTTTTTTCTTTTTTCCTTTCCTTCCCCCCCTCCTGTCTCTGTAAATCCTGTCTCTTGTACGCCCTTCTCCCCCACATCTCAGTGTCTCCGCCAGGCTTCTGGCATAACACAGATGGCTCTGGCTCAGGCAGTGATGTTAATCTGAGAGAGGGATGTCACATTTTTCACTGTTGTTAAAAAGCACTTCCTGTTTTTCTGCTCACCATATTAATGCGTCTCCTATGATCGTTTTATTTTTATTTTTCAAATGTAGAAACCTCTAATTTCTGCCAGCTGTGACTCCTTAGATCAAATTTCTCAGCTTTCTTTCTATCTGTGTTTAAGGCTGTGTGCACCTGTGTGCGCACACACACACTCAAACCTAGCCCTTGACTCTTTGCAGACTTTGCTGTGGCATTTGGCAGAGGTTTTGTTTGTCTGTAGATAAAATCGGGGTTGATTGTGAATGCACGGAGCTGTTGACGATGGCGTGGCAGTGATATCATACTGCTTGTCTGTGCTAGACGGTGCACATTTTCTTTAGCTAAACGTTAACCATGGCCTGAAGTCGCTCAGCCAGTATCCTCATTAGAAACTCCCTCTCCAAATGTATTTATTTATTTTCTAATCAGAGGTTTGAATAGGCAATTATATGAGATTCGTACTTGCTTTGTATTGCTGTGAAGCAGGGGGTTTTCTCATTTCATAAATATGTTATGCTAAATACCACATCACTTCCTTAGTTTTCCATATGAAAACACTTCTGACATTTTTATGAATTTCCTTGTTCAAGGCCCTTAATGAGCTACGTATTGACGCGAGGAGAGCCTGACCAGGTGACTGTAGCCAAACAGTGCATTATCTGTGGCTACATCTCCCGGAGTGCCCGAGTTTCTCTGTCTCTCCGACAACAGAAGAACCTAAGATCGGATGAGCGTGCCATGGAGCCATAGCAGTGTGATCGGCATATGGCTCCAGCCGGCTTAATATGAAGTTTCTGGTTAATAAAACCATTGTACATGGTGCAGGAGACACAATTGCAGGCCTGCATTAATTCCTTTTACTTGGCCAGAATAATTGACTTCCCAGAAATACACAGAGAAGTTTGATTAGGAAATGTTTTGATTTAAAGAAGAAGAAAGTGAGCACAATGAACATTATAGAACAGTACCATGGGAGAACACTTCCTGCACCCCCCCCCCCCACAATTTTTTAAAAACTTCCTGTAAGGGAACACTTGAGAGATAGCACCAACACAGTCTTCATAGATCATACCAGGATTGAGTGAAGACTTCCTACATTGTACCCCACAATAGAAGATTCATTCCTTCAACCACCCCGTCCCCCCTCCTGCCCTAGAAAGTGTCAGCACAGCTCATTAGGAGTAATAATCCCTTTTGGAATTTAAGAGGGTTATTTATATGAACAAACTGGCGCACCTCTGTTTCCTGTTCAGGCCTCCTGCCTAGGTTCGTTGGGGTAAAAACAAGGGTTTTTTTTTTTTTTTTTTTTTTTTAAACATCCTACCTGACCTCTTAGTGGTTAAGCTTGTTATGTAATGATTACTGTTGCGCTTCCATAACATGCCCCCTTTCAGAGAAGAAACCCTAAATAACACTTCTTATGTAACAACATCTTTTTCTGTCAAACATCTATTTAAACCAGCATACAGGGTTATAAATCTTAAAGTAACAGCTTTATTTCATTCTAATGAAAATTGTTGAATAGATATATATTACTATTACTTTGTAATAAGGTTCACTGTCCATCTAGGCATCTGTGCTTCTCCTTCCTCTGAACACCCATTGAACACCCGTTATTTCCAATTCCATGCTAAGTACATCCATTTTTATACTAAAGCTTTATTAAGCCTTGTATAAAGTGCCTGAAGGAACTAGATGGATTTAGGAAAAGTGTCATAAACTTTTACTGATTTGAAAAAAAGGTTTTTTTTTTTAAAGACACTCATGGGACTTCATAAACAAAAGTCTTTGGAATTTGAATATATTGTCATCTCTACCACAATTGTCAAAGAACTGTGGCATAGATGTTATAGAGGAATGTTTTCTGTGGCACTTTAGCAGAAATATGAAGCTCAAAGACATGCACAGAGTCAGCTTTATCATACAGAAATTGTGAATACCTTGTAAAATTTCCCCCAAATCTGCATTTCTATATACAGCAGCTCCTGCCAAAATGACTAAAATTATTGTGAAATAATGTACCTTGTTTCCTCTTTTTAAATGTATCTGCAGGTATATTTGGAACAAAAAAAAGAAAAAAATTACAAAAGAAAAAACAAAGTCGAGTTTGTATTGATTTTGAATAGATTTAAGGAAGGTGAACACAACTGTTTTTGCTGTTCCTGTGTGGTGTCGGGTCCCATAGTTTTTTTTTTTTTTTTAATGCCGACTCAAGCCTGTCTCTGTCTGCGTTCTCCCGCATTCTCCCGCATAGGCAAGAGGTTGGCCAGGCCAGCCAGTTCAAGTCAGGAGACACCATTCTTTCTTTGCCTTATATCTGCCCCAGCCATCATCAGCGTTCCATAAAATCCAAATTGGCCATCCTAGCTCTTTCTGGACTAGACCAGTTCACACTGGCTTCCTGAGGCTTTTTACGGTAATGTGGACATTAAGAAGATGAGAATATTTGTTTAAAGTTGAGAGTGGATGGGTGAAATTGCTGCCACGTGTGGGATAGCACCACAGCTATCTGTTGCTAATTGTATTAGTTACCCTGTTGTTTTTACAGTGGAGCGTCTATGCACGAGTGTGTGAGTAGGACGTCCCTGCCAGCTGTCGAGCCTTATGATCTGCTGGACACAGACACTATGCAGGAGAAAGTTAAAAAAACAAAAATAAGTTTTTATTTATGTCTCTAAACTGCTTGTTGGTGTGAGACAAAAACAGATGGATTGCATATCTGTATCCCACAGTCTGAAATGGCTAACTCATGGTTGCAATTGGGCAAAGAAAATAATCTTTAAACACCCATGCTGCATTTAAGTAGTTTCTGATTCCTTCTCAGTTGATTCTGCTCAGTGATGTAGCAATGACCTAATTGTTGTTCTGCTTGTGCTGAAACTGTCTGTCAAGCATGCCTTTCTCCATAGATCCCTCTAGTTTCTTCTCTTTTGTTTTCCTGGCTTACTCCTTTCATGCCCAAACAGTGAAGTAGTCATCAGTCCTACCGTTTGTTGCTTTTCTCTCCCCATCATCATGCCATCATGGATGGCATGGCGTTTTAGGCTTCATCTTGGCAAAGATGGATAGAGCATATATATACAGTATATATATAAAAAGCCTGTCTTTTCAGATAATTTCACACCCCTATTGTCAGTCCTTAGTGCCGGTGTGCTGCTTTGTGCAGCCTGTGAATGCGGTGGCTGTACGGCAGGGCTGTGGCACTGAAATGATGATAGCCCCTGGCACAGCTGCTGCTCACAGCCTCCTGCAGTCGTGACCGATTGGACAGAATTCATCTGCTGGCAGTCTGCTGGCTCATGACTCGCCCTGCATCAGCTTTTGTTACAGGACCGGAAGTACTGCAACCATCATTTTGGAAGAGGGTTTATTTCCCGTGAGTTCATACATCCTTATAGTCTGTGACTCAGCCATGGCTGTGTGAGAGGTGTTCTGCAGCACCCTGACCTCCAGGATAAGATGTGGATCAAGAAAGATTCCCATTGTTACTGAGATTAAAAGTGAACCAGGACTTTTCCCTGTAGAGGTGGGGAGGGAGGCTTTAGTCTGGCTCATTAGCTCAGTATGTAAGGATGAATGTGTTAGTGTGTCATTAGTTTATAGTTCAACCACATCCACTGGGGAATTTTCTTAATCTTCTTAACTAAGTGTTGTGACGCAGTGAGAAAGTATGCTTCTATATTTGATAGAACTTGTTGATCCCTGTCACGCTATCATTACAAAGTCCATATTTTGCTAATCTGCTCTTAACAAAGGGTCAAGATGAGGTCAAGTTGATCAAGAAATGGTGATTAAGAGCACAGCTGTAGACATGGACTGGCCAGAGTGGGGTGTGCGTGCTCAGCTTTGCCAGCTAAACTAGAGTACCAAATGCCATATCTGAATGTATAAATGCGTGTGTAATCGCACATATCTAACTGAACTGATTAAAACAGAGACTAAAGTCAGCTACGTGCAAGGAACATGTGTTGCCTATTATCTATCTGTTGTAATCCCTTGTGCCGTCTTTCTTCTCCTAATTCGGATTGGCTGAATGAGCACCTGTCTGGGCTGAGGTGCCCAGTCCCTTCCCTGGGTGCTTCATGACAAAGATTCTAAAAGTGTGTTCAGAGTATTTATTTTCCGTTTGTGTAATCTGCCTATTTGACATCAGGTGGTTGGTGTGATTTCTTCATGTATAGATGGCATAATGGATAAGATGCCACAAACGGACATTTATAATAAATAAGAAAGGTGATAAATGGATATTTCTCCAAGGTACTTGTGCTGAATAATGTTGGTGATGAAATGAGCACAGATATCCTGTTTCACCTGCAGTTTTTCAGCCGGCACAGCAGTTATTTCTCATGTTGTTTCTTGTCTATTGTTGTCTTACTGTCGAAATTGCATATTACTGTTAAATCCTGTCAATATTTCTGCGAGTAATAACAAAGGGCTAACAGTTCTGTCAGCTCAGGATGTTTAAGGATGTTTATTCTTTAACTTTTGTTTTTTATATTGAATGAATGAGTAGCACAGATTACAGTATGTGGGCAAAGTTCCTGTGTTTTTCCCCCACTTCCCTTTGTTTTCTGTTGTTTAAAAAAAAAAGTCTGATTCATTTCCTCGCAGATGAAATTACAAACTGACTCACGTGTTTAGTTAAGTCCCTAACCCCTACCTCAACGAATACTTGCAGAGGATTCCATGTTGACTGCACTGCAAGGCCGCTGGAGTGATACCATCTCTGAGGGCATACTGTACATTCTTTAGCTTAGAAGGCTTCAATGCAGATGACAGACAAATGTCCAGTAATTTTCATGTTCCACCTAAAGGGAATATTTGCAGTCTGATTGCTTCAGTAGCTGACAGGGGAACAGCAAAACTAATTTATCAGCTTACCGCTTGGCATTTTTGGCTTTGAGTGTTATTTTTCTGAAAATGTTCCAGCAGAAATATTTTAAACTAACACATGGTCCTCTGGCCACATTGGGCTGTCTGCGTCTACTTTGTCGGTGTTGCTGTATGAGCTGCAAGAGCTCATGCAACTAATAGAGCTGAGCACACAGATGTAGTGGGCGGCAGCAGTGTGGAACATAGCTTTAAGGATTGCTTCCTGCTAATGTCACTATCCATCTTCCTGTCCCTGCTACCCAGTATTTATTTGTGTGTGTGTTTAACCTTGCCCAGGCAGTTTTAAACTGGTGTTTCGCTCACTGGTACAGCACAGACTTCCTAAGAATGCTTTGTCAAACTTAAACACAAAGATCTGTTCAAATGATGGATGTAATAACACGTTGTGTATAAATAACTTGAATGCCTTGGAGTAACTATGAAATGATTTTCAGTGATACATTGTGCGTTTTGTTTTTGTGGGAGAATGTTTTTTAGTGTTGTAGGTCTGTGTGTGTCTTGCCATGCAGTGAGCCTTCAGTACACGTGGCCTCTAAATAATGGAGGAGCCCTGATGTTTGCTTAGATGGAAACAGAAGTGAGGAAGCAAATGTAGGGGCGTTAGGAGAGTGTGACTGGGACTTGGGGAACACTGAATCGAGGGTTAATGAAGGCAGCATGAGTTCTGAAAGGTGACAGTGCAGGTGCTAAAAGGAGAGGGAGCGCTGCTTTGCTCCTTGTTTAAAAATGCTTCTAGTGATCCTTTATCAGTCTTCACTGTTGCCTCTTTAAGACATGTTTTAGGTATACACCAGACTATGTGTTGCATCTGCTCAAGTTAAGAGCACTCTGGGATTACCCAGCCCAACGTGGGACCCAGCCCTTCATTGCTCAGCTCGTCTCTGTAGAAAGTGTTCTCTGCAGAACTGAATTATTCATGGGGCTTCAGAAGAGTGCAGTGAAAATCCCCACCCCCCACATAGTTGCACACAAAACCTAATGTGCCACACACTCACAATGCCTTATCACCATGCCACTCCACACCTTGCATCACATAATATTTTGCTTGGTTGTTTATAAGTCTTTGTAAGTCCTTATACAGACTTAAGTCTGGTTTATGGGTACATTGATGTGATCTCACTGGGTTGGGCTGATTTGATTCATCCACCAGTGTCGTCAGTGTCCGTGACGGGAGGGGTCTTGCTTCTGGTGTCCTGCACCGATTCTGTTTCTCTCTGTTATGCAAGGTTTTGTATGTAATAATGTTTTTTTCTGTTAAAAAATGGTGCAAAAAATGAGCCCACTGGGTTAGTGTTGTAGTGAATGGATAACGGCCAGAGGTTGAGGTTACTGAGGATGCTTTTGCGAATGTGGGAAATATAGGGTGTTGGATAAGGGAGTGGTTGATGTGAGGGGTGCAGAGAAAGGGATGGGTTGCAGATGTAGGGGGAGGGGAGAGAGGAGCTAAAGGTATTGGTTCAGAGAGTGAGCACGCATATGAAGGAGGTTGAGAAAAACGGAAGAGATCAGTGACATAATGTGGAGCTGCAACATGTTGTGGGTGTGGCCACTCCTGTGTCTGGGACGATTGTCTCTCCAGTTGTTTGCACTCCTCTGACTCTTTGCACATCCTCAATGTTTCTGGCTTATTAAAGTGAGCGTATGATTTTCAATATGGCCATGTTTGATACAAAGATGTGTATTTTAGGTGTCCCACACAGGGAGAACATTCAGCATTTAATCGTCCACACACTGACTCAAAAGCTTTGTATATATATGCTCCAGTTAGAGGAGTGTACATAGACTTAACACAAAGCTCCTTACTTGCTTTTTACTTTGAAAATGCATAATCTACGCTTGAGTATAAAATGTGTGGAAACCGAGGAGTTCTTGCTTCTGATCGCTCTGTTGAAGATCTGAGTATTACACATTCAAAATATCTATTGCTGACACTCAATGTTGATCATTTCTTTTGCTTTTCCTTTTCTGTAGGACCGCAAGCTGTCCAAAATGGAACGTCAGCGCTTTAAAGAGGAGGCTGAAATGCTGAAGGGCCTTCAGCATCCCAACATTGTTCGTTTCTATGACTTCTGGGAGTCGCCCCTCAAAGGAAAGAAGTGCATTGTTTTAGTAACGGAGCTCATGACTTCAGGAACACTGAAAACGTAGGTATTTAGGATCAAAATGAGAGGAAGGCTGTCATCCTTTTACCGTCATGTTCACACCTGTTTTTCTCCTTTGTACAGTTACCTAAAGCGTTTCAAGGTGATGAAGCCAAAAGTCCTGAGAAGCTGGTGTAGACAGATCCTAAAAGGCCTTCACTTTCTTCACACCCGGACCCCGCCTATCATCCACAGAGACCTCAAATGTGACAATATCTTTATAACTGGACCTACAGGGTCGGTCAAGATCGGGGACTTGGGGCTGGCAACACTTAAAGCAGCTTCATTTGCAAAGAGCGTCATAGGTACCAGACAGAAGTTTGAGACCTAGCCATTTGGCTTCCTGTATCATGTGTCATTAAGCTGATGGTGGTGGGGCGTGCTCTCTCTTTCTGCAGGTACTCCAGAGTTCATGGCTCCAGAGATGTATGAGGAGCATTATGATGAGGCCGTGGATGTCTATGCCTTTGGCATGTGTATGCTGGAGATGGCCACCTCAGAATATCCCTACTCCGAGTGTCAGAATGCTGCTCAGATTTACCGCAAAGTTACGAGTGTGAGTCCACCTGCCGCCCAGTTCTCAGTTACTTGTAAAATATGAAGTCAGAATGGTCAAATAAGGCAGGATAATACGAGCTAGAAATGTATTTGGAGGGCTGAGTTTGACCATTTTGTTTGTTTTATAAAACTGGACTGGACGCATACCATCAGCTCTGCTCTGCTTCTATAAAACAGAGAAAGTACATATGCTCATTAGGGTTCAGTGCCAGGGATTGAAATAAAAAGTGGTCCTTTATTTGCGCAATATATCTATAATTTGGAAACAAAAGCTGTCAGCACAACATTCATATGACTTTCACTCTGTGATATTATATATTCATACTTTAGAGTTGGAGAGTGTTTTTGGTCAGTGTTTTTGGTCATTTCACACAGTAACCGTTACAGAGGGATCCATTAGGATCTGATGGGAGTTTTTTCACGCAGGCTCGTCTCCAGTCATAATTCCCTCTGAGGAGGTTATCACAGAGAGTGGTTATATCTTATGCTGTTCAGGCTCCCTCTAACTTCCAGCATTCGGGCTGTCTTGAGTCACACCATTTGAAGACTTGTGGGCATCAGATAGTAACGTGCATTTAACGCAGAGGGACTCTGTTCCTGAATTAATGGCTGTAAATAATGTTAGCTGCATCCATCGATGCTGCTACTGCATACCACTGCAGGTTATTAATAGGACATTGATCAAATAGAAATCCTGATACCATCACACTATTCATGAATGGGGATGGTATCCGGCTGCACGATTCTATACCTGCCCTGTAAATCTGTACTTGTATTCCGAAAAGTCTACATTTAAATGACATCTGTTTTTCCACAGCAGATATTTTGACTTTGTACTATATGAACAGCCCTAAAACATGGTAAAGTTCCTTTGTTCAGTAAACTGCGGACCAGCATGCATCAACCCCAAGTCATCGGTGCTGCTGTGCATTTCCTGCTATGACCTGTCAGCTGGACAGCTAAGAGCATAGCACTTACCATTAACATTATCCCAGATGGTCTGCTCTTACTTGTGGACTTCTTCTGTTCTTGTTGTCATTCCATTTTTATAAATCATACAACTTCAACTCATGCTGTGTGGCGATTTCCCCATTAGATTGGTTTCCTTAAATGTGTTGACTGGTGTGAAATCAGCACCTTGCATTAGAGGTTTTCAGATGGAAGCATCTGCAGCAGCAGCACAAAAAAAGCAGACATTTGAAAAAAGACTAAAGGTGAGAGTGTGGATATTACACAAACTGCACTACACTCATTAAAAGAGTTTGATGCTCCGGTGTAAGTGGATTGTAGCTGACCAGGGTATGTGTCCGACAAGCTTAAAGAAACTGCTATGGGTTGGGTATCAAGGAAACAAAAAAAAAACAGATATAAGCATACCCACGCACTCTTTGTTTTTCTTTCAATCTTTGTCATCAACACTGTATCCTCTAATTGTGTGTTCAACATTTTGTTTGTGTCCCTCTCCTCAGGGAGTAAAGCCAGCCAGCTACAACAAGGTCATGGATCCTGAAATCAAGGAGATCATTGGCGAATGTATCTGCCAAAAAAAAGAGGAGCGGTGAGTGACTGCCCTCCTTTTTTTTTTTTTGTCCTGCGTCCAGCCGCAAAAAGGTCCACAAGGTGCCCTCTCATCTTTCATGCCCAGCCGTGCCTCCCTGCTCCACTGCAGTGGCGCTGACAGTTGGAATCTAGGCAGCACTGCAGTCTCCCTCCATATCTGCAGGGTGTCGTTCTGATCCGTTACATAATGGTTTTGTGTACAAGACGGAAATGGACCTTGACAAGCTTCTTGGGATTATTATTTATTTAACAAATAAGCAGTTGTTTCGTGCCTGTATTACCTGTGTAGTGATGGCAATACATGTTTAATCGTGGTTATTTAATATAGGTGCAAATATTATGATATGAAAACAGCAGAATTCTTGAATCACATTTAGCTGCTGCCGTTGACATATGTTCCTTCTCCCAGGTACACCATCAAGGACCTATTGAACCACGCTTTCTTTGCTGAGGACACAGGTGTTAGGGTGGAGCTTGCAGAGGAGGATGATGGAAAGAAGGCCTCCATAGCTCTAAAGCTGTGGGTGGAGGACCACAAAAAGTTAAAAGGAAAGTATAAGGAGAGTGGGGCCATTGAGTTCACTTTTGACTTGGAGAAGGAGGTTCCAGAGGTTGTGGCACAAGAAATGGTGAGTATTTTTTTTTGTATTGTTTTTTTAATACCGATTAAAGCTAAAGAAAAAAATCTCCTTTTGCACATATGCAAGAAATTGAGATCTTATGCAGACCAGGACAATAATTTCAAAATACTTTGTGTGGCTCTGTTTTAGGACTTAGTTTGAACCCTTCTAAATTACAGTTTATCATGCTTTGCCTGTCTTAGGGGCTTAATGTGTTCAAGCTGAGTCAGTGCTCATATCTTTCTGGATTGCTTGCGATAACTTCCATTTAGTTTTGATGTGTTTTTTTTTCTTTGTGTGGTTTGTTCACATTGTTTGCATCAGTGCGTCTCATAGGGAGGAGTATTTTAGGAGACCAGAAACGAATATCTGAAAATACAAATTAAAGCAAGCTTGGAGTAGTTCCTGAACCAGTAAATCATGTGCTTCTCACTTGATTTAATGTGCTCTATCTTATGTTATGTACATTCTGCGCCTGAAAATACCCAGAGGTACAGTGCCTGAGATACCTTGACTTTGGCTTCCTGAGCCTACAGGATGATGTTAGAATCTGACATTCTATGTCCTACAGGCTTGTTTATCACACCATTACCCTAACTGCATCCGGCATTAAAGGAACCATAATCTTCTTCTTTGACCCAGTTGAATTTTCTGCTAATTATAATTAATTACTTTACTCATTGTTCTATGCTAGAAATAACATGAGATTGATATATGTATAGATTGTATATGCACTGAAAATTCCAGTTCTGTTGGAAGTAATGAACCAAGCTGCTGACAAAGAGAATTATTCCCTACAGCCCTGACCTCTTTAAATAGATTTTCTGTTCTTTCCTTTTTGTTCCTTTTTCCTCTCCTTGCTCTCTCTGTCTGCCGTTCACATTCCCCCATTTAATGCACCCTCTCTTTTCTCACATGCTCGATGCTAAAAATATCCTAAAACTCATGCTCTTCCCTTTTTTTTGTGCATGTGTCAGGTGGAGTCTGGCTTTTTCCAAGAGAGCGACGCAAAGACGGTGGGAAAGTCAATCAAAGATCGTGTGGCACTGATCAAATGGAGAAGAGGAAGAGCAGCGGCTATTGCAGTTCCAGGTGAACAGGGTGAAGGAGGACACAAGATCACGATGGCACCATCTGAGGGCCCCTCTGTTGGAGTCCAACATGTAGGACAGCCAATTTTGCTGGAACCAGAAGAGCCAGAGGCAGACCAGCACACCAGGCTGCACAACCTACCAGCCAGTGCCACCTCAGTGACTTGTAAGAGATTCTGCTCCTTTCAACTCAGCAACGCTGCTGACTTTTCTCTCTTGACTTTTTTTATGAGTACATCATTTGTATGTCTGCAGCAGACAGCACTCTTGACAGTGGTGTGGGCTCCACTGTGTATTCAGATTCCCACAGCAGCCAGCAGAGTGTCCTCTACCATTCCCTGCTGGAACCTATCGCTATGGCAACACAGCAGGTTTGTATCGGGAGCTTACACATTGTAATTGACCAAGTACACTTAGATTTCTTAATAAACGCACTCACAAGAACGCACACACACTTATACTCTTGCAGACTTGCCATTACACTCATGACCTCTGAGCTGAGCACTGCATTTTCCAACTAAAGAGTCGATAGGAATACACACTACACAGCCATGTGCAGATCAGTCTTCACATGCCAACAAAAAAAAAAGCAAATGTTTTGTTTGTCTATTCTCGTCATGATATATTTTTGGTTATGTCCTGTTCATTTTGAGTAACGTGTTTTGCTTTTGGCTTGTTCCTTGATCAGTGCCAGAGCGGTAGTCCTAAACTGACTGACAGACCTCATTCATGTGAAAATGGTGAAGTATGGGGGGCAACACTGAGCCCAAAGCTCAGAACTCGATTGGGAACTGCAGGGCGGAGGGGAAGTGCCCCTGTACTCGACACACAAAGGGCATACTGCATCTCTCAGCTCCATGTTCAGTCCCAGAGATCAGCCAGTCCTACCCCAGAAGTAACAGAGACCCTGTCAAAACTCAGCGACACAGAGCCTCACTCGGAGACTGAGAAGCCGTCTCCCTGGGTCCTGCCATTGTTGCAAGTCTCCCCTGTTTCCTCACCTTCTGAGTTCCGCCGCCTTAGTGATACCAGCGTCAGACCATCATCAGAGGCCAACAGTGAGAATTTAAGTCCCCCTGTGCCAAGTGGGCGTAGACACTCTGACCTCAGTAGTCTTCTTAGTCTAAACTCTAATCACAAACATCTTTCTGCAATGCACAGAAGTCCCATGTGCCAGGCCTGCTTCGCTTTGCTTCTGTTGAAGTCACAAGACAGTAACCAACGTCTCCCATCTGTCATTCCGAGACATCAATGTCCATGTGACTTAAGACACCACTCAGTGTTGGGTGGAAAAATTAGCACCACTTGTCATGGGCAAGCGAAAGGTTTAAGTGATTATTCAAACTTCTCCATGCTGCAGCAGTCCCTGTTTAATATAATCAGCCGCAAACCAGCTTCTTGTAACACCACACCCACCCACAGCACCCTGCTGCCCTCCTCAACAGCCCAGAGACTTACCCACACTGATGGAGAATGTGGCCTGACAAGTCACTCCCAGTTTGGCAGATTCTCTGAGGGCCAAGAACCTCTCCAGGAGAATGAGGACGGATGCTGTACCAGAGAGCAGACAACTACCACTGCTGTGGGAGTGGTAGGTCACAGTAACCAAGAAGTTGCTTTGGTTTCCTGTACTGGAGCCAACTCTTGCAGAATCCTCCCAGCCTGTAGGACTTGCCGCTTTGCTCTGCATGGAGCCGGGCTGATCTCCCGTCGTAGTCTCGCTGCCTTCAAAGACCTTGTTCATTGACCAAGTTATAAATCATAAGCTTGCTTCTGTTTGGGGAGAATGGTGCTACCTCTAACAGGCTACATTTCCCTTCTGATTAACCCAAACCAACCCTTTACAGAGCACTCCTAGATTTGAAAATTTTTCCTTCTGCTTTTCTGGGCTAATGCAACAGCTTTCTGTCTTTTAGCTTGCCACGGATAGATATTTGAAGAAAGAGGGGGATGTTGATTTTGATCCTTTTGGTCTTTCCCATTTCTCCTTTTTTTCCCTGTTTTAACTCGCTCACAATGCCTGCTCAATGTTGAAACGGATATTTCATGGACTTTTCACCCTCCTGTTTTTGTACTTACATCTGGGTCTCCTTACTGCTAATGACACATGTGGCTATTGAGAGACTTTGATCTTTATTCATAAAAATGGAATCCCGTAGTGGGTTAACTTTAAATTTTGTTCTCTGTCTCTTCAGACCAATTCTGCCGGTCACCAGAGTCAATCGTCTGTCCAGGGATTTCCCACCTCAAGCACAGCCGTGCACGCACAGCAGTACCTCCAGCATGGCCACAGCTACCCTGCAGCTCTATATGTTGGTCAGCACAGTGCTGGAACAGCAGCTCCAGCCAGCTTATGTTCAATAAGCATTCAGCAACAAACTCAAGCTGCAGTAAGTATAGCAACTTCAGCCGTGCCACAACATGTGGCACATAGCTTACACGCTGCAGGACACCCACAGCAGCAGGCCGCAGCAGCAAGCTCTTTGGCTTTTCCTTTGCAGATCCAGCAAAGTGCTGCGAGTTCTGTGGCATCACGCCAGCAACAGCCTCATTCTGCAATGGGATATCCTACATCAGTTCAGCATCAGACTACAGCAACCACCGGACCAGCACAGCAGCCACCCTACAGCTGTCCTCTGACCTCAGCTGCACCAGCCATGACAGCCACAGTCCAGGGTCAATCTGCACATGCTCCCATCACACCTCAGCAGGCCCAGGGCTCAGTCCAACAGCCCGGTCAGCAGCCTCCTCAGAACCCCCCCACACCAGCATTATACAGTCAACAAATACCCATTCAGCAAGATCACCAACAGCCCTCATCACAAAGTACTCATTCAGGTGTACCTCAGACACTAAATGTTGGACAAACTTTTCATACGACGCACAATCAAATGGCACCACTGCCAACCAACCCTTCTCAAAGTCTGCAGTGTTCTTCCCATCAACAAGTACACACTGCATCTGTTCAGCAACACAGTCAAAGCCTTCTGCAAGCCGTTTCCCACCAAAGCCAGGATGGCTCCCAGTCTCTGCTCCGTCCAGCAGCAACTCAATTTGCACAGGTTGCCACTGACCATCAGAGTTACTTTGCAGCAGGTCAGCCTGACGCTGTCTGTCAGAGCTATGCACATTCTGCCCCCCAGCAGAATGCCCCAGCCCAGAACCAGTACCTGTTAGCACAAGGTTATGGAGGAACTAACCAAGTGGTAACTCCACAGAACTTTCCTGTTGCTCCTCAGCAAAGCCATTCTGCAAATATAACTCAAGAGGTGAGCTTTTTTTTTCTTCTCATAGGTTTCAGACCTGTCTTTGCTTAATATTGTTGTTCTTACATTGGGCTTAGCTCTTTGTCTTTACACATTCGGTCAGTACTGGAGAAAATACAGTGGGTTTGATACTACACATACTGCCTTGTATGGTTGTGATGCTGCTGAATCTGAAACAGGCTGGCTTTGTTTGTTCAGATGTGCAAAGATTCAGACTAGGTCCAGATATAAATACAAGAAGGAGCACGCCCAGACCGATCTTGGTCAATCCCAGAAAATCAGTTGAAATTGGGAATGAAAGTGTAACCCGTACCGTCAGTGAGATTCACTCCCTCTTTTCTAAAAACTTTTTGTCCTGTAGACTAATCCTAATAGTCGGAGCATTTCACACCTTGGACATGACGGACAGAGCCATGGGCAGAATCTCAATAAGTCAGCTATCAATGCACTAATCCAAGCACTTCCTCCTCAACAGTCAATGACTCAGGCTGTCCACCACCAGCTCCAGCCTCTGCAGGTTTCAGCCTCACTCCCACAATCACAACCATCCCAGGTATTGTCTGTTTATAGTCAAATCTTAGGTTGTTTTTTTTGTGATTGTATCAGATTTTTTTCCCCATGGTTTACATTATAATTGGATAGCAGTAACCTGAGACAAAATATATTTTAATGCATCATCCCTCTCTATTTAGCCTTCTAGATTATATGATTTTCCTCTTTCTTCCTGTTTCCTTCAGTTTCCTTCACAGTATCCCACAATCCAGGTGATGACAACTGTGACTGACTGTGAATCCTCCTTCCCTCAGTCCTGCACTGATCCTATCCTTTCAGTCCCCTCTTCCCTAAATCATGTCTTTCTTTCACCTGGTCATACACTCCCTGTTACCCCCTCTGTCTCTCCCGTTTCTCCCCAGCACATTGAAAAAGCGCTAGCTTCACCCATCCCAGTGTCCCTCATTCCATCCCCCTCACATATGCTGGGCAGGGTGAATCAAACATCCCCACGGCACCAACACGCTGCCTCTCTGCAGCACAACGCTAAATCTGACACTTCTCATACTCAGTATGCATCAATACTAACTACCCACCCCATGCAAGCACACATTGCGCCGTGCCAGAGCACACACCCTCCCACAAATGGCAGCGCTCAGCCTCTGGTGCAGGTAATTATAATGGCTGCAGTGAACCAAATGTGATGTTTACTAAAAAGGTGTGAAGTGGCGTTTAAATGATTGTGTGCTAAAGGTGGGTTTCTTTAGAGAAGTTTGGATCATAGAAATCTGTCAGATATATCTTTTTGTCAGCTTTGCATCACATAAGTGTTGTTTTCAGAGTAACTGCACTAAACAGTTTATATTTGATGTGTCAGTCACACTCTACTGAAAGGGTAGTTTTTATTTTTTATAGTCAGGTTCACCGGCCTTTTCTTGATTTATAAAAGATATATCAAATACATAGTTGAATATGTTTTTGTCTTTTTATTTTTTTGTAAGCAGGTTCCTCAGCAAGTCCAAGACAGCCATCCCGAGCCTGTCCCCAGTGCTCAGCCTGTCCAGCCTGCTCAGCTCACACAACCTGCTGCCTTCTCCTTACCGGTGCAGAACGGGCCAGACCTGCGCACAGCCACTGCAGCTACCCAGCTGGACAACATGAAGTCCTGCCAGCTGCCCCCACATGCCCAGAACCAGAGTCTGGTTCAAGGCCAGATTCCTGTGCTGCAATCCTCTGACTCACAGAAAGCTTTGCCTGGGTCTGCCAGCTCCACTCTTCCTCAGCAGAAAAAGCCCAGTAATACAGGAGCAGCAGGGCAAGGTCTATCAGAGGTTAACATGGAGGTATGGAAGTACTAATTTGCTCTCCGTATTTATTTCTTGTTGCTCATATTGCTTAACACAGATACCAGCCTACTGATAATAAACAGTTTCTCATGTCATTTAACATTGTGAGTAATCGGATATAAGGCTTCTATATAGTTTTATAAATCTCTCTGGTTTAATTTTGGATTTTGTCATCTGTAGGATCAAGTTGCTGAAAAACACTCCAGGGGACAGAGCTATGACAGGTAAACATTTCCCCTCAACTAATGAATTAGATTCAGCTGTTCAGAGTAAGATGTGAAAAATCATTGGAAAAAGCATCCTACCCGAAGGACGGTGATATGTGGTGACTTAAAGGCAGTGGCCTTTGAATAGATTTAGGTTGCCTCAATTCACAATGACACTTCTGAAAACTGCACACTATAAATCTTACAAGCATGCATCAATGAGGAGAGTTCAAGACTTTTAACCCCTGCTCCCCTTCTGTTATTAGCAGAGGATGTGTGAGAATAGACCTACCAGTTTTTGCAGTTCAGGAAGTTATTTATCTTTCTTATCTGATCAACCACGTCACCCTTTATCACTTTCCCACATTTAGGCATTTTGGGCATGTGTTGAGCATGTTTGGGCATGATTTAAGCCTCCAAGTTTCTTTTACATGTGGACAACTGTAGGTTGATTTTTAACCGAGAAACCACAGAGTCAGTGCGTGTTTAGGTACAATGTTGACAGCTATACTATTTTTTATTTATTTACTGATGGTAACCACTCAACCTTCCCCAAAAATAGTGTCAACTCTGACGCCACATCGGGAAAGGAGATGAGTGATGGTTATGAAGGGACACATGGAAGCAAGGGCGAGGGCAAAGTGCGTAAGCACCACCGCAGGTCCACACGCACCCGTTCTCGACAGGACAAGATTAGCAGACCTAAGCTGAACATGCTTAATGTGAGTGACCTATACATTCCAACAAAGCTCCTTTAGTCTCTGCAACAGTGAGGAATTAATGTATATGTTTTTTGTTGCAGGTGTGTAACACTGGAGATAAGATGGTAGAGTGTCAGCTGGAGACTCACAACCATAAAATGGTCACTTTCAAATTTGACCTGGATGGAGATGCACCAGAAGAGATAGCTACTTACATGGTATGTTTTTCAGCCTGATCAGTTCTTACAGCGGTTTTGGAAGTGTGTTGGCCAAAGATGATGTCTTGCATCTCATTTCAGAATCTCCCTGTTGGTTTCAGCTGCAATGCAGCAAAAAAAAGGAAAATCTCTTTCTCTCCGTCTTTCTCTCTTCAAAGCCAAACTTACTTACACAGAATGTATTTAGTGAGAGATAGTTTTTATTGTATAACTGTGTTAATGACGTTCCATGGTTCAAAGCAGACACCTACTTGGGAAGTTTTCTGAGGAGATATTGAATTGCATATTGAAAAAATTCAGTCAAGTCAAACTCTTGGAAATAAAAAAATGGAATATTGGCTTCCAATGGCCATAAACTGACTGTAACCTCTGCTTTCAAGGCCTTTTTCCTTTCATTTTCATTAAGCACCAACACTGTTACTTTAAGGTGTAATTAAAGGTGTGTTTTGCAGAAAAAGGTTTCGATGATTTCTTTTTCACCACCCATCCTTTCAGGTGGAGAATGATTTCATTCTGCCCTTGGAAAAAGAGGTCTTTATCGAACAGCTGAAGGACATTGTGGATAAGGCTGAGGACATGCTGAGTGAGGACACCGAGGGTGAGAGGAACTCTGACCAGGGGTGCAGCCCCAAACATGGCGAAGGAGGTGGCACACTTGGAACAGAGGTGAGAAAGGAACTGTTGACAGTAAATAGCTGCAATGGGCAACCTTCCTCTTCCTGCCTCTGCCTTGGATAGTCCATCCTGACGGCACTTTCGAGATGACTTTGCTCGCAGCGCTGCCAAAAATACCAGCATTGCTGATATAGCACTTTCAGCTAACTGAATTTTTCTTTCAGCTTATTGGCTTGTTGCGGAAATCTTTTTAAAGCATGCTAAACTGATGCACATTGTTTCCTTTACTTTAAAGGCCTCAGAACCCAGCACCCCACAGCTAGTGTACCAACAAAATGGTAAGTCATCAAAGCATCTGCTGGAGACCAAACAGCTCTTTTTATTGTTTTAATTTTTTTGTAAAAAAAATGTCAAAGTCAGTGTGGATTCATGTGTTTTTCTGTCTCTGTGCTCTGCAGTCCTTCACACTGGTAAGCGCTGGTTTATCATCTGTCCTGTTGCGGAGACCCCCGTTCAAGACAAAGATAATACTTCATCGCACACCTCCACAGCCCAAGGTAAGCTGTACACTCACTGCTCCTGACATATGATGTACTAGCTTCTTTTAGTTAACGGAGTTTATTTTTCTTGGCTGGAGTTCATATTTGGGATCAGTAGCATGGGTAGTTTATATCTTATTAATTACTGAAATCAGGAAGAAAAGTACAGTGGTTTTTCATTTCATGTATTACTGACATTACTGGCATTACTGGCATCTACTTCAGCCAAATGTTCAACTTCTTTCCTTTTAACAATGCATCACTTTTCCATACGTTTTTGTGAATGATTATTTTGAGATCCATGTTGCTCTGCCCAACTGTATGGAGTATCACAGATCATCTTTGGCATTTTCCCTGATCTAATCGCTTAGACAGCAATCATGACTGATTAAGAGATCCATACCAGACTGCCACTTAACGGCTATTGTTAGTGATGATATTGCACATGCAATTGATTTAGTCTCTGTGCATTTCTTGTGTGTGTATGACTGGATCAGTTATAAAAGAGAAGCTGCTTGAGGCAGAAGTAAAGTGCAGGAGTTCACTCCAGCTGAATGAGGCTGATGGTGGAAGCTGAGTTTGATGTAACACTATGGCAGATAGATCACCTAGTTCATCTTCCTCATAGCTTTAGATTTATTAGGCGGGGCACTGCCAGCGGCAGGCCCCCTATTTATTATTGTGCATATTTATTTACACTGCACTTCTTTTCATTAACTCTGATTTATTCATTTCCTCAGCATATGAGAAGTCTGTCTCATTGTCAGACAGACCAAACAACAACACAGCTGCTGAGACGCCACCAGTCACTTCTTTATCTTCCCAAAACCCACCCGCCTCCTCCTCTTCCTCCTCTTTACCCACTGGGGCTCAACTTCCCGACCCAATTACTGGCAAATCCCAGGTCCAGCAGACACAGCCCTGTGTTCATAAGAATTCCCTTGTTGGTGGGAGCATTGACCTTCACAATTCCCTCTCAGCCGAAGAATCTTGCATATCTGCTGTGTCTGTGTCAGATATGCCATGCTGTGCTATTGTGCCACCTGTGTCTCTGGATGTTAATACCACTGATAAAGAAGCAGGAGCTGGTGCCTCATCACAATCTAATCAACCAAATCAGAAAGCCAGCCCGACTGGAGAACTACCTCCCCAGTTGGCCAGCCACCAGTCTGTGGTTCTGCAACAGCCCTATGCCACACCAATGCAGCCGGGCACCGTGACTTCCCAGCCTCAAAGCCCCGCCCATCAAAGCTGCCAGTCGGCCAGCCAGCAGCAGGGTGGGGGGCAAGGAGAGTCGGACAGTGAGGGGCCACGCCGGGTGGAGTTCGTTGACCGCACTATTAAGACTTTGGATGAGAAACTCAGAAATCTGTTGTACCAGGAGCACACTCCCTCCCAGACCTCAAACACCACGTCTGAACCTCTTGCCTCCAGCACAGAAGGACCGAGCTCCCCTGCAGTCTCAGAGGGCCAAAGCACTGAGGGGCCACTCACAAAGAAAAAGTTGGAACAGCTGGTAAGATGCAATGTTTGGTGCCAGTAAGTGACAAAGATGTCAGTATTTAAATTAGGATTTCAAGCCATAACAATGACCATATAATTTGGCAATTACCATTTCCCAGCATTGTGCAGCTAGTTTTGATGTGTAACAAGCCAGAAGTTTAACTGAACTGAGTTAGTGCAGTTGCCGTGGTAGTCCATCCTGTCACAGGGACTTGTCCAGTACCACCTCTTCTCATTTTGTACGGACAAAGGGAATGATGACATCATCTCAGCAGAGGATCATACGTAGCCTTACCCCACCAATGTAATATTTTTAATGTTGGATCAACTAAGAAACATACACCCACATACACACTCTTCTCTCTCTGTGTTAGCCACAGATTCCTGAGCGAGCAGATAATGTGGGCACGTTAAGTGACTCTGCAGTGGCAGGTAGGTAACTTCAACACAATGCCCCAATATTTATGACCACTTTACGGTTTTAAAGTGGCTTTGTTTATTCGGAAAGTTCTCATTATTAGTTTTGTAGCCTCTAACAGGTCTTTGAAGGAAAGAGAAATGACCACCAGCTCCAAAAGCCGTTTTCAAGTAAGTAGCTACTTTCAAGCTCTTGCAGAAGAAAATCTTCTTTGTATAAATTTCATTTGATTTAAACAAATAGGTTATGATTTATGTCATTGTTTGTTCTCTCTCCAGCTTTTGCTTAAGCTCTGCATTAGTTGATCTTGTCAATAGACAGTCATTTTGCTTCTATAAATGTGTTTTTCTGCCTTCCAGATCGTCCCCACCCCACCGGATGTCATTTATCCCTCAGAGCAGACACAGACAAGCTCCAGCACACGCTGTTCAACAGCACCCTCTAGTGGTTCTGGAGGCTCCCAAAACGCAGAGAGGAAAAGAAAGGGCAGTGTGGCGGCATTCAGGTCATCAGGGAAACAGGAAACATCTGAGCACCAATGTAGTAACCGTTACTCTGCCCCCCCAAACTTCTACCAAGTCACCCCCACTTCCAGTCCTGAAGCTACCCGACGCCATATGCCCCGAGCCCAGACTATAGACAGTTCAACCCATCATCACGATAAAAACTCATCTCACCTCTACTCCGACTCAGCCGATGAGGACAGCAGCAGCATGGCACTTCCTCCAGCTCATGCTGCCCCCCCACCTCATACCCTGTCTGAGCAGAGCGGAAGTGACCTGGTAAAGAGGGCGGTTGCGTTCCTGCGGCGTTCTGGTCGAAGCAAAAGCGAGCAGAGCTCTGATTCGCCGAGCAGACAGCCTGTGGTAATGAATGGCCACACTCCTGCGCCTGCTGTGGGACATGCCCAGTCTTCTTATATCAGCAGTGACAATGACTCCGAGTTTGAGGATGCAGACATGAAGAAAGAGCTCCAGAAACTTAGAGAGAAGTAAATACATCACTCCTACAATCAGTCAAACACGGTTGCTTAAACTATCTATGCTTGTTACCTTTCTGAAATCTCCAAAAAACAAACTTAGCTGTTGTGACTGCTTTACTGGTGTCATTATATTATGAAACTTTTTTTTCAAAATAGCAATTAAATTAGTGCGATATCAGTTGTTTTTTTGTTTTTTTGTTCTGATCATCCGACATCAGAAATGCTCTGCCAGCACGAACAGACAGTATCAACTGATCTAAGCTGAAAATGTCATAACATGATCCAGAATAGGGGAAACCTGCATTCATGTGAAGGTTTGTCTGCATGTCAGTAGATGTTTGATCAAGTTTTGCTCACTGGCTGACCTCACATTTTATTTATCTTTTATTTATTGTTCTGTGGAGCACATATGATTAATATGCCATACAGCTCAAATTAGGAATTTTAAACATATGCAGGTTTACTTCTGATAGCCTATGATTTAATGACTTCTAGAAATCCCGAACATAACTTCGAACTGATGGAGTGATCACTTGGACACATGAGTATGGATGGTTTACTACCTATTTCTTTGTTTCTCCCCCATGTTTATTCTTAATAGACATATGAAGGAGATCTCTGAGCTGCAGGCATTCCAGAGGAGTGAGATTGAGCATCTCTACAAGGAGCTGGGGAAAACTCTGCCTTCCAATGTCAGCCTGCTTCATGCTGCTCCACCAACTGGCCGAAGACGCAGAACCAGCAAGCACAAGCTAAAAGCTGGAAAACTGCTCAATCCAATGGTTCAGCAGCTCAGAAATAATCTCAACAGCACCGGTGGTGAGAAGAAAGGTATGTTGGTCAGGATGAGGGGTGATGAGAGAATTTTCAGTGCATATTTTGTCTCGGAAAACACTGCAGTGACATCAGTTTTCAGAAAGCTGTAGGAGTGTGTGAAGCAATGATTCATACTGACTCATACATGCTTTAGCTTTTTCATTCTGTTTTCTTGGTTTCTTTACTCAAGCTGAGAGTGGTACCAGTTCCTCCAGCTCACCAGCCAAAAGTTCCCTTCTGTCAGAGGGTTCTGCCCTCTCCAGTGGCAGCTCCAGTACCCAAACTGGATCAGTCTTGGAGCAGGTTCACACCCAGCAACCCTGTTCACTGAAGGGCTCTTTCTCCTCGGATAACATCTATGCTGGCCGGCACGCTGATGGAATGGCCAACCAAGCTGGCCCTGGGCAAGGTAATCTTCATAGATTCATTTTAGTTGTGTTGTTTTTGCACAGATAGGGCATGTATCTGTTCATGTTCTTCATATCGTCCGTGTTTTTCCAAACTGGAGGATGAAGAGCCTTCTCACTGTCAGCTGTTCAAACACACTGTATGTATTGTTGGACCATTTTACATTCTCATCAGCACCAAAGGCATGAAAGTTTACTCAGATTTTTTAAAAGTAATCATCACAAGGGTTTATCGGTCTGAGAAAAGAAGCACCCCCTGTGTTTACAGGATCCCTACATTCATCATCTGCCCTTCAATAATACATATGCACTCTCCTGTCATTTTTTTAGACGATCAAGATTATCCTGCCATTTCACTTACAGTGCTCTGCTTAGATCTTTGTGAACTCTGAAGAGTTGAACTATCAAACTATTACAGAAGCACCTAAAGTACCTACGAACCTCCTTAAAAGCATCACCAGAATTTAGAAACACTATACCCCCCACTCATCATATTAAAGTAAATGCCAGGAATTTAAAAGCTAAAATAAATATGGAAAATGATCCGGTGCATCTGCTGCACTCTTTTTGACTTTAGATCATTTATGGCTTTGTAGCTTTATTAAATAACTGATAAAACTCTTTGGTTTTCAGCTGCCAGAAGCTGCCAGTTTTTGTAGAATCAATGAAAACGTTAGCTTTCCTTTGGGTTTCTGTCTGACTAGTTCATTTATGCACTTTCAAATGCTGACTAGAATTGCACTGAGTAATTAAGTATTCTTTTTCTTATCAGAATCATTCATGGTTATTTTTAATCTATTTAATGTTAAACTGATCAGGAACACAATAAATGTAATGATTGATACGGTTTAATAGTTTTTCATCCAAGCTGCCCTGATCAGGCTGGGATGAGATTTAAATCAAACTCTGTGGTCGGACTAGTTGGTACATTCATTTTCTTGCTTGTGCGTACTTTCCGAAAAAGCATAGGCAAAATTGAAAATATGACGCTTTTATCTAACCTTCTCATTGTCCTTTTCTGGTACTTTTGATGTTGGGGTTTCTCATCCTAGTCTCTGTGCACTTTTACAAAGTGTCTCTCTTGTTTCTTCTCTTCTTCCTTCTTATATTCATTTTTACAGGCTGGACGGTTTACCACCAAACGTCAGAGAGAGTCACCTATAAATCTAGTAGCAAACCACGCACTAGATTCCTCAGTGGACCTGTGTCTCTATCCATCTGTTTGTATTTGTTCTTTTCTATTTCCCCGCTCATTTCCACATTCTTCCTTTAACTAACCTTTATTTTCTTTATGCGTTCTGTGGATATTATTATTATTCACTCTACGGGGAAGCCTTGTCACTTTACATAAATTACACACCTTTTAAAAAGTTTCTGTTATCCTTATCACTCATACTGAACAATCAAAGATTGTGTTACATTTCATACATTGATAATAGCCACACACATACCTCACATACTCTGTTAGTGGGCTAGAGTTTATGTATATCTACTAAGTGCTTTAATTGTTGGCTAATAAAGGAACACAATATCAAAATGTGTTGGTCAATTTAGAAACGACAAGCATATCAGTCAGTGATATTAGATCTTTGTTTGTGGATGGTTTTCTCTTTTTAACAATGGAGTACTCTCTGAACAGTAGTCCCTCTAACATTACTTTTGTTGTCCATGTGAAAAATTTTAAACTGGCCTCTGCACTGTCAAGCAAGCAGAATTCCAAAACCACATTTAAGATAAACATATTAACCGATTCACATACATTTAAAGTCACCATTTTAAAACAAATGCACACATAGACTATTATATGAAACCCCACTTCATAAAAGTTGATTCGCTGTGTAAAAGCCCAATGCGACCTTTTGCAAATCTCTGAAACCTTATTCCCATTTCACTTTGGACTTATTGCTTCCATCAAAGAGTATGGGTTTGATATTTACAAATCACTGGACTCTGTTTTAGATGCATTTTCAGAACTCGGGCGGCAAGTAAACTCTACCGTCAGAGACGCAGGTTGTTTTACATGCAGGCAGGCTAGACATTAACTCCAGCCACCTCAGTTTCTCACTAACTAAAGTCAGTTAATACAATGAAACTATATCACCATTATCTTACTGAAAAGATTGATCTTCATAACTTTTTGAAGTCTTTTGGTCAGAAAGCTAAACATGGAACAAAACCACTCATTAAGTAAACTGAACTTAAGATTAGCACAAGTATCCAAAAAGCAGAATGTTGACCGCTGACCGCACTACACATATGTGTATATGTATATATATGTATAATATATGGTGTGTGTGTGTGTGTGTGGTCCTTGATAACCCAGCTGCAGGTCTCAATATACATCCCTTTGTTGTTTGTTTTTTATTAGTTTTTTATTTCTTCCTTTAATTAAACTCATTCATAATCATTTTAGTTTTGGGATATATTGCTCCAGTCTCTTCATACAGTTGCTTCATGCAGAGCTTGTGGCTTTCAGACAAACGCAAAAAAAGCCACGACTGCATTTGGACTTGTGAAATGCCAGTCCTGTCCAAACATGGGCCTAAGCTCAGATCTAAATCAGTAGAGTGTGGCTGTTTCTACAGGCGTGTGCGTGAACGTGTTTGGTAGGGAATGACTGTCTTTATACCCTCTTCATTCTTTGTGTGTTTCCATTCACTGTTGATTTTTTTTTTTTTTAACTGTGTAACATCTTGCAAGTGTAGGCACTTTGCCCACATCTTCAAGTAGGCAGGGCCCTTTGCTCTCTCTGTCTCTCATGTTTGGATGGAGAAGACGTGCATGGTGCAGGCGCCAGGCAGGGCACTGATGGAGACATGCTCCGCCATATGAAGGGCTGTATCATCAATATTACAGTTTTCTTTTTCTTTCTTTTTTCAGTTCACCTCTCCTGCATGTTTATTAGTGCATACGTAGACAAGCTCCTACTAGTTTCTATGTGCTCTTTCAGTTGGAATTTTGATTTATTTAGGTTTCACATTTTGTTTCACAGGCTTTCCCACATGGACAAAGGAATCCATTTTTTTCAATGCAGCCTCTTGTCTTCGTCTCTTAGAAGACAGTTTTCCTCTCTGTTTGCCTGCCAACTAGTCAGCCAATGATTCACACAGAAGCTTGCTAACCAGCACAGCCAAAGGATTCATGTCCTCTCTGTTTGTAGAGACAACTGAGATTCGTGTACTGTATAGAGAATACCAGAGAACACTGTCAGGCAATTGTTAGCTTGCTCTTCATCCTGACTAGCATCAGGAGCTGGATAACAGTATCCAATGCTTGTCAGGTACACATTTTGGTAGTCAGCTACGATAAGTAAGAAAGGGGCACCAATAGATCCTGTCTTCCAGTCTTCCTCACAGATTTTTTTTAAACCCCCTGTCCTTCCTTTTCCTCTCTGTCTCTCTCTCTCTCCAGTTGTTTTGATAGTTGATTGTGCTTTTGAAGCAGCTTGTCCACATACATGTGGTGTGCAGTGTGTCCTGGCCTAACTGTTTCTGTCTTGTGCTGTTTTACCTTCTTATAGGGTCCACTCTGAAACGACTATGTCTAGGCAAAGATCGCAGTAGTAGTAACTATCTTATTTACTTTTTTCTATGTATTTCTAATTCTAACCTCACTACTTTAGTCTTCATGTTTGTAATGTACACTTTGGTCTTTATTGTTTTGGCACTTAAAATTGTGGTACAACTTGTTGAAGACATTGGTACTGAGACTTCAGATTGTTGCACTTTCTTTTTCTATGTGTTTTGCATGGCGATGTGCCTACATGTCTTGACTGTGGATTTTGTCACTGCTTGCAAATCACTCATTTCTTTTCTCTGTTTTATTTAATTGAAGTCATGTGTTTTGTAATCCCTTGGCTGCTTTGTTGGCAAATCGTATCAGGTGTATTGACACTTTTTTGGTCCGGCCTCACCAAAAAAGAGGCTTCCATCAATGAGACATTGGTTGATTTAGTCAAAACTTCCTCCAATTCTGCCATACAGCAGCCAATTGATTTGACAGTCGAAAGCCGTTTCCTTCCTTTGCATGATCCCTGGCCGATTTCTCATTTTATTTTCTTGTCTTTTCAGGGTCATCTTTAAACACTGCTGCAGCACAGACGGCCTCCAGTCAGACACAGCCGTCGGTCACCACAGCCACGGGCTCAGCCTCTCATCAGCCATTCACTCGGCTCGCTCAGGTTCAGACCAACAACAGCAACAACAAGAGAGGAACGTTCACCGATGACCTCCACAAACTGGTGGATGACTGGACAAAGGAGACTGTGGCCGCGGCAAGTCAACCCCGACTCTCCCTGAACCAGATCAAACAGCAGAGATTCCAGCAGGGCCTGGAGGGCAGACTGCCCCCGATGGGAACAGCTGAGGTATTTGCAATTCAGATGTCCTATAAGTGATTTGGAGGTTTCTTGGTTTATTACGTGAATTTTGTAGCTGACATGTTGTAAGTATGAATCCACATTTGTTATTCTCTACAACTGCCTTCTGTTGCAGATGAAATCCCACGTTGTTCCCAACAAGTTTCAGCTGCCTCTCTCGTGCCCAATGACTGCTGCTTTAAACCCCGGCATGCCTGCTGCCCTTGCACCGAATTCCTCCGCAGTGCTTCCCCCTGGTTACCTTGTGCCAGCAGGCTCCTATGGGGGGACGCTTCCCAGTCCCCTTTACCCCCAGCAGTGGCCTGGCATGCCAAATCCTGTAGGATCTACAGTTCCCGTAGGCTTGCTTGGGGCTCCAAGAGGGACGCCCTACACCACAATGGCAAACCCAGGGATCCAAACCTTCCCTCTGGTCATGCACAACCCCAAGAATGGTCCCTCTTCAAAAACCACTAGGACTACCTGATCGGCTTTCAAATTTTGTTAGTGCTTGCTGGATAGTCCAACTCTGCTCGGCTTTTTTCACCAGAGTCACACTGATACATAGTCTGTTGTAAATAATATTAAGTGTTGGTGTTCTTTACACAACACGTGTATCTGTGGTGCACTGTGTGTGCGTGCGCATGTGTGTGTGTGTTGGACTACTACTACAGTAGATGTTAAGTATGTGTGAATGCCTAATGCTTTCCAGCTTTGGTCTTAGCTAAACTTAGCCATACAATACATTTTCTATTCGGTCACAAAAATACTTAAGTGTGCTCTTTGTTACTTGTCTTTCCACATTGCTTTTTGTTTCATGTACACTTTAAACACTAGATTGGAATCAAATTGCCAGTGGCTCGATATTCAAAAGCAGTACAGTATTTACAATTAAAATGTTTGTTGAAATGTAGTGCCTTGAACAATGACGTTTTTAATTTAAAGGAAACCTTTTTCGCATCCAGGTTATTTTATTTAAAGGTAGTTTTATTTTTTTAATGCATTGGTTAACATATGAATGCCCTTCTAGTACTCCACTGTTAACACGGCCTGTACGATTTAAAAAGTAGAATCATGTTTTAACTCTTGTTTACTTTTCACCCCTGTGACAGATGGAATGCCATAGTGGTGAGATGTTCTGATGCCTTGCAGAAACAAATGGTTAAAGTGCAACTGATGAGGGACGGGGAGGGGGGGAAACATACGCCAGCAGCCAAAATCCCCTCATTCAGGTGAAATGGTTCAACTGGACACAGCCTTTTTTTCTCCTTTTTTTCTTCTGTTTTTTTATATTATTATTTTTTTGTTTTTTATTAGATAGCCGACACATTGGACAGCGCAAGTGCTGGTAGTGTTGTAGAGGAACGGCAGTGTCCAGAGCCATAGTATTGGACGTAGTTATTTTTACAGTATTTGCCTCTGGGAGTGTTCTGATCCGAATGTAGCAATTAATATGTGAAGGCTTGAGGCTGAAAAGTGCAATTTTAAACCCTCCATAAAGCTTTGACCGTGGCCTTGCCACAAGCCTTATCTCTGATATGTGCAACAGGAGAATGCTGCAAAGTTGAGCAAAGTTACAAATCACCAAGCGACAGTAAGACGTTACCAGGCAAAGTATGAATACCACAAACCACCCAGCAAACTTCACAACTGAAAGATCATTTTTCAACTCAGCAAGTACTCAGCATACGCTGTATGTGAAGTGTTTAGTGCAATCACCGTATAAGTCTGATGTTCATAACTTATTTAATTGTATTTTTTTCCTTTTACTTAGTTTTTTGGGGAGGGGGGGTTGCTGCTATTTTACCAAGACGATTCTCTTGTACAGTATTTTGTTCCTCCGAAATGGTATGAAAGACTAAGACTCAAATTAACAATGGTCACCCTCATAAAAGCGTTGTTATTGCCTTGTTGCAAGGTTGATGTGTGGACTTCACGGGCTGCTTTTGATGACGGCCTTGTTTTTCCCATTTATTTTCAGTAACAAAGTTCAAATTAAACTTAATGAGGAGGATTTGCACAATTTACAGTCTTTACTCTGTTTGAGTTCCTACACTGTATATAAGTGGGTTTCACCCACCTGTACTTTTTTAAATATAAATATATATATATATATGTAAAGCATGGCCAAACTTTCATGTTCCACAAAGCAAAGAATCAGTACAGATGTCAAGGTTAGCAATGTCACATCCTCACAACACATTAGAAAGGTTTCAGCACCCCAATCCTGCCAAAGCTGTGAACTGTATAGTTTTCTTGTAGTTTGTATTTGTATATTTTCTTTTTGACTGTTTAGAGGTGATGGATGAGGGGGTTGCTTTGATGTATATTATTCCATCAATTCGGTTTGAATTGGACTTTTATAGGATATTATGCAGAGTCTTCTGCTTTGGTGAAATACTTCCAATAGTAAGAGATTTCTGTTCTCTGTCACTTGTATCTGGTCTGCTTTATTCAACCTCCCTTGCTGCTAATAAGTGGAGAGCAGATTTGAGAATAACCTTGGAATTATTCATTTAGATGCAGAGATCAAAATGAGAGTTGAAATGCTCAGCGGAGCAGTCCAAAAATGGCTTCCTCTGAACATAATTGCTCCTCTTTGCATCTTTATGAATAAGGTCGGATTGTCAAAGGCTTGTATTTAAACTGTGTGGGATTGCTTTTGCCTGCCGTTTGTCCCACTGCATTACCCCACCCTGTCCTGCTGCGCTCTTATCCAAGACTGTATGTTGAGAGAGAAATAAATATTTTGTCCTTGATGGTATGTCTCTCATTTTCTACTCATCAGCCCCCAAGACTGTTCTCTGAATTTATTTTGTTTAGTATTTTTTGCAGAACGATTCAGTTAATGGCTTGCTGACTCATTTGAGTTGTTTTTTTGCAGACTTTGTGAAAAAAACAACTTCTAAGGCTATTACTTTTCAGTTATCAGTTGGATAATTTATTTTTTTAATCCCCATTCACCTGTTGCCTCCTGTTAGACTCTGTCTATCTCTTTATCTAAAATCTCGATAGTGTGTGTATATTTATTTTTATTTGATTTTTTCTTTTTTACCTTTACAGATAAGTTTTTAATAGAATTTTTAAATAAGGAAACGAAGTGAATTCCCAACTTGTGGTTGCTTTCTCTCCTTTTAATGTACGTGAGGGAGTCTGCTGGCCAGACAGGCCAGACCCTTCCGCACTGCCGAAGTTTTTAGTAGAAGTGCACAGATTCGCAACTTTAAAGTTTATCTCCGTCATAAAATGAAAAAAGGGAAAATATTAATAGACTTTGGAGAGATAACGAGATCTAGTTTCTGTTACTAAAACTGTTGATTTTTCTAATTTTTTTATTAGACTTTCAATATGAAAGCAGAGATGGGTCGTGCTGGATTGGATCGGCTCCAGTTACTGACCCAGCCCATTCAAATTCTACCAACCAATCCCATCATCTATCCCATATTGAACCACCAATTGGATTACAATGTCCCGCCCACTGCGTCCTTCCGTCCGATCCAATCTAAATGGCGTTCAGTGAGAGCGTAGTTTGCGTGGCGAATGTGTCAACCGCGTCTACAGCGCAGCGTCTCAGCAATGGTTGCCCCTTTTGTCTGACCGAGTTCCTGAATTATTTCACTCACAATCAAATTACTTGGATAGTATGCTGTTTCATAAAAACCATTTCACAGTACTTACGCTTCCTGTGGCCTCACCTGGGATTATCTAATGAATTAAAATCGAACTGCAATCCTCCTGAGCTGCTGTGAGGTTTCCGAAGCACGCAGTCTTTCTTGAGGAACGTGGAGTAGTAAGTGTTTAAAACGTCAGCCATGAACTCTAGTGATAACATTGAACATAACATTGTTGGAATTTCTTTCTCGTTTTGACTGCTGGTGTGATTCTGTGGTGATTACAATACTCCATCTTAACCCACAGTGCCCTGAAAACACAAAGTGACGTTAGTAGAGCCCTTATGCAAAACAAGCACGCCTGTATATTTTCCTCATACCGCAAAACATCACCTAGATTTATCATTACGGGGATGAGGGACTAACGTTAGCTGGTCAATGAGCATGAATATGAGTTCTGGATGTGATCGCACATCATGATGCAGTCATGAAATCATACATCAAAGTGGCATTATGCTGAACAGTATCTGGGATCCACAGGGTGAGGACATTATGGAGGGAAACACAGAAGCTGAATGGTTACTGTCAGGCTATGGTGTATGTAACCTCAATTACCCTTTTTCTGTGCTACTTATTACACGGGATATATGCATTCTTTGTAACGTGTATGTTGCATCTGTCTTTGTTTAGCTAAGGTTAACCCGTCAACACTGCTAGTTTAGAACGCGTATAAAGCGTCTGCGGATGTTAAAAGAAAAACCAGAGCGATAACTCAAACAGCAAAATATTGCTAAGAAAAGGCTAGTTGTGTGTATATGAAGTGGCCAAGTGGCGTTCAGCTATGGCTTTCGTAAACTGACTTAATGTTGTTGTTTGCTAGCTACTGTTAGCATGCTGGCTAACAGCGTTTGCTGCAGTATTTCATTGTTTGGGATAAACAACAGCAAAATGCTACTACTAGCGTTGGTTGGTTTAAGATATACATTGTATGTTTGTTTGGCCCTAAAGACCAGAGGCCATTGCAACATTACAGTTAATATCCTGTTGTTTCCCACTGTTTCTTTTACTGGAGACTTCGGGTGTAAACGAGCGCGAATGGGTCGTCAGCTGGGCAACTGTTCCCTTACTTGTTAGCTCAACACGGTTAAACTTAGGAAGGACCCTAACTGTTTTAATGCATTGCACCTGCGAATGAGAGACAAAACAGAAAAAATGTTCCCATTGGGAGTTGGGGATATGGTCACGTGATTGTACCATAACTAGTGTCGGTAGAAGTGTTTTGCTGCTGTTTATGAACACAAATTGTAACGCAGATATACTCCAAACTAAGTCCTGCATTAAAAAGTGTTCCACATGGTTTCATGATCAAATCCCGTGATTTGGATTGGATCATGAAACCTGGCCTTTTTAAGCAGTAGTAATAAGCTATTTAAAATAGAAAGTGCTCAAATAAAGTATCCTTGGTACTTATAAGTTGAGCACACAGTACACCTGTATCATACTTATACAGGCTTACTTACACTTATCTTACCTGTATCTTAGACTTTGAAGTGCAGTGACTTTTTCCACAGACTGCTATCCCTGAGTGTTGGGTTGTATGTTGTGTGTTATTTCAAAATCATACTTCCCCTTTGTGTTTTTCAGATGTAAACGTGAACACCATCTGTCCCAGCAGTTGCTGTTGGCACAATGGGGCTCGATTTTGATGTAAAAACATTCTGTCACAACCTGCGGGCCACCAAGCCCCCGTATGAGTGCCCGGTGGAGACCTGCCGGAAGGTCTACAAGAGCTACAGCGGCATAGAGTATCACCTCTACCACTATGACCATGATAATCCCACACCTGCACAGACAATACCCCAGAAGAAGAGGAAAGGACGGCCTCCTCGTGCTTCCCTGGCTTGTTCTGGGGATACGGATGACGGTGGAGGTAATGGAGGAGGAGGACTAGGCCATGAAGGAAACACACCTGGCAGCCCCAACCGGTCAGAACACTCCAACTCTCCCGGGAGAGACACGATGACCTACGCTCAGGCACAGAGCATGGTCGAGCTGGAGTTCCAGGGGCGGATTCACCGCATCAGCATCTTTGACAACATTGATGTGGTGTCAGAAGAGGACAGTGACACAGATGGTCCTCCGCCGTCTGGGACAGGCAGCAGTGGAGGTGGGGTGTGTAACGGCAGCGATGGTGGAGCTGGAGGTGGGGACATGGGAGGAAACGTAAAGGACCGGTCAGATATCCCGTCCTCCAATGGAGGAAAAGCCACGCCGAAGACCGGGAAGCATAAGAGTAAAGAAAAGAAGAAGGATGGATTATCTCATCATCATAACAGTCAGTCTGGTCCTGGAGTCAAACTCCCAGAGGCAGTATTTAGAGAACTGGACCAAGAGAGACCGGATGCCCCTCCTCGGCCTTCATCTTACTACAGGTCAGTGGTTGGAGTTGTTATTTGGGTCATTAGCATTTATGTGGTTAAAAGAAACTGAAGAGGGCATAATAGGTAAAGTAAAAAAAAACAACAACATACATTCAGTGATGCATATGTTAGTAAATTTGCTCCAAGATTGCTGAAACTCTTCCCTGATTAATTCACACCTACAGAATGCTGGAAAAGAACCGGCCCTACTCCCCTAATGAATTCCATGTCTGTCCCGTTTATTCATTTCATACCCACATGCCGCTCCTCTGTCCCACTCTGAACATCAGGTATATTGATAAGTCAGTGGAGGAGCTGGACGAGGAGGTGGAGTACGACATCGACGAAGAGGACTACATCTGGCTCGGCATCATGAACGACAAGCGGCGGCGGGACGGTGTGCCCCCCATTCCTCAGGAGGTCTTTGAGTACCTCATGGACCGCCTAGAGAAGGAGTCCTACTTCGAGAGCCACAACAAGGTACCTGAACTTGCACGCGAGAGAAGTATGACATCGTCCCTCTGAACCCCAGTCTTCAGCTGTCTTGTGTGGTGTCCATCCCTCAGGCAGACCCCAGTACCCTGATCGATGAGGATGCTGTCTGCTGCATCTGTAACGACGGAGAGTGTCAGAACAGCAACGTGATACTGTTTTGTGACATGTGCAATCTGGCTGTACATCAAGAGTGCTATGGCGTGCCCTATATCCCAGAGGGCCAGTGGTTATGTCGCCGCTGCCTGCAGTCCCCCAGTAGAGCGGTGGACTGTGCTCTGTGTCCAAACAAGGGAGGAGCTTTCAAACAGACAGACGATGCACGCTGGGCTCACGTCGTGTGCGCCCTCTGGATCCCCGAGGTAAAGCCAGACGTTCCTGCCTGCTTATCGGGAACCCCTGAGTGTTAGAATGCTCGGTTCAGTGTCAGGAACGGCCCTGTTGTCACGTCCGTCCCTTTGTGCACGAAGTAAAGCGTTTTTCTGCCTTTTTTCCCAGGTCTGCTTCGCAAACACGGTCTTTCTGGAGCCGATTGACAGTATTGAGCACATTCCCCCCGCCCGCTGGAAGCTCACCTGCTACATCTGCAAACAGCGAGGCTCTGGCGCCTGCATCCAGTGTCACAAAGCCAACTGTTACACAGCTTTCCACGTCACCTGCGCGCAGCAAGCCGGCCTCTACATGAAAATGGAGCCGGTCAGAGAGACCGGGGCCAACGGCACGTCCTTCAGCGTGAGAAAGACGGCATACTGCGACATCCACACGCCCCCAGGATCCGCCCGACCTTTAGGGGGAGTGGGCGGGGTCAGCATGGGATCATCCAACAGCGAAGGAGAACTGGAGGACGACGATGAGCCCAGCCTCGGCCATGACGAAGACTCCAAGGGCTGGAGCTCCGACCGAGCAAAGAGGGCAAAGGCCAAATCCAGGATGAAGATGAAAAGGGCGAGAAAGATCTTAGCTGAAAGGAGAGCCGCCGCACCAGTGGTGTCTGTGCCCTGCATACCCCCCCACAGGCAAGTGGGCACATCCTAACAGCACGTTTACCGAAGGCTCCAGACAGATTAGCATGTGGAACAGCAGGGCTGCTGCCTCTCTGCTTAGCCTTGGACAAAATGAAAGGCGTTGTTTTCTGAGAGCCAAATTAATGTTTTCTTCTTTCCAGGCTGAGCAAAATCACCAGTAACCTAACGGTGCCCAGAAAAAGTCAGTTCATGCAGCGTCTCCACAGCTACTGGACTCTGAAAAGGCAGAGTCGTAACGGCGTGCCCCTCCTGCGGCGGCTGCAGACCCACCTGCCCTCACAGCGCCACGTCGACCCGCACCCCCCGCAGCCCGCCGCACAACTTCCTCTGGTCAATTTCTCAGCTCGTTTCTCTTCAAATTAGCATTTGATATGGCACATGGGAATGATATTCCCCAGCATACTTATGGGTTTGTCCCGGAATTCGTTTCAGAGGGACAGCGAGGAGAAACAGACGGCCTTAAAGGAGCAGCTCAAAGCCTGGCAGAGGCTGAGACATGACCTGGAAAGAGCGAGGCTGCTGGTGGAGCTCATCCGCAAGAGGGAAAAACTCAAGAGGGAGACGGTGAGACAAAACTAATGTGACCCGGACTGTTCTGAAAAGTTCTGAACCTGTTCAGATACCAGTTCTCTCTGGGCTTGGTTGAAAAAAGGTTTATTGTTGGGATCCTCTGTTTAGTTAGTGAGTTATGTTACGCGCAGGCCTGTAGCCACACACATTTCTGGGTGGATGTGCTCGGCTGTTACTAAGCGGTGCTGTGTTTAGATCAAAGTGCAGCAGATGGCGCTGGAGATGCAGCTGACGCCCTTTCTGGTTCTTCTGAGGAGCACGTTGGAGCAGTTACAGGAAAGGGACACAAACAACTTTTTCACTGAGCCTGTGCCACTTGAAGAGGTGAAGGAACAAACATGCAAGAGTTCTTAAGATCCAGTTTGACCTTAAGAATATTTATTTCAGATTGATGACGGTTAGGCGTCTGATCCTCCTGGTATATTGATGTTTTTCCGGTTTTCTGTGTCTCCAGGTCCCAGACTACCTGGAGCACATCGACACCCCTATGGACTTTCAGACCATGTGGAACTTGCTGGAGTCCCATCACTACCTCACTTTTGAGGCCTTTGAGGCTGACTTCGGCCTCATTGTCAACAACTGCCTCAAGTACAACGCCAAGGACACCGTCTTCTACCGCGCTGCGCTGCGGCTCAGAGAGATGGGCAGCGCCGTCATCAGAACCGCCAGGCGCCATGCCGAACGCATTGGATTCGACTATGAAACCGGCTTGCACCTCCATCGGGAGCCGAGCCCCGACAGCCAGCGCGACCAAGAGAGAGACAGAGAGCGGGAGAGGGAGCGCGACAGAGAGAGAGAGAGGGAGAGAGAAAGAGAGCGGCCGCTGTCCTCTAATGAAGATGGTGAGTGGTCCTCATTTGTTTTGATTTGGAGGTTTCTGGATGGCAAAACATTTTCAGCAGGAGAGGAAAAAATGGATTACAGACAAATATGTAAATATGCTTTCTTTGAGCACCTCTTGATCCAAGCCTAATGTTACTTTACAGCCAGTGATGATGTGCAAATGTGTAATGGATGGTAGGTTTTGGTTTAAGTTTGTTGATTGGGATTTATTTTGGCCTGCATTATAGTGTTACCAGTAGATGGCGCCTGTCATTTAAGGAAGTCAGTTCTTAGCAAAGCTAAAGCCTCCTCACCTCTTTGGGTGTGTTTTTCACCATCTCTTCTTTGTCAAACTAAAGGTGATTAGGTATACTGATAGCTTGTTTCCATTCATTTTGACAGCTTTGATAATGACAGTCTGAAGCATTTAAAAAAGCTTAGCTCTGTCTGCCTATCACAGAGCTGCTCCTGCCGGAGAACAGGCGTCAGCTGCCTCTGGAAGAACAGCTGCATTACCTGCAGGTGCGCCTCAACGAGGTCAGCTCGGGGAAGCACAGCATCGGTCAGTCCCGCAGAGCCAAAGCTCTGAGAAAGGAGATCAGCGTCATCAAGAGGAAGCTTGCGCACCAGCGGGAGGGAGGCTTGGGCATCGGGGGCCGGGAGTCCATGGGAGACCGAGGCTCCTCACTTCCTCATCACTCATCGTCTGCAGGACACCACGATGAGGGGGGCGAGAGCAGCAGCCAGGAGATCGGTGGAAAGGGTATGTCTTTCAAAAGATCATTATATATCAAAAAGATTATATTCATGTGTGCTGTTTGTGAATGCTCCTGGCTCCAAATGGCAAGGAACAGCGTCATTGTCATGTCATTAGACTTTGTGCATTCCCTCCTCTGCCCTAGCTCCAGAGGTTGGCCGTCGGACATCTGTCCTATTCTCCAAGAAGAACCCCAAAATGGCCGGACCGCCCAAACGGCCCGGGCGTCCTCCGAAGAACCGGGACGCGGGCTACGGCGGAGCGGGCGTGAGCCAGAGCCCGATCGGCCCCCCGCAGCTGGCCCTGCTGTCACCGAGCCGGCAGAGGAAGAGGCCCCGCAGCCCCCACACCAGCTCCAGCTCTGACAGCGACAGCGACAACGACGACCTGCTGCCAGGTGCCGGGGGCGGGGCACACACGCGCTGCTCGATGCTGCCGCCGGGGAGCCTCTCACTCACAGGCTCACACGGTTGTTTCTCCGCCTCTCACCCACAGGCTTACCCAGTAATGGTTTTGATACAGGAAACCAGCCGGTAACCGAGAGCTTCCGCGTGTACAGGAATGAGCCTCGCCTCCCTCGCTCCAGCTCAGACTCTGAGTCCACAACCAGCAGCAGCAGCAGCGCAGCGTCTGATAGAACCAGGTGATTAGATTTAGCCAGTGTCTGACGTCCCTGAACGCACCATCTTTCAGTGAAAGCGCCTTATTGGGTGTGGTTACAGACCCACAGACGTATCGACTAGCTCTGTTCTTGTCGAATCTTTTGGTGATTATAACAAAAAGACATCTCATCTTTTTTTTTTTAATCCTGTGTACTGGCTACACAGTTATGTGTCCTGATATTCATTTTTTTTGCCGTTCACTTATTTTTCAGCACAACTCCTTCCAAGCAGGGTAGAGGGAAGGCCTCCTTCTCCCGCTCCGCCTTTCACGAGGACAGCAGTGAGGAAACATCAGGCACCGAGAATGATTCCTACTCTGTGGGAGGATCACGCAGTGTTTCGCATTGTAAGGGCATTGTTGCACACTGAGCCCACCACAGTGCACGAGTATCTTGTTTCTGTTTGAGACGATCATTGCGTTCTTACAGAATTTCTTATTTTATCATTTCTTTTGTCCTGCCTTGGTTTCTGTCATAAGTATGAATTTGATTTTGTGCCACTGACTGGGCCTCACTTTACCATCAACTCAAGTTGAACTTTTTTGCATCATTTGAATGAAATTTGGGCCAAAAAGAATTTCTTTGTTTTGGAACAACAAATCTATCAGAATGAGTCTAGATTAACACAGCTCTTCACTTTCTTGCGTTTGGTTAGTGGTTTAAAAGCAGCGTACGCACACAGAAGCCTTTTTTTCCCTTTTCTTTTCAATTCCCTTTTTGGCAAGCACGTCATAAAACCACCAGACTGTCAGCTGGTGGTGTTTTAATCTTAAAGGAGAATAAGGCTAGAGTCAAAGAAAATACTGATGTCTTCATGTTAAAATCAGAGTAGATAAGTGCCTTCTTTAAGACACCATCCATCCATTACACAGACACAGATTACAGTAAACTTTTCTTTCCTGCCAAAGTCGATCCAGTTTTTGGTTTAGGGATGGCGATAAGACCAATTCTAAGTTGGTTCTAGGTATGAAATGACTTCACAAAGGACACTTTACATATCTCTCCTGGTACCTGTATGACCATCCCCTTGGTATCTGCAGTTTTCAAGTTTATGTTCAGTCACTGCTTTGAATTCACTTCCATGCTGATGGTCATTTTTGTCCTTGGTTTTGTGCTAGTGTTTCACTGGGTTTTTTGGGCTGGGAACTGAGCTTTGATGGTTGAGACGGAAAGAATTAGCTGTTAGGCTTTGGCTCTGAATCCGAACTGAAGGGTGCGGAAAAGAAAACCCCAGTGACTGACAAACTTCAAATGAAAGATTAGTTTAAAGCAATGATGCAACCAGACACTGTTTGGCTTAGAGTGAGATTGCATTATAATGACTTCTCTTCTTGGCTACCAGTGGTGCGTGGTCGAGAAAGGTCAGGATGTTGGATGGCGTCTGATGACTACTCCTCTCTAGAAGCTCTGGACCTGGTGTGGGCCAAGTGCCGAGGTTACCCCTCGTATCCAGCTCTGGTGAGGCTCACCGTTTGTGCTAGTTGTGGTAGACTACCACCACCTGGCATTGTATCCACTTTTGTGATTGGATGTGTGTACAATCCTCTCAATGCCACTACTTCTCTGCAGATAATCGACCCAAAGATGCCGAGGGAGGGGGTGTTTCACCGGGGCGTCCCAATCCCCGTACCTCCTTTGGATGTGCTCAAACTTGGAGAGCAGATGACCCAAGAGGCCAGAGAGCACCTGTTCCTCGTGCTGTTCTTTGACAACAAGAGAACTTGGTAAGTGCTCGTCTATTTTTTTAATGGATGTATATGTATTTATATAGAGATTTACCTAATCTTAACCTGATGCAGCGTGTGGGTTCAGCATTTTATTGAGCAGTGTACAGAAAATGACACGGTGCAGAGCAAAATGGGCTCACACTGGATGTAAGCTGGATGTTTACCAGCTAAAGCGGTAAAACTTCAAAGCAAGCTGCAGCCCCTGTGCTGAGGCGACAGATGACAGAACGCTGAGCAGAAATAGGGCAAACGTGGTTTTTAAAAACTGAAGACAAGGGGAAAAAACACGCAGTGTTTTAGGTCATCATGTGCTCTGCATGACTGATGCTCAAAGTTCATCAACTCTGAGCAGGGAAGAAGGTGAGAATGCCAACAGTAATTATTGCAAGGCTGTTTGTTTTTTTTATCAAGGCTGTTTCAATCAGCTGCCTGTGTTGTGTAAGGGCTTTTGCATCAGAATTTTAAGGTTTTAAGCCTGGAAATGTGACGAGCTTAACAACTGAGTGTGTGTGCATGCCTGCAGGCAGTGGCTGCCGCGCTCTAAGCTGGTGCCGCTCGGCGTGGACCAGGAGCTGGACAAGGAGAAGATGCTGGAGGGGAGGAAGTCCAACATTCGTAAATCTGTACAGGTGGCCTACCACCGCGCCATGCAGCACCGCAGCAAAGTGCAGGGAGACCCCAGCAGCGAAACCAGCGACAGTGACTGAGCACATGCAAACATGCACACAGAAACAATATCCTGGTCCTTGGTAACGTGTCCAGGGTACCTAAGAAAAAAACATGCCAGTGAGAAAAAGCAGCTACTACTTTGGCCCCAAGATTCCCACGCTCATGCACACTAAGCCGTATTTAACCTGACGTGTAAAATATTGTATTTAAGAAAATTGAAAAAAAGCTGATATTGATAATAATGATGGAAAAATATGTTCATATGTTCAGAATCATGAATCAAAACGTTCCTCGTACGGTGTCGATATATGTTTAATGAGATGAGATAATGATATGCTGACTCAGACAATGAGCATAGTTTTACACTATGATGCATACACAAGTCTGCCTCCCCCTGCCCTCCCTCCACTCTCACCCGTTACCTTGAGCATGTGTTGCATGGTAAATGCACACACTGCTGGCTTGGCTGTGAACGCCATCTCACCAGCACATCTTTTACATCCCCCTCTCCAAAAGAATAAAATAAGGCCTGGTGCTAGTGTCTAGTCTTTTGTCAGAGGAGCACAAAGAAAGACTGTTGCAGCCTGAATGTGGGCAAACCAACGTTACTGTAATTTATTCCAATGGCTTCTTGATAACAAGATCCACACCGGTGTTTCATCATGGACTACTTCTAATCACTCCGACTGCACAAGACGTTGTTGCGCGGTAATTTCTGTCTGTCAGTCCTGTTTTTTAAGCTTTTGTTAACATACGCCTGTCACATTGGCCACTAGTCAGTCAATAATGAGGAATAACCTGAAACACGATTGCCTCACTGTCTGTGTTAGTCTCAGGCTAATGGCTTTAGATCTTTTATATAAACAGATTGCATAAAAAAAACAAGTTCAATGAAAATTAAAAAGGATTTTTTTTAAATCTCGTGTCGTGGGCTCTGTTGTCTCTGTTGCTTAGAGTTAGGGTTAAAGATAACATTTCCACACTCCGGTTTGTGAAATGTTCCATGATGGCCAACAGGAAACCGACTCCGAACCCCTTTCGTTCAACTGAAAAGTGAGTCAGCATGTTTGTCTACTGAATGCAGATGTATTTCCCCTCTAAAGAACTTGACTTGACCACTCATGTCTCATGCTGTTTTTCAAACACTCCTTATTTGTGAATATGCAACATTTGAGGATTTTCCAAAATGTTCCTTAATAATGCATTGTACCTCCATTATAGAAATGTAGTGGTCGTGTAAACAAAAGCCAGAGTTTACCAAACTGTGTGAGCCTTATTTTTTGGTAGGATTCTCTTGTACGAGACCGCGTTTTGCATAAAGACTCCAAGTGGCTGGACAGGTTGCCTTGCCTTGGTTACATGATATGGTATGTGAGCACAGACTAGTCACACACTGTACTTGCAGAACGGCATTATGAAAAAAAAAAGCAGTCCTACGGTGACCATGATTTTCCCATTTTGAAACGGAAAATCGTATCAACAACATCTAATGTGTACTAAGCATGCCAATTAAAGGCCTCCTTACATGGCTGTTAATGTTATCTGTCTCAACATGAAATTGAGACAGCTGTGATGACGGATGTACCTGTAAACCTACACTCCTCCGAAAACACTTCCAGTAATGATAACAATCCCCCACCCAAAATGAGCGCCCACACACCACAAAGTGTGTTTGTTTTTATAACATTTGTAGTGAACGCAACAAATGCCTTATTTCCTTTTGCAGTGCTTCTCTGGAACTGATTAGCATGAGGCTGCAGTTTCAACACCAGCACACTTTAAGCAGAAGCTGATTGCATGGCGTCCAGGAAGCAAGATCTTTTTTTTCCCCTCTTCTTCTGAAGAACATCCTGTTTCAGATATCATCTAAAACAGATGTGACCACATCTGCCCAGAGTTACCAAAGCAAAAGCTTTGCACTATATACACTGTTTTGGTAGGAAATTTTTATTTTACAATATGAAATAACCCAAAAGTGTGCTGGAGGTTTTATTTATATTTACCTGTTTTCTTTGAGGACGCTTTGGCCAAAGTGGTGGAAACTGATAACCCAGAGATGTGCACTGATCCAGGCTTATATAACTTCCATCATCTGTGATGGACTGTCTCCAGCCTCCCCATGACTGAGTTCTGATCAGCTGATATAGAAATTGAATGAAGTAATCTACTATGCAGCCCACATTACTACAAGTATTACAATTACAAGTATTCATTTTCCTCCATTTACTATCATGTAAAACGACCTGAAATACAGATTCAATCATTCCTCCTTCTAACCCCCAAATACTTTCAGGGTGGTGAGCAGCATTTGGTCCACCATGTTTTCCTCCATTTGCCCAGTTAAAAACTCAGGTGAGGCATTTCTTTGCCTTCTCTGTTCATGTCTTCCAGTCGTCTCACAGTGGCAGGAGCCGCGTGTGTGTGGGTATTTGTGTGTGTGTGTGTTGTCACCTGCCTTTAGGGTTGACGGAGGTGTGTTGCCCACAGACGCCTGTGTTTGCGGGTGAGGCAGAGACACTTATCACCAACCGCACGATAAGCGCCAAAGTCTATCCACGCCACGCTAATAAAGGCACGTGCACACGTTTTTTAATCTAAATGCCACTTTCCTGTGACCAACAGTGCTTTGTCGGGTGAATATTTTCTGACACATATACACGTTTCCCCATACGACAAAGCAACAGGGGGTTAAACATTACAACAGCGTCTCCAGGAAGTGGAGCTCGTCGTGTGACGAGCGGCGTGAGAAAAAACGGCGTCTCATCAGAAACAGCTGCGCCTCCAGCAGAAGCCCGGGAAATGTGGGCAGCGCGGCGGGGCGAGAGGCTTCTCCAGACTGTCAGCGGCTCCGACAGCCACGGGCGCCTCTGTATGGGACCTCGGTAGCGTTCAGGGAACAGGTTTTTCTTCTTCGGAGAGTCGCGCCCTTGTGAGATGAGCCTCCTCCTGGCCGCCGGCCTGCTGCTGCTGCTGCTGGGCCCGGCCGAGTGTCGGCTGCCGACCGGGGTCGAAGCCTGCCGGGTGAGTTCACCCACGGATCTTATTTCAGTAAAAAAGGAAAAAAAAGTTTATTTTTGAAGCAGTCAGTCTCAGAAAATCAATTACATTTATCTCTTTGTGTTGAATATTGAATAAATGTGTCTTTCTTGTCCCAGCCTCTGATGGTGGATCTGAAGGGTAAGTTACATGTCAAATATCAGGGGCCTGTTCAGTGACATGTGGAGACCCTCTGGTCTAAGGCTTTTTTTTTTCTCCCTCTGTGAATACAGATCCTGCTCGGGGTCAGTGCCCTATAAATGTGTCCTCGGTCCCTTCCAAAGACGTCCAACATGGATACTCTGAAAACATCAATGTCCTTGTCCTGATAGAGGCTGATGGTATGTGTTCTAACGGGAGCTTCTGTTGTCCATAAACTTAGCCTAATCATTTCTAAAGCCCTCGTTGTGGCATTGATGGTGAGGTGGTGAAAAGGTTTGTCACGTCCCGTTTGTCCAGATTTTGTTACGTCCCCGAAGATTGAAATTTCTATACCCTCCGAAAGAAAAAAGACCTTCAGGCTGTTTACGAGAAAGAAAGATAAGCCAAAGGTGTGTGTTGCACTTTCCCTGAACAGTTTCAGACGTGTGGTTGTGAGCCTGCAGCTCATCGTGTTAACGGATACAACAGTGTCATCTCTCTCAATGTTCCAGGATTCCAAAAGTCCCAGTGAATTCCCAGTTAAGTGTAGCAGGGATGTCACACAGCCATCACGTCAAAGTTCAAGAAGGGTGATTGTAGTTTTTTTTAGGGGGGGATTTGGAGCGACAAAGGGACTATTTTTTTAACAATATGATTGACACTGATGGTGTGTTTGTTTTCATCTTTCAGTGGGAGTTTGTGTACGCTTATTCGGCTAAGGCAGATGCTAAGATTTCTGTGACATACAGAACAAACTCTATGAATTGCAGTGTTACCTACACAGTACCAGGTGGAGTATTCTCATTCAGTCTCTGGAACTTTTGTTAATGTCGCAAACAAAATAACCCCGCCGTGTGTCACAGGGTTCTGAAATGGCGCTGACAGTGTTTTCACACGCACATACGTGGAAAGTCTCACTTCTTTTCTTACCTTTTAGCCTCAGATTGAAGGCTGTGAACGGCCTCTGACTCAAACACTTGAACACACAAAACATCAAATGACTCATAACTGACTAAACACCCTCACATAAACCATTTCATGGAAATTAACGTCATTTTCTTAGTATAAAAGGCAAAGGGACTTGGTGTGGCTAAGCTCTGAACTCGTCTGGTTTCTTGACTTACTTCTAAAGCTTTTGCCTTCCCTTCATCATGCTTCTCTGCACATTGAGCAGCCATCGTCTGTGAGGCTCATATCCCTCTACTTTTCCCCCCTTTTGACTTAGACCCCAAACCTGACTACAGTGTGTCTGTGAACAAGTCGTCTAAAACCGTCTTTGTCTCGGTGGATTCTGGAGACAGAGTGAAAATCCGCCTGTGTTATGAAAACAGAGCATCACACTGCGCAGAGATAATTCCACCACGACTAGTTGTGAGTATCAGAGACACATGGGTCCTCCCTTTGCTGGAAAAATAGTCAGTAGGGTTGGGGGTTTTTTTGTGTGACTGTGAGCGTTACATACTTGTGTTTTCCACCTTTCAGTCTCAGATGGTTGACTTCAACATCACCTACATGCTGCCCTGTGTGTGTGTCGAGGTGAGCGCAGCGCACAAACGCAGTGTTTTTAGCCTTCAGTCTGTTTTTTTCCCAATGCATTTACACATCACATCTTTACCGGCAGGCATTTTACGACTACCTTGACGCAAGGCGACATAAGAAGTGCCCCTTTAAAAACGGAAGCCTCACTGGTGAGTGTGACGCACTGACGGGAGTCTTCTTGTCACGGTTAACCACTGGAGGAATTAAAAAAACAGAACAACCAGGGGACTGGAAGAAAAAAAAACAACCATATTCAGGCTGACGTTTTAACCTTTTAGCACCAAACACAAAGCCTTTTTTCTTTCTCATGGATGAGTCTGGGTATTAGGGAGTTCCAGGCTTCATGAAAAATTGCAGTAAGTCAGGCTTAGCATTAATACAATAAATATGAATAAGATCAAAGAATTCAAACTGAAATATATCCCTTTAAGCTGGTTTTAAAGATTTTAGCCTTGAAGGAAATGCATTGCTTCCACAGAGATTGTTGTTTGTCAGCACCATTTGTACACGTGAACAATATTATTTCAAATTGTTACGTAGAGATTAAGGATTGTGTGATAGGGAACCCAGCCAGGATCTCAGAGGAGGGAAGATTTCATGTAATGAGCACTGAAACTAACAAAAATTCTAACATTGCAGCAACTGATCTATATTAAGTCTGAATATTATCCTGATAAATCCTTTTTAGCCCTAAAAAAACACCTAACTTTGCACGAGCCGGTTGCTGTGCTGCCTCTTCCAATTATTCTCTTACAACTTCTCTTCACATATGAGCAATATTTATCATGTAATTTGGACATATAGAAAATGTTGAAAGGTTTCGTCTGATCTTCCTTTGAACTATAGGATGCTTTACGCCCTCAGGCTACCACAGTGTGTTTGGCAGCTTTATCCTCTGTGTACAAAGAGTGCACCGTTTGCTGAGGATGTTTGTAACCGAAACTTTAAAGGTAAAAAAAAAAAAAAAGTTCCCAAAATGGGGAGGTGACAGCAGCCAGAAAACAGATAAGCAAACTAAAGGCATGCAGTAGTAATTCCAGTGGCGTTTTTCCAAGGAAGAAGTATCTGAAATGTATACTAAAAATACAACTCACGTTTCCTCGTCAGAAGAAGAGAAAGTTGAAATTATCAGTTTTGTGGCAAATCACTGATAAAGAACTTGCTGGGATGTTAGGCTGTGGTTTGATTGTGTTTTCTAGATAGCAGAAGAAGTTATCTACATACCAGCTGACTTTATTGTGGCTTTAAACACTTTTTACATAATATCCGGACCACATTTTCTGACTTTTTGAAGTAAACCTTTAGATTTTTAAAAAGGAATTAGATGTAAACATTTTCTACGTTTAACTTTCCTTCAGATTTTATTTTTATGGTGCACAAAGAAGGCATAAAACTTAGACAGAAACCAACCTGGAAAGATAATGCAGTAGAACAGTAAAATCAGTCATTTGTTATCTGGTCATTGTGGTAGGAAGTTTTGTTGAACTGAGTTTCAACTCTTTTAGTGGTGCTCATGTACAGTTCAATTTCATTTTAACGTAAACACATTCAGCTCCCATGCATACCATATAGGTCTCCTCACTGAGCATTCACAGTCTTTGGAGGCAGCTTGAAGTGTCTGTGCTGTATTTTCTGTGCTGTATAAAATGCTGAACTTGTGTATCACCAACCACGCACCCACCTCCGCTCAGGAAGCACTGAAACTGTTTGGCCTATTTTCAAATGGCTGTCTCATAAATCAAATGAGAGGAGGGGGGAAAAAAATCAGAGGTTTTCTACAGTTTTGTTTATAGTGTGCGTCCACAATTCGGCGCCACGACGTGTTTCAACATGCCTCTGCTTTACGCTGCTCCACAGACTTTGACGATGTTCTGCGTGCCTCCAGAGTCCTGCTGTACAGGTCGCAGGTGACTTGGACCTCCAAGTGTCCAAACAGCAAGCTGAACGTCTCTGCCTCTCTGTGCTGGAAGCAGCACCCACACCTCTGTATACCAGTGATCAACTCCACTCTGGAGAAAAAAGATGGACCTACTCTGGTATCATTAACAAAAATAAGATAAATGTTTTGAGATTTTTTTTTTATATTAAAAAAAGAGAAAAAGAAAGAATTGCTCAGGTTAACTTGAACACCGACTGTCTTTTAACAGGTTTTTAACACCTCCACAGTGGACAAACACCCTCAGATGTGTGTGCAGGTGAGAATCAGCCAGATGTATGTGTAGACGTCCTGCTACCTGCTATTCATTTTCTAAAGTTTCTTTTTTTCTTTTCCAGTTTTCTACACAAGGCAGACATAATATCTCCTGCCTCTTTAAGGATAGTGAGTCAAGACAAGGAATCAAACCACAAGTTGTGATAAATGTCACATATCCTGCCCCCCCGGTGACTCTCCCTTTCTCTGTCCCTCGCAGTTTTGTCTTCATGGGAGACGCATATTGGACCCGGCAGACGGAGCATATCAGTGTTTGTCACCTCTTCATCCCCAGCAAAGTTCTCAGCTCAGCTCTGCCTTCTAACTGAGGGGGAATGTACACCCACGGGGCCAGTCCACTCAGTAACGATGGTTAGTATATATGTAGAGCATTAAAACAACGAATGATCATTAGAAGCTTATGTATTCAGGTGGAAAAGAATTGAATTAGGTGAAGAAAAGGGGAAGTGTGCTCTGGACAGTTATTCGAACTCTTTTCAGCGAAGAATTATTTTTGCTTGGTTTCAGTTAAACTGTACATGTATGATTATGAAATACCTTTGAAATACCTTATGAAATACCTTTACTTCCCTTCCTTTTCTCATGCAAAATATGTAAGCGTATTACAGGGGTAAAAGCAATAGCAACAATAAGGAATAGCAACATTAATGTTTGTCATTATCCTATAAACTGCAATCTGTAGAAAAGCCATGCGTCACTTTGCCTGTACTTGACCAACCATCAGGACCAAAAAGGGGTGTTTCAGCTAGACAGGAGCAAAGAAAAGGACTGTAGTGCGTCAATCTGATGAACACGTCTACAAATCCATTAGCCAAGTACAAAAAGTAAAGGGCAGTTCGTATTTGATTTATTCCTTATGTAGTTCTCATTGAAAACCGCTAGAGGGAGCCAAAATCAAGTGTAAACTTTGGAAAACATAATTAAAATCTTATTGAATAGGCAACAGATGAAATGGGATCAAACTGCTAGCAGATGGCAGCAAGACGTTTACGTGCGGATGAAGGGGTTTTATCAGGGAAACATAATGTTTTGATTTTTAATTCACAAGTTCTTTTAGATGCACTTTTCAGAGCTTGATAAAACTACTTCAAAGTATCTCGTTTATACAAGAAAAAAAGTCATTCAAAGTTCTACGCTTATAAATTGGGTTTGCTAAAAATTCCAACCAGAGCTGTGTGTGTGTTCTCTTTTATTTTACAGGGGGAACTGGACACTGAAAAAAGAATAAACGTACCTGTTCAAGTCCCTGCTGAGAAGCCATGTGTACAGGTAAATTTTGTCTGGTTAACCATGAGCATCTGCTCCATTTGTGGGGCATTTTCCAAGCTCTTACTCTCTGAACCGACCCTTCTGCAGGTCTGGCAGTCGAGCCCGGCCCTTAATGGAAGGAGGATTCTGTGCCCAGACTGTAAGCATATTCAAGATCCACACATGAGCCCTGGCGTGCCAAGCTGTGCACTTTGGCTTGCCAGGTAATGCGTGACTGAATGCTCGGCTCCTACTAAGTAAATGAACCTGCTTCGCTCTGTTTTCAGACACGCACAGCAGATGGGGTGTGTGTGCAGCGGCGGCCTTCACATTTCTGACTGCTGTCATTTTATTTGTATTTTTCATCCACCGTGTCATCAAGAAAGGAGCTGCTGGTAGGCCCGTCTGCCCTTATGGATACAGTTACCTACCAAGTTTACTCGGAAATATCGTCCCTTTTGCACGTCTTCATCAGCTGATCTACTTGGTTTTTCCTCACGTGTAGGCTGGCTGACCATCCAGAAGCCGCTGCTGGTGGTATGTTCGTCAGATGCTTCGACCCATGTTTCTGCCGTGTGTGCCTTAGCCTCCCTGCTTCAGGGGGAGCTGGGTGCCACAGTGCACACAGCGCTGTGGGCCCAGACCTCCCAAAGGCCTGCCGGGGGCCGGTCGGGCGTGGCAGATCTGGGTCCGCTCCCCTGGCTGTATGGTCAGTGGGACGCTGTCCGCAAGGCCCAAGGAAGAGTGCTGGTAGTCTGGAGTCTTGAAGCAAAGAGGACTTACCAGAAGTGGAGGGAGGAGAGAGAAAACATGAGGAACGATGAGAGAAAAAACGAAGATTCCAGGAAAGCAAATGGTGCACATAAGAAAATTAGTAAAAAGGTGGATGCGAATTTAAAGCTGAATGCAAGAAAAGTAAAGTGTAAAAAAGAGAAAGCTGTGATTGAATTCTGGGAGGATGACGACAGATACTCCCAGAAGGAGCGGTCAGCGGTGACGGAGCCGGTGTTTGTGGCTGCTCTGGCCTCTCTGGAAGAGGCTCTGAGGGGCTGCAACGCTCAGGAGGTTGCCATCGTCTATTTCCAGGGCCTGTCCCACAGCAGGGACATCCCAAAGGCCCTCAGAGGTGTGCCCCGCTACTGTTTACCACAGGACTTTAGCGGTTTAATTCAGGAGCTGGGAGAGGTGAGGACAGGGCCAAAAACGGGCGAGTCCGGTGGGCACTGCTGGCCCAAACTCCTCTGCAAAGTGTTGTCAGTGTGGCTGGCACGCCAGCTCGCTCAAAGGCTGCAAACACAGCTACCTCAGACCCAACGACAAAAAGGGGAAGAATGGAGTCTTACATCATCAGTAAGCCCGACAGAGAACAAACACAAGGTTCCCCCGGCTCCCGGGCCGGCAGACGCACTGCAGCAAGAGCTTCTCCAGGGGTCACCGTGGAGAGCCGAGAGGCTTTAGTCTCCAGTTTCACCTACCAGACTTTTGTTCTGCTGCAATGCGATACTTGAGACACAGGAGCTGATGTTCCACTGTTGAACGGGCCGCTCACCCGTTGGAAATATTCATTACCCGCCACCACATGCTTTGCATATCGAGACAAGGTAAACACTCCCTCCTGTCTCCTGCATTTAGCCTCCAACAGAGGCGTCTTTATTACTGAAGCCCAAGCAAACACCTGCCTTATCTTTGCCAATATGCTAACCACTATGAAAATCTTCTCGCAACTTATACCTCACTTTGTTTGTGCTCATGTATAATGTTTCAGAATGCTTTAAACTGGTTGGCATCTCGTCACAGAAGCACACTCATTTGCATGGGGCTCTCAAAGCACGAACGGAGCCAAAGCTGTATGAGGAAGCCCCTCATTGGTGCCCAGCATTCCAAAACAAGAGATGCAACTTTATTGTGATCATTTGTTAAGAATTTTTATAAGGCCTGTTGTTTCATTCTACCTCCTCTATTTGAATTTGAAGTGTATATTTTTTTCTTGTTGATTTCCTCAAATCCTGTTCTTGGAAACTATTGAGAGGAAAAAAAGTGAAAGCCAGTATTGTTAAAAAAAACAAATTTTCCAAGACCGTGTTTTACTTCAGGGATTGAGTCAAGCTCAACGGAGGGTGTTATGCAAAACATTGCACAGTTAAACCCTGTCAGGATGTATACACATGTGGGATTGACACTCTGCTCACCTCAGGAAGATTGTGTTGCTTCATCTCAGCATTACGAGGGTGACTGAACAATAAAAGCACTCTTGATAAAGAGATAAGTGTCCTCAACTGAAGCGAATTCTCCCATCTGTGAGCTTATTATATTCCTTGAAAACCAATCTTTGAAGCTGAGTTGTACTGAAATACCTCTGCTCTGACAGCCCCTCTTAGCCATTCCATCCTGTTGACACAGTGTTAGTTGACTTGCAAGTTATTGCGATAATTCCCTCAGCTACAGGTGATTATGTATTTTAATAGGATTGTGAGAGTGCTCCATGAGCATGTCTCTGTCAGTGAAACGACCCACTACATTGAAAAACCAGTAAGATTTTGCATTTTTACGATTGCACCGAGTTGCCAGGTGTTCCTGTGAAAGAGATAAGAAGCATCATTAGTCAATTTAACTGACTTCAGACTTCATTCAGATGGAGGTGAATGATTAAGTACCGGCCTGCAGCTGAAATCCTTCAACAGCGGTCTCCCTGTAAAAACAGCTATTACAGCTTATTTAACAGAGATCTTTTTCTTTGCACACATCATTAGGTACATTATGTTTTCTAAGTGACCCCGACAGATGTCACAAAGGTATAATACATATAGTACACAAACACACACATATATATATATATATATATATATATAATAAAGATTAGATTGGGTGTTCGTGAACATGAACAGTCTGTAAAAAAGCAGCTCTTTTAAAGCAAACACTATGAGAACGGTAAACAAAGATTCTGCAAAGAACAAAAGTAGGCCTACAGTAAAAAAAGAAAACAAAAGTATTTACCATAGGCAGCGTCTTTGTGCTACTGTGTATCATCTTTCTTGTCACTTTAAAACTGTTAGGAATGTAAACAATCTTCCATAAAGGTAGTGTGGTCTTATATTGTTTGCTTTTTGGAAATCAAGCCATGAAAGAAATATGACATTTGAGCGCCTCAGTGAAAGTGGGGATTGTAGTCCTGCTCTGGAGGGTTCAGGTATGCATTGGCACCATTCACAAAAGTTGCCAGATCAAATCCCAATGATTCATAGTCCACCATTTTACAGGTATATAGATTATGCAAAAGTAAAGGAGTGGGCTCTGAAAAACTGCCAGAAGCCAAAGATTGCTATCTAAAACATCAGAAGTGACAGAACATATTAAACATGGAAGGTCGAGCCAGTGTTTAAACAAACACCACATCTTTTTTTTTGGATGGTGGCCAGTTAAAATGAGCTTGTATGGCTTAACTCATTTTACCTGCATCTAAGCAAACAACAAGATTCTGGAGTAATGTGCAGATGAAAACACAATGACTGCAAATATGCACAAAGATCATCCTGTCACGCATGGTATGGTGGGGATGATTTTATGAGGTGTGTTCGGCCCCTCAGCCAACCATGACCCTCTCTGTATTCTATTTTCAGAACTGCTTATTCCCTAATGGGGTCGTAGGGGGACTGGAGCCCAGTAGTCAATGGGTGAGAGGGGGGATACAGCCTGCCAGTCCATCACAGGGCCACACAGAGACACACAACCATGCACACTCACATTCACTCCTAAGGGCAATTTGGAAGACGGAGTACCCGGAGAAAACCCACGCAGACACAGGGAGAACATGCAAACTCCACACAGAAAGGTCCTGGTTCCCCCGGGGACTCAAACCCAGAACCCTCTTACTGTGAGCCAATGGTGCTAACCGCCACACCACCTCGATTCTTCTCTGAAGAAGAGAAGAATCAAGGTGTTTTGGTGGTCCAGTCAAAGTCCAGACCTTACTCTTATTGAAATGAGCTGTAGAGAAATTCACGCCCACGAAACCCAATAAAAGAATAACAGTGATCTGCCTGAATTTTTCCACAGTAATCTGAGATACAGGAAAAAAATCGTTCAGAAAACAAGTACTTCAATGTATCCCTGCGCATGAAAGAGTCCGGCTTTCCCTAATTACTTTCGGATCACCTGGCGTTGACATTTAAACAGCGTTTAGAGACCTGCTGATGGTTTTATGGTCTGTGTCACATGACTAGAACGGAGGATCCAGTATGACGATCAACCCACATGTCGAGTCTGCCAAGTTTCTTAAGGTGGAGGCGGAGCCGCATAGCCATCGTTCCCAAGTTGCCAGTCCCTGAGAAAGGCGTGGAATAAAACCCCAGGTGTCTTTCCGGAAGATCGCTATTGTTGTTGTGACAGTGATCGGGTCCCTGTTGACAGTCCGGCCGCTGAGGTCCGTGAGTGGAAATGTAGCGGGGGGGCCGGGGACGTGCTCCGGAGAGGACTCCTCTGTTTGGATCATGTGCGCCAGGCGCAAAAGCGCACTCTCCCTAAGAATGACTCTTCACTGCCGGTGGGAGCCACACTCTCTGCTTTTATCGCTGCTGTGTCGCTGGCTGTGTACCTCTGCTGGGGGTCTACAAATCCTGGAACAGGACGCGCCTGAACTCATCTGCAGCAAGGTAATTATCACATTTCTGGAGACCTGGAGACAAATGCGACCATGCCAAAAATCCTGGTTCCACACATCAATAATAGACATGCTTCTGCCTTTAACACATTTACTAATATCCTGGAATCTTCTGTCCAAAAATACTCTGTCCAAAAAATACAGTCCGAATAACAAATTGTAATATACAGGTTTCCCTTTTGGCTGATTTAACAGAGAAAACACACACACGCATACACACACACACAGATCCGAGTTTAATGACCATTACTTATTTACTGATGTGGCTGGGCATGACACCTTACTCCGCTGCTCAATTTCCAGGCTAGTTGGTTTCAGAGAAGAATAAGAACCACAGGAATCATTATGTGGTCAATAAAAAAACACTGAGTCCTGTGTTAAATGTTGCCTCCAGTCTTCAGTACTTGATTCCAAGTTTTTTTGTTTCATAAGCCAAATATGTATCTGTGTCTCCAGTGAGAACTAGTGCTAAGAACTGTTAATGAATACCAGAAAAAAATCTGTAAAATAGTCAAAAAAACAACTTTAAAACACCTAATAAGACCTTATAAAACATACTTACAGCATGTAAGCAGTTCCACATATAGCAGTGTTTCAAACCTGCTGTATGATTTGGGTGACTGAGCACAGAAGAAGGCATTTGTCAGTGTCACTTCTAATAATAATGATAATAAGACAGTGTATCTATCCTATATGTGAATGGGGGACTGTGGCTTTTTATGGAAAAGTGCTGTGGCTGTTTTTAGGAGGTGATGTTGGACTTCGTGATCCATTTGAAAACATGGATGCTACCATTGGAGAAATGATTCAAAGAAATTAATGTAATTGTTTAGCCTAGGTTTGGACAAATTTCCAAGATGAGATTGTCCTGACATCATAAAAGAGCGTGTGAAATTCCGAGAAGTAGAATCTGTGTCCCTCTTAGATGCGATTATTAGATAAATTCTGACTCGGGATTTGTTAAATTGCTCCAAAAATGGGCTACATGTTTTGAGGAGCAGATTAATTTATCCTGAGACCCTGAATGTAATTTAGATTATGTCCTTTCTCCGGCTGAACCTGGCCCCACGTCGCACAGAGATTCTGCAACACGTTGATATGGTCTGTGGGCACTGCCTCCTCTTTGATTTAACTTTACTTCCAGGGAACAACGTGGTTGCTTTCTGGAGGTTGCTTTGTGTAAAAATGTCTTCTGGATGAATCATTGGGACTAAACAAACATGACTCAGCACGGAGTTTACTTAAAATAAGCACTGGCACAGATCAGTTTACAGGAACGGCTCAACAAAACGGGCTTTGGTGATATTACTCATTATCAATAACAAGATTAGCATTTTACTATGATGTGTCAGAGTTTCTGCTATGATGAAGGTCTAGTGTTAGAAAAATGCCTTTTATTTGTCTTCTGTCAGTCTTGTTGATGTTATGATCCAAAGACCACTCTAAAAATAGTTTGTTGTAAATTGTTGGTGATTGTTGTAAAATTGGAAATAAAATGAACAATTAGGAAAATGATTTGCATTCGATTGCTTGCATTGAAACAAACAAACCTTTCTGGGACTTTGAAGCCCAGTGTGTGTTTAAGCTCTAAGAGGCACAATGACAGACAGGAGCTGCCGGCTATAGAAGTCCCAAATAGTACTCATGACAGTTGCATGAAACATGACCAAAAGTCAAAAGCTTTTTGACTTCACTCTTCTTTGGGTGTGTTTTCTAACGCTCGTTACTTGTTGTTTTTTTCTCTGCAGGGCTTCGCTGATTGCAGCTTGAGCTCAGGTAGTGACCCAGTCAGTGTTGTGTCTGCAATAATCACCTGGTAAAGAGTTTGTATGACCTGAATCTGTGTGTCCACAGCGGGGTTCTCCGCGGCCCTGCTGGATCCGTACGGCTCTGTGGAGGTCAGCGGCGTGCAGCTCAGCGCTGGCCTGTGCCGCTCCGCCAGCAGCTACAAACCCTGTCTGCAAATCCACATCTCTCTCCAAGGTTTTATTTATCTATTCATCTTCTGTCTTTGATATTGTTGGGTAGGGCCACGCAGTAGTTGTTTTGTCTTCGGGGTCTATCAGTTGTCATCTATATTATTTAACTATCTAAGATCACACTAAGTGTTTTTCTGCCGACCAGTTTTTCCTGTCAGTAAATTACTTACAGAAGCTGTTTCCTCCAAAGCTGTAGGGTTTGTTGTTGGTATAGTTTTGATGGTTTGTCCTCTTAGCTGTGGTACATACTGATCTAGCTAATTGCTGTGTGCAATGCAGATGTGGTTTGGACGTCTGAAGAGTCAGGTGCTGATAGCGACAAGGAAGAGACGAGATCAGACGGTGAAAGTAAGTGGAATTTCTTTTACTCACCCTGTCCACAGAAATGTTCTGTCGTTCCCCTTTTTCAAAGGATTTATTGGATTTTTTTTTGTATTGTTCTGTGTGTTGCAGCTCTGGTCAAAGTGTGCCTCTCCTTTCCGGGTAACACTGACATTTGCAAGGCGGTGCAATTTACAGCAGTGAATTTTAAGTCAAGACTGGCATCCGAAGAGAACTCGCATAAGGTATTTATGGGTGCAAATGTATCAGTTATTTTTTTAATGTTTGTTTCACATCAATGTTTCACATTTTCTTGTTTGTTTCACATTTATGATTAACTTGACATCTCTACACATGACTGAAACTAATCAAATCATAATTTTTTCAAGTCAAGGACACAGAATTTAATTGCATTTCCTTAGCTAATTAGACCAAAGACAACGCAGCTCAAAATAAATTGAATAGTTATTCTCTATCAACACAGAGCCATCAAATGAAAACTTAGCATTTCTCAGCTTGGTGTGGTGTGTGCACTTAGAACATTGGAGACCACTTGAGAGCTCAAGGCGAGAAATAAGAGCAAGTCCAAAAAAGACAAATATATCCACAGCAGATGAGAAAGTGATTTCCTGAGAAATACGGGAAGACATTTTTGCAAAGACCTGTTTTACGGTTGACCGAAGCCTCTTAAGAATGGCTGCCATTCTTAGGAAGAGGGAAATGGAGAGAAAAGGCTGATGTATGGGAAGGGGCTTAAGAAGTGGAGGGAAAATCTGTGGAAATAAATCTTATGAAAGGACAAACCCAAGAGAACTATCCTGGAAGACCACATAAAGAAAGGAAAAAGAGGTTTAAGTTAGGGGACTGTTTTGGAAAATAAGAGGGTCATACCAACTCTAAACTTTCTAGGTTGTTAGACTTTCCATGTTTCAATGTGTTTTTTTGTTTTTTCCCTCCAGAAAATAATTGAAAAAATTAAATTAGGTTTTTTATTCCTCTACACTGAAACCATGGAAATTTAACTCCACTGCACTTACCAGCCTGATATATGTCTTGGTCATGGGATGCACACTTTTAGAAAAAATAAACAATCAGAAAAAAACACAAATGACATTAATATTACTGACATGCTCAATAAGAAGTTGAGGAAAACAGTTTGGGAAAGAAAAACGAATTATTATTCAGACTTAATTATTTGCTTCTTCTAGTGCGATCCTTCACGTGTGTTCAGTACTGCTGTGGGTGATCACAAATGACAGGAATCTGTCTTTTGCCTTTGGTCTCTCTGCATTCCTATAAACTGAGTGATTTATCAACATGCCTTTCTCCCCATTCAGCATCAAGTTGTTCAACCACTCTAACTGCCTACTTGGTTGAGGAAACAAAGCAACAAATTCAAACTTCACATAGAAACTTCTGTCAGTGGTTCTGTCATTTTCTTTTAGTTACAAATATCTCATTTCATATCAAAATGATCCACGTGTTTTAGAGATTTCTGCTCAAGTTAACATAGTGACCAGCTGGAAATGGCCCATATCTTGATGTAACACCAGGTGTGTAACCCTTAATGAAGGTGTAGTGTCCTAACTGACCTCAGTCCAACAACAGAGATCTGTTTATGAAAGCCACTTCCTCTTTCTAGCTCACGGGCATTGGCCAGCGCTGCAGAGTGATACGTCGTAGATAAGAATGACCTAAAAATCGGAACAATTTTAACCAGTATTTGTTGTCTTTCAGCTGTATTTATAATTCCGCTTTTTGCATTTATTTCCTTACGCAGCTGCTGTTGACAGAGCAAGTAGATTTTGGGATTACTGTTGTGGTGGTCACAGACTCAAAGGAAGTGCACAACGTCCAAAATATCACGATTCCCGCTCTGGAGGAAGGTGAGTGTTGTGTTGTGATCTGAGGATGAGCAGAAAACTGCAGAGTGACCAAACGTCTGTTCCTCACTCTTTCAGTGTGCTCCTCAAAGTTTGGGAGGAATGTAACAGAATGTGCCGGTAAGAGATTCACGTTTTTCTTCTGCGAAATATGACACAGTTCAAATCATGTGTTTTTATGAACTGATGAAAAAAAAAATACTTCGGTGCATTTGCAAGTTCTGCCACTAGATGTCCCATCACATTATGTTGAACTCTTTAAAGCAAGTTAGGATATCTGCTCGTGTTCTCTGAAAGAGTGATGAAGCTCTGCTCTTTTCATGGTGACTGATGTGTGCTCGCCCCAGTTCCCAGACTCCAGGCTGTGACCGAGCACGAGAGAAATGTGGTGCGGCTGAAACTTGAAAACACAGATTCCAAACAGGACCTCTTTTTGATGATGGTTTGGAATGAAATACCCCGAAAGGTTCTTCCATGGGTAAGTCAGAGCCAAGCCGTTCACAGTGTTTCAGCTTTGATGCAGAATCTGCAACCTTTTGTGTCTAAATCCGTCTGCTCGAATCTGGTCTCGTCCATGTAGCCCAAAGGAAAGAGTGAGATGGTCATCTCAAAAGACTTTGTTGCACCATGCCTGTGCTTCCAGGTAGCCTTCCTGTTAACCTATAAGAAAAGATTATCCTTCAAACATTTTACAGTTAGAATGAAATGAAAAACAATCTTCTTTACAGGTATGGTGGAAGGGCAGAGACAGGAGAGGAAAATATTGTCCTTTCACAGGTCAGAAAGGTAAAGGGAGTTGCCTCAGACTGATATCAGATAAGGATCAAATTTTTTTTATTTTACGGTAACTGATGTGTAAGATACCAGTTTGTTTGTTTGTTTGTTTTCCTTTTTAGACGCCCTTGAAAGAATGCGACTGAATGTCTCAGTGACTGTGGTGGAGACAGTCACGAGAGACGGTGGGACGGGTTTGAGGTGGAACGCGACATCTCCCTGTATACTGGAGGCAGAGGTGTGGCTCTGCAAGAGAGCCGTGGCAGGGGGCCAGTGCGAAGAAGTGATGGGCTCCAGGCAAAAGCTCCAGGCGGGCTGGATTGCGACACACAACGGGCACTGGGTAACAGCAACTTCAAAGGGGAAGATTCTTGACATTTTCCACCTGTCGTTGATTCTTAGTGATGCCCTTTCAGCATGACTGACAGAAATATGGAACCAGTCAACTGTAAAATAACTGCAGCTCAACCGCTGTGACCTGTTTTAGTCCGACTGAAAGCATTTTGGTTTTGCTGACGACAGGATTTGAGATTATCTGGCAACTTCAAAAACTGCTGATAGCGATTGAGACGTGGAAATATTTATGCTGGATTGGCCCTTTTATTTTCTCACCTTGTGCCAGTAAAAATAACATTGCTTGATGTGTCAAAGGGTAAAATTTGTGTAATTGACCCATACATTTTTATCTCTTTAAAACTTTTTCAGCAAACTGGGGAGTTCAATGTGTCATCCAACCCTCTGCTATGTGTTCAGGTACCACTTGTGCTGCTACCTAAATGAAACATATTCATATTTCTTTCTTTCTGCACTACACAGTGCACTAACATCAATGCTATATCAATTATTTTAGATGAAGATAAAAGGAATGGAGTCACACTTGGAGCCCCACTGTCCTTTTTCAAGTAAGAAAATTAATTATTACCCTAATCCTGATGAAACAAGCTAATGTAAACAAACTTCATTTATATATCACCTATCAAAAATCACAGTACAATCAAATAGTTCAGTTGAATTAGAATTTGAATGGTCTGAGAGTAAGATTTTGTCAGCAGCATTCTGTATGTTCCTGTGATTTTCTTTTACTCAAACTAATTTAGGTTAGTTGGTATTGAAATAATGATTTCCATGATGGAAAAATCTGACTCCTTGTATGTGCCTAGTCTAATCAGAGAACCTGAGCAAGATAAAAAAACACCAACCCTAAAAACATAATTTGGTTTAAAAGACAAATATAACTGCTCATAATCTGCATATCATAGCACCATAAGTCATATGTTCTAAAAAAAAGAAAAAAAGAAAAAAACACTTATTTTATTCTTATTGAGGAACTCAATAATGGCTTACTGTTAATTTATTTACAAATGTTTCCTAACATCACTATCTTTTAAACCTGTTCAACTGCCTTATAACCTCTACTCTTTTTACACCCCAGCATCTCGAGTGAGATGGATCCTGCCGCTCCTCATTGGACTGCCACTAATGTGTTTGGCTGTGTTAGGAGCCTATTTCTTACAAGGCGTCCTAAAAGGTCTGTTTTCTTTTGTTTAGGGGACATATGTGTACTACTGCTCATAGAAAATCTAAATATAACTTGTGTTTTCCATCCAGGCTATGTTTGGAGATGGCTGAAAGAAGACGATGTCAAAGGTACCAAAATGTCTGGCAAATTGTGGTTTAACACGACTTCCAGCGCATATTTAAACCGTAAACTTTAGGCAGCACATAGAGATAAGAGAGGTGATCACACACAGCTCACTGCCTGTCTAAAAAAAGTCTCCAGATAAAGATGCACTAAAACTGACATTTTTAAAGGAAAAAGGCCTCCAAAAAATTAGGTTCACAAGTTATGAATCATAAAACACCCAGAACTGTCACCTTAACCCCTGAGAATGATTGACCCAGTCCAGTGGTCAGAGCCTTGCTGTTTGGCTGATTCTGTTACTATGGCATGTGTGATTCCCATTTGGCAAGGCATGCATCTTCCTTTGAACCTGCGAAAAAATGTGGAAATCTTCTTAAAAATATGAGATACAACATCCTGGAAAATATTCAAGCAACGTATAAGTTTCCACAAAAGCCAAAAGGTCAGTGTACACGTAGATAGTGACCAGGAAATGAACATCAAGCTTTTGTGCTTAGTGACTCATGCTTTCAGGTGACTGTTTAAAAAGTGAAGTTCATTTGGTTCCTAACCCACGCTTTACTCGCATTGTCATTTGATTTAGACAACCTCCGTCAGTAGTTTCCCCTCCCTTACAGTTGCAGTGGGTGGTGGTCACGTTCTGCTGCTGTACCCGCCTGACGACGAAAACCAGCGTCTACCCGAGTTGCTGTGCCACCTGGGCTCTTCCCTCCAGGCCGTGGGCTTCACTGTGTCCCTGGACCTGTGGAGCCAGTCCGAGCTTGCCAAGCTGGGGCCGGTGGCGTGGCTGCACTCGCGGCTGGACCGGCTGCAGAGGCAGGGAGGCAAGGTAGTGCTGGTCCTCACACAGGCCACCTGGACGAGGGCCGAGGAATGGGGAGCTCAGAGCAGCTTTAGGAACACGCCTAGAGAGAAGGACGGAGGCCCGGGGGAGGACGTGGAGACAGCGGGGAGCTGCAACGCCTCGTCTCACCGCGCGGATGTTTTCGGGGCTTCTCTGAGCTGTATCCTAGCAGATTATTTACGGGGGCGCGCGGGTGAGCGGTTCATGCTGGTGCAGTTTGAATCGCTTCCTCCGGAGCCTCCGGCTAGTTTCAGGCCACTGCCACAGCTCTTCCGTGGCCTCCATGTCTACAGCCTTCCATCCCAGAGTCTGGGTTTTCTGACTGAGCTAGCTGGAGCAAAGCAAACGGCTTCAGCATCGGACAGAAGGAAAAGGACGGGAGGGCTCAGGATGGCATCCCGTACTCTGGCCCAAAGGCTGTCAGGGTTCACGGCGGGGACAAATGTGTTACGACAGGGCTGTGTCGGCGTGGGGATTGAAGACTCTGGAGAAACGGTGCCCTTAAAGCCATGCCTTCCCACACCCCCGTCCAGCCCTGACACCGAGCCCAGAGTCAGTGAAGTGGAGTGTCTCTGATAGTTAAGGACCAGCTCTATCTTGGAAAAAGCGGCCAGTAATGACGTAAAACTACCTCACGCGATGCAGAAGGAGGAGTTCAGAGGAACATTCAGAGGTTGTGGGCTTTGTGATCTGCGGGTGAAATCATCTTTGGTGAAGGAGCTGTTGAAGGATCAATGTTTTCAACAGCAAAATATATGAATGAATACATACAGAACAGCATTTTGCATTAAAGAGAGATTGGGCTTAAGAGTAGGAGAATTATTCAGCATTACAAGAAGACGGAATTTAGGAAAGGGTTCATGTTTAAAAGCCCAGCATATGGTGATTCCTTCCTAAATACCATGTGGCTGTCCCTAAAGGTCACAGTGAGCATTCAGACAGCTTGACCTGTACATACATCATGTCCATGCTGAGTTAATCCTGTTACTTACTGCACACCCTGACTGTAAATGTGAGTAAATCCCACTGTTTTGGTGACTTGTGGGTTGGTATTTTTTTTAATACTGTTTGGTGTTGAATAAAGCATTATTTGTGATATGACAGGTGGTAAAACGATTGTTGCTCATGTTTATGCCCGATAGAGGTTTTTTAATGTTTAAAAAGTGTGCGCACAAACAGTAGATGTGCATCCGGCAGATGGGTGCACAGCTCGGTGACGGGTTTTTGAGTGATGGGTCGCCCTTTGGGCGACGGCGTCACCCTGCGTGGCAGCTGCTGTATGGAGGGCACAGAAGCGTTCATTCATCCCCTGCTCACCGTAGTGGGTCCGTCCCACTGCAGCTCAGCTCCACAACACGCCAGCTCTGCTAACGTTAGCTAGCCACATCCCATGTCCGTCCCATAACCTCGGAGCGTTAAGGCGGCTCACCAACATGCACAGCCATACCCGGTGTCGCGTGAGCGTGAGTTAACCACGGACAGGACGGTAGCCGGTGGTGCTGCAGCTCGGACGACGGTGTTTTCTGACAAGGTAAGACCGATGTGGCCAATAAAATAGTGCTTCGTCACGCAAATTTCACGAGTCGGTGAAGTGAAGGGCATTTAGGGGATGCATAATTTTGAATATAGTTCGGAGGAAAACGACACCAGTGCCAGTTAAGGCGCGCGGGAGAGAAGACTTTCCAAACGACGTTAGCTAAAGCTAAAGCTAAAGCTAGCGGCTAGCTGAGCTTAGCTAGCTGCTGGCCATCTCATCTTAGTGGTGCTGATGCTGAGCGGAGATGACGCGGAGCTAGACCCCCTCAGCCCCGCTCAGAGGCGGGTTTGACCGGGTTTCTGCTTCCACCAGAGGGTCGTGGATACAAAGAAAAGTAGACAACCTTCGCTTATTATTTGGATTTAGGCAAGCACATTATTTCCAGGGTGAATTTGACCCGCATGGGGAAGAAGCGGTATTGATAACGGATGGATGGATGGATGGATGGATGAACCGAAAGTTGTATAAAAAGGGAACGGTAGTTAAAGTCTTAATTTGTAATAGAGGAGAAACTGTCTGTAGTTGCATAAAAAATGATGATACTGAAACCAAAACTTCAAAACTCTGCATGGAATGGAATAATGGAATAAGTGCTCTTGCATAGCTTGCACCTCTAACTGTGTTTGGATGGGCCTGTCTCTTATTCCATCTCAGGACCATGTGGTGGGCCTGGCTGCCTCTGCCTGCTCTGGTTCTTCTCTTGGAGCTTTCTGCGCTGAAAGTCCAGACGGCACCATGCCAGACCTGCCGAAAACTCTCAGAGAATTTCCTTCAGGTGCTGCATTGAATCATCATTCCATGTCGCCCAGTTTTGAGCCGTGCTTTTGACGGTTTTTTGGGGGGCTTTTTTTTGGTGGTGTTTCCTCTGACATTTCCTCATCAACAGGGCTTCGAAAGAACAGCTAACAAGAACTTTGGTGGAGGCAACACGGCATGGGAAGAGGAGAAACTGGCGAAGTATGCGCGCAGGTAGGACCTGGTGTGCTTTAAAGTTGTGGTGTAATGACTTCATTGGACCATTTGTAATGACAGTTTACAAATAGTTTCTATAAACATGTGTTTAACGTCACGTACCAATGACAGCCTTATTTTAAGAGGGAATGTTATTGTTGTTGGGCGTGTAAGTCAGCTTGCAGCTGTTGTTTGACTGCAGTCTTACTTTCCTTCCTCCTTTCTTATTGCTTCAGTGAGACTCGGCTTCTTGAAATAGTAGAGGCTGCTTGTGAGAAAACAGACTTCGAATGTAACCAGCTGCTGGAACAGATAGAGGACCAAGTGGAGACGTGGTGGTTCCACAGGTAAATGAATGTAGAGGGGAGTATGTGTTGTTCTGATGTGACATAGTAATTTCTTTTATTTATTTGGGTATAATCCTTGAAATAAGATTAGGGTCTTGATAGCTCAAGCTTGTGTGATATTCTTTGTCCATGGCTGGCCTTTGACAGGCAACAGGAGGCACCAGACCTGTTTGAGTGGCTGTGCATAGAGCAGCTGCGCCTCTGCTGTCCACCTGGACGCTTTGGAGCCGAATGCAAAGGTGTGAAGGAGACCAGCAGATGTGTTTGTGTGTAAGAATGCTTGTCCAAAGAGCTGCAGCTCAGAGACTTGCGTGTTTTTCCAATGTAGAGTGTCCATCTGGACCTGGAGGTGTGTGTGGTGGCCTTGGCCGGTGCGAGGGGGAGGGCTCCCGCCTTGGAGACGGGGAGTGTGTCTGTGATCCGGGGTACTCGGGCCATCTGTGCCAGAGCTGTGCGGACGGTTACTACAGAGAGAAGAGCTCCAATGACAGCACGGGAGCCTGCGCAGGTGCCTCATGCTCACACGGCTGTCTTTCTGCAATCTGTCTGTTTGCGGCCAACCAAAGATGACCCTCTCCTTTGTGCTTCTGGCTCTCTCTCCCTTTGTAGCGTGTTACCACTCCTGTAAGAAATGCTCCGGGCCTCAGGACTACAAATGTCTGGACTGCAAACCTGGCTGGATCCTCCATGACAACAAGTGCGTGGGTGAGTTATGAGCTTTAGAGGGCGCCTGGGTCTCTCTGCCGTGCCAAACTGTGAATGGGTGTCGCTGACCTTCTTTGCATGCCCGGTAGACATCGATGAGTGCGGCACAGAGCTGGCTCGTTGCCCCTCCAACACCTACTGTCACAACACAGATGGATCATATGAATGCAGAGGTAAGCGGCCGCGTCCTGAGCTTTATTTGGAGGTCCTGTGTAAGCTGTGGTATGTAGGGGACATTTTTGAATGACACAAACACTTAGCACTGCTTCTGTAATAGGCTAAATATAAATGATCGTAATGCTTGTCTTGTCTCTGAATGAGTTTTTGTTTGGAATTTAGTCCTAATGTCATTCTGTGCCTTACTTTGAGCCTGTGTGGCTGTTTGAACTTTTCATTATCTGTAGTTTACAACACTATTTTCCACAGCATGGAGCATTCCAACAGATAGGAGTGTAGCACTTGATTGACATGTAGTTTTGCGGTGTCCAGGCTGTGACCAGGCATGTGTGGGCTGCATGGGCAGTGGCCCAGCCCGCTGTAAGAAATGCGCACGTGGCTATAGGCTGAAGGGTGCCAAGTGTCTCGGTAAGTAAAATCAACTTAGCTCTTTTATTTATATGGTGTTACCCTCCTTCTTATGCAGCTGAAATGATGTTTTTTTCCTTATTGTGCAGATGTTGATGAATGCAGCGAACGTGCAATAGCCTGCCCGGGACTCAATGAGGCCTGCATCAACGAGGAGGGCTCCTTCCACTGTGACTGTGCTGAGGGGTTCATCAGAAGAGACAGCATCTGTGTGGAGAATAAGCCTCCTGGTAGGTAGAAAGGAAACACATGGTATGAACTGAAAGGTTTATCTGTGTTTGCTTTAAATATGTGTTATTATGATCATTATATGGCAACAGTGTTTTGGAGGTAAGTATTTGGATTTAACTAATACTTAACTGGTTTTAGCTTTGAATATCTGCTTGCTTCTAGTCTACTGTTTCCTCCTCTTATATTTTCTTAGACAGCTTAATTCCGAGTAAACTCATTCCCATTTGCTTTTTTTTTTACATTTTCAGTTGTGAGACAAGAACTTATCTGAAATCTGTACTGAAATGGGAGCCTTTAGTGGAAGTTCTCACCCAGCAGTAGCTTTTAGAGCAGGGATGTCCAAGCCCTGTCCTTAAGGGCATGCATGATTCTAATTAGATGGGTCTATTCAAAAGCCCCGCAAAAGCCTACTAAAGGCCCACTAATGTGAATCAGGTTTGTGTAACACTCTGCTCTCATGAACCACTCTGCTTTCACTCAGGAGATGCTCAGTGACCTCCTCTAACTTTTATTCAAACACTGACGCTGAGCAGTGCCATAGCCTGAGGGGCACAGGTTTAACAAAGACATCCTTTTAGCACCATTACAGTGCAATCGTTTTTGTATTTATGGTCATAGGTTGGAAAACCTCAGCAATGGGTGACCAATCCAAAGGCAGCAGCTGTGGTGTGACCTTTGTATTTATTAAACGCGGTGAATTCAAACCTGGCAACAGAAACCTGCCATTTAAGCAGAGCTGTTACTGGTAGCTCCATTTGAGATAAAATAACCCATGTAGATATGTTGGAAACATACAAATACAACCATTTCCCCCAAATCTGACCTGCCTGTAGTGCAAACATAGCTCTAGTTAGAACTTTTTTTTTGTCTTCCCGCCCAGCTGGCCCAGAGACCGGTCTCTTTGACGACATGACTGACGACGAGGTCCTGGTTCTGCAGCAGATGTTCTTCGGGGTTGTTATCTGTGCCCTGGCCACGCTAGCAGCCAAGGGTGACATGGTGTTCACGGCCATTTTCATCGGAGGGGTAGCTGCTATGGCTGGATACTGGCTGACCGAGAAGGGAGACTACATGCTGGATGGACTTTTGAAGGGACAATAGTTTATATTTAAACACTGATGGACATTGGGGTTGACATGAAGGACCCTTCAATTCCAGCCAACTGAACTGATTTAGACTCAGCTGGGGACAGAGAAGCGTCCTTCCAATGTTAGCCTTTCAGGGATTAATTTATGATCGAGAAGTTATTTAAAAAGGGCTTGATTTCAATATTCTAAGTTTCTGAAGAAGATAATGCAGAAAAAAAGGGAGAGGCTCCGAGGCCGTGAATCTTTAAGGGGATTATCGAAGGGACACTGCACTGATTATGAAGGGACCGAACGAGAACCCCTGTCTCAGCTTTGTTGGGAGCAGGGCTGACATCCTGCTACCCAATCCTACTACTGATTGTTCAAATCTGTTATACATTTGGATGTCTTATCTGACCTCTTAGTTTCTTCACAAAGCTCATGCCCATCCACATTTTTTCACCCTCTCAGTGCTGTGAAGCAGATTTTCTCACCTTTGGAATGATGCCCATGTTTTGACTGGGTCAGATAGCTGCAGTTTGTAGCTGCGGGCATAGGGTTAGAAAAAAAGGAATCGGAACACTCAAACTACTCTGGGATGTTTCCATCATGAATGATTATTTATATTCACAGGATGAGTTTTTATCTTGTCCCACATAAATGCTCCTCTTTGGTAATAATGCATGTTTTTGATATGTAGATTTAAGCTACTGCACTGTTTTCATTCTTACTTTAGCATGGAAAGTTAACCTCAAACAACTGCTGGATCATTGTTGTTCATGCTTAAACACTGTGAGGGAATGTGCTAAAATGAATACCAGCTCCTATCTGGATGATGCAATCTGTCTTCTTTTGCCTTTGCTTTTTTTAAAGCAATATATGTGTTTTAAATGTTTATGCTATTTATGTTGATCGCCCTTTTTTCTGTGTGTTAATATGTTCTTACAGGAAAAAATAGTATCCTGTTGGAGAACCACTCATATCAATTCATGTCTGTCCGTCTTCCTTTTACTTTGTCTAGTATATCATCCACACAGTCATCACTCATTTCAGAGGTTGGCTTTACAGTAAATAAAAAAAGAAGAGAAAACACTTTTTTGGCTTTTGGAATTTGTTCAGTTTTGTTCAGTTCCATCTGTGTTACATAAACATAATCATGGAACACAGCTTGGCATGTGTGCACCATAGTTACTTAATTTTTAGGTTGCAGCTTCTAAACACACAATACTTAAACATATAATTAATGTAAACCGTTGTGCTGTGTGTCCTTGGGAATGATGTCAAATGACAGTCAAAATGGAGTCTCACTCTAGAATATAGACCTTTTCCTATCCACTGTTCTCTGGACAATTCTGACTGTGTTGTTGGAGGTTACAGTATATTTTACATGTAATGAGAACTGACAGTTCATTTGCATCCAAAACCCAGAGGAATGTAACATAAAAGTGGCCTGATTAAAAAATGCTCGGCTCAAATAAGTGCATCATCTTGTTTTCAAATGAGACTCAAGTGCTTCACTGAGGAAATTAGTTTCAAGCTATTTCAGAGTTCCACTCCAGTTGATGGGGTTGAAGCGGAGCAACTCTCTCTCCTTCATGGCCTCCAGGGAACGTGTTAGTGCTCTGTCTTTCCAGTTCTGCTCCATTAACTATGCACATAAAACACGCGACAAATGTTAGAATTGAAAACCACAGATACTCCCTGTTTTGTTGTAACCTGAGTACACGCATCAGGAAGTTCTCTTCCGGTTGCTGCTAAGATCAAAGCATTGGTAATGGACGTGCGGTCTTTGTGTAGGACTGTACCCTCTTGTTCTCATCTCTGTAGGCCGACATGGCTTTGCTGTGCTGGATCCTCTGCTCTCTTTCACTGGACAGGGCGTGGCGATCCACTTCTCTCAGGTCCTCGGCTTCTTTCACCTTACCAGCTGTCTGCAGTTCCAGTGCCACACACTTCTCCTCCATCTGCCTTTTCAGCTGCTCTCGCAACTCCTTCCTGCAGAGGTGACATTCTTAAAAAAATTAGGAGCCCCCAAGCTCAGGTGTGAAAAGACTCATGGGAGCAGGTGGTGAAGCTAAAAGGTTGTCTTACCTGTACTCCTCCCTCTCACTCGTGGTTCCATAAAAGGGTTTTCTCCACACCTGATGAGACCTGACACATCAACTTGAGTCAGTGACTTTGATCTCAGTTCTTAAAAGCAGAGGCAGAAAGGGCACTAGTGATTCTCTATGTAATTCTCTCCAAAAGACAATCCTCTGTCCTGAGCTTGTACCTGAAATGCTCTCTTCTCTGCATGATCAGTGTCCTCTGGTGGTTGTGGTGGTGAACAGCTGGTGTCTCCAAGCTGACGGTGCGTTTAGGAACCAGCGGCGGGTGCAAAGGGTTCAGCCTTGGGATCCTCTTTAACAAAAAATCCACGGAAAATGTTTTCTTTCCTCTATCTGTCTGGCAGCAAATAAACCCCACTGTCCCAAGAAATATGAGCTGACATCCAGTAGTTACCTGAGTGCTCGTCCATAGACGGGCTGAGTCTGAAATGATGGGAAATATCATGGGAGTGATCACCCGGCTGTGACCCCTCTGGACAGGAGTTGTGTCAGGAGGGAAACAAATAGGTGTGCAGGAGATGGCTGCTGTGATGATGAAGACATTAGCAGAAACATGTGTATAAGGAGTCCTGAGCATACCAACATACTGAATGAACGAGGATCCTCGTGCTTACGTAGTCTTATCTTGTAGTTCCTGCTATGGTGTTTGAAATCCAGGTTCTTGTCAAAACTTTCCCAAGTGTTTAATCTAGCAAAGTTCCCTTTAAAAGCTTTGGCCCTCTTTGCATTAAATCAAATCCTATCATAACTACTCCAGATTACTGCAGAAGCGTTGGTTATAGATTAAGCCCCGGCGTGCCAGTGCGTTCATTGAGTGTTTTGCGGTGGCAACGGTTGCCTTGGGAATCAGGTTTCCCCGTCCCGACAAAAGGAAAAGCTGGTATGCTGAGTGGCCATGCGTCACTGCCCTCAAATAGAAAAATGATCAGCCTCAGATAATGGACTGACCAGACCCAGGAAGTTTACAGATGTCATCTTGAAATGATAAAAGAGAAATCAAGCAGCAGAGAATCTATGAATGAATCACGCTCTCAGGAATCATTTCTTTTGAAACACTTAAAACTTTTTATTCAACATGAAGTAAAACTTTGCAATTAAGGGGCTGACCTTTGGATTATTTCTGCATGATATTAAATGAATTCAGGTCTAAAAACTGGAACTTCAAGCTGCAGTGTTGTCTGCTGTGGCACAGATCTGCGTGCCTCCGTAGTGTCTCCCCTTCAGATGCCCAGCGCCTCCTGGTTCTCCCACAGCCACGCGTGATACTTGTTTAACATGTGATCTTCAGGCTTCACCTTTGACATCAAGACACCAACGAAATGTCAGAATTTACTTTATTTACGATGGAAAAAGCAAAGCAGATCTTGTGAGAAAAAAGCCGGGGTCACGTTTACCTGCCTCCACTCTTCAACACAGAAGATCCGGTAAGAGTCGTTGCCATACTTGCCGATACCATGTAACTCGATAGGATAGCGCCACTGTTTACTTAGATATTCATCTACAGAGCAGAAAACGGAGCATGAATGTTTTTTTTTTCTGGCCACTGAATCGTCTCTGGAAAGCTGTACACATCGAAACCTTGAAACTTAATTACACAGCAGACAGAAGTGAGTGCTGAAATCGATCGGCAGTTGAGTGCATTTACCTGAGAAGCGGACGAGTGTTTTGGCTCGAAGCTCGTACAGTCCAAGCGGCTTCATAAGTTCAGACATGGGCTTCCAGTCGGCCTCACGGGTCATCTCTGCGGATGGGTAACGCTCAAAGAACTGCCACAGCACTGGAATGGCCATCTTACCTGGAATAATGAAAGGAAAAACCCCCAAAAAGTGTAATGACAGATTTTGGTGCTGTTACTGCGTAGCACGCATTGGCTCTTACCACTTGTCTTATTCAGAAAAATTGTGGCCACCAGGAGCTTCCAGGGGTCATGGAAAAGGGTCTCCTGTACGAGGTTGAAGGGGGACCGAGGGGGAGTCCATTTCTTAAAGGCCTTCCTCCTGGGCGGGCTGAGTCCTGGGTACAGATAGGGATATATGCCACCTAACGAATGCTGATTTGAAATTGATGTCAACAAAAGTTTAAAAAGAAATTACCGTCTTTGGGTTTCCCTCTGAAGTAAGGGCTTGTTTTTCGTTTGTTTTCCGCACCTCTGGACTCTGTACGTGAACAGGAGACATTTCTGTATATGAAGAGTAAGAGTCTAATTTCTAATAAGGCAAAATAAAACTTAGGCACAAATAAGCAAGGAAAGTCAAGTTTCATGTTCTCCAAATTTTCACCAAGTTAAATCAAATTTGGTGTGGTATTTATTTGCACAACCAACTCTCTTACAAGTGGATAGATACATTTGTAACAAGATATTACAATATAATTGTCATGAAATACTGAATTTCAGAAATTAGAATGAAATTATCTGAAACTTAATGGCAGACTGGTTGAACTAAATCTGAATATTTATGGGTGATGTTACATTTAATGGAGTAAAACCAACACAACATAAAGATTTTGTATGGAAAACTTTGCTTGTTTGTTAAACTGTAATGATCACACTCACTATTTTGAGATTCTCTTACAGGTGTGCAGCTTCCATTTGTGGCGTTGGGTAAAGACATCCCCGATTCAACATCGCTATGAATGTTGGTTTCAGCTTCCAGGTCAGAATTAATGACACAGTCGACATTGTTGTGAATCTGCGTTTCATCTGTGTTTGGCACATCCTCGTCTTCATCCTTAGTGTCAGTGGCAGCTTCAACAGTCAGAGTTGGAACAGAAGGCTGCACGTTTGTCTGCTCATTCTTGTGAAAAAGTAAGGTGTTTTGATCATTACTGGAAGGAGTCAGCCTGAGCAGTTTCTCTTTTAGCAGCCCCACCCGCGGAGGACTCTTCTGCTCTTTCAGATCATTCTGTAAGACTGAATGAGTCATTTCTGGGAAGCTCTCTGCAGTCTCATCTGTTTCCTCTTTGCCAACCTCTGGTACTGGGATAATTGCGCTAATAATAGAGTTACTATCTTCTCCAGCCTTTTCTTTCCTATCTTTAGTATCATTTCTGTGGGAGGAAGAGTCTCTTTGAGATTTATTTGGGGGGAGATCCAGCTTTTCATCCATTTGCACTTGCTCTGTACTTGCCCTCTTTGTCTTTCTTCTCTGCTTTTCTTTTAAAGAGGCTGTCTGTGAGGTTGGGAGCTCATCTTTAGATGCAGTGAAGTTAAAACAGCTTATATCCAACTTCCCCTCTCTGCTTTGCGTGAGGAAAGCATGCAGAGATGTTCTTGACCGGAACTTCTGTCCTTCGGGACTTAAATGAAAAAATCAATTGGACATTGATCAGCTGTATAATGTACTGCGTAACCACTGCGTGACGTTGTACTCATACCATAACTCAGAGTGACATAGAAAACACTGACTCACCTTACAATGTAGACATCCAACTTCCCTGCTGTCTTCCCTGATTTTCGCTGCCTCACCTCTCTAACCCATCCAAGGGGCATTGAGGAAGAGAAGCACTTTTCTTGCTTGCAGCTTTGGTCATTCGTATCTTCAGTCTTCTGGAGTTCCATGTTGAAGCTACTGTGAATTACTGTATTTTGACAGATCGTAGTGAGTCGGGTAATAGAACAATGAATATCAAACTTGTATTCCTTGATCAGCTGCCAATCCTGTTCGGTGTTATAATTTATTTTATTTAAAGCAACACGCATTCAGGTTCACGGTATAGATCGGAAAGCATAGCCCCATTAAATGGGTATACAAGAGCATTCAACTTTTACTAAATTAGCAGCAAAGCTCTAAAGATTTAACTGAACAAGGCGCCAAATACATGGGAAGTTTTTCAGCTTCATTCTCTCGTGTATAGCTCGATCCCATGCGCCTTCTGTTGTTCTCTGATGTCAAAATAAGAATGGGAGTGCCTTTTCCAGAGTAGCAGGAAGTAGCATGCAGGTCGGAGTCTGCGCAGTGTGAACCGTGACAACTGGAGAAGGCGCAACCACAACCTGTTGATTATTTTAAAAGGGAAAAATCTAATCTTCAGATCATTTATGCAACTAAAGGGTGGAAAATGAGAGCCGTACAAGTATGGCAAGATAAAGTCCGTGAACGGTAGGGGTTTTCGAGATTATGTTTACATTTCCTCTACAGGTCGGGCTATACCGCTAGTTGGATAGCAACGGTGGTTGCCATGTAAACTAGTAACAGCTAGCTAGCACCAGCTAGCACAAGCACCGTCTCTAGTTTATTGATAATTGATATATAGTTTACATCTATTATATTTAACTTGTATGCACAGTATAAACAACGTAGTTTGTTATTGTTATTTTGTGTTGGGGCGTCTCTGGTTGTATTAAAGGTTACACCAAAGCTAGCTAGCGCACGTTAGCATTTTCCCTTTATTTTTCGACCAAAACAACAACAACTTGATTAAAATGAATTGGTTTAGATGAAATACATTTTATAAATTGATGGACCCGATATGTTTAAGATCTAAGATATATACATGTTTTTTTTTGGCATCCTGTCACCTTTTAATTTTACTGTAGTTAAAAATGGTTGTTACTTAAACAACAATATGAATGAAAAACTAAGTTTATCTTAAGGCCTGGCTCAGTAACGACCTTTTAATGAATTACCTAAGCGAATAGACCCTCATCATTGTTGCTTTATTGACAACATATTTAATCACAAATATTTTTTTTTCACAGAGTGTATGACCTTGCCTTCAAGCCTGATGGGAGCCAGCTCATAATAGCTGCAGGGCTTCGTGTGCTGGTAAGCCTGCCCTTTATTTCTTTAGCTGAGAACGAAGAAACCTGTCTGCTGAATCCAATGTTATTATTCTGCAATTAATTATTCTGGATTTTGGGACATTATGGAAAATCAGCTTGACAACAGGAGCAACAACTTGCAGTAATTCTTACATTTACCTTTGGAAGGTCCAGAGATCACAGGTGTCCTTCTTATCCTTCTTTACACAGTGAACTAAAAGAAATAAACCTTTCAAATTCTGTCACCTTTTTGCAGGTGTATGATGCTGCAGAGGGAACTCTTATCCAGCCCTTAAAAGGACACAAAGACACAGTGTACTGTGTAGCCTATGCCAAGGATGGTACCTAACCATATTTTCAGATTGCAGTTCAAATCTTTGTTGTCACTTGTTGGTATTTATTTCTCACATCCATGTATTTTGCCTTTGCAGGTAAAAGATTTGCCTCAGGATCAGCTGATAAAAGTATTATCATCTGGACATCTAAACTAGAGGGTATCTTGAAATATACGTAAGTGTTAACTCAGCACCTTGGTATTACACAGTAATATTACATTATGATGTGTAGTTCTTTATAATTTTTCTTATAATGTGTTTATCTGTAGACACAATGACTCTATCCAGTGTGTTGCCTACAACCCAGTCACTCACCAGCTTGCCTCCTGCTCCTCTAGTGACTTTGGTGAGTTCTCTTCTAGTTTAAGTAAACAGACAGCTTTCAGATCTTCAACACAACATGTTATAAAGCCATGAATATTTCGAAACCAGATGCCCTCCTCTGATAATATGTATAAATATATCCTTCATATTTCTAGGTCTGTGGTCCCCAGAGCAAAAATCTGTGAACAAACATAAAGTCAGCAGCAAAATAACTTGTTGTGGGTATGTGAGGTTCCGCTCTGTGACTTTCTGCTACAGTTGTGCATTTTCCTGTGATGCGTTGATGCGACAGCCAGGAATGTATTAAATTGCAGGTGGACAAACGATGGGCAGTACCTCGCTCTGGGAATGATGAATGGTGTGGTGAGCATATGCAACAAGAACGGAGATGAAAAGGTCAAGATAGAGCGTCCAGGGGGCTCCTCCTCTCCTATCTGGTCCATAGCATGGAATCCTTCAAAGTTAGTCCTTAATTATTCTAACTTAGCATATAATTAACACCTACATAGACATTTGCAGTGTTATTATTTTTCTGAGACATTAGTATGGTTGGGTGAGCGAGAGCATTTTGGGTGAATAGTTTGCTTGTGGCCAGCAGGTGGCAGCAGTTGACATGGGAGTGGTTGAACTGTGAAGGAGTGAAGGGGAGAATTATGATGCCTTGGATCAGCTGTCTCCACTCTCTGCTGTCCCCTGCAGCCAAAGCCAAGGCTACTCTTGCAGCTACTTTAGACAGTCAATAGAAAAAAAGAGGTAGGGTAAAAGTGGCAGAGAGGAGAGGCAACAGATATATTACCATCGGGTTGCTTTACATAATTTGTCATAACATGAGGTCAGAGCATGAGGTCAGTCAAGGAGAACTATTCCCTGAGCTTTAAATTTTTTTTCCTTGGAATTGAGATGGACTATGGGTACATGCGCTTATGGTATAACACAACACTTGACATGCAATCAAACCTAATCAGAATGAAAACATACAGAACCTTTCCATTTCTCTCCATCGCTGATTGTGTGTGTGTTGGTTTGATGGGTAGGCTGGGCCATAAATGTTCATTAAATGAGGCTTGACCTTTCTGATTTGTCTGTCATCATTACTTAAAAGCCCCCATAAGCACTGAGGGTTGTCACAAGCACTCATGGATAAAATCTTTTCATTTTGCAGGGATGAGCACAATGACACTTTGGCTGTGGCAGACTGGGGTCAAAAGCTCTCCTTCTACCAGCTCAGTGGAAAGCAGGTGATTACCAAAAGCCAGTGGCTTCAAGATCTCCAGTCTAAAACAACTACAAAATGAGTAGGAACACTACATTCAAAATCTACAGTCTACACCCTGTTCTTTTTCCAGTTGCTTTAAATTGTTAAATATATATTTAACATATTAAACAAAGGCAGCCTCTATGTGCCACAACTCGCTATAGCAGAAAGAAACAAAAAACTTTAGATTACTTGTCAAACACATAGCAAACCCTTAACTGAACGTAACTGAATTTAGGGTCTGTGTTTCCTGCAGTAATCAGGCTGTCAGGGTCTGCTGAAACCATAACAGTACATTGGAAGTGATCCTACCATGCTTTAATGCCCCCCAAATGTCCCCCCTTCCTTCCTTTTCCCTGAAGGCAATATTGTGATTATAGACCAATATGGATTTTCACTTCTCTGCCTTAGGCCCATGGCCTTTTTTATTAATTTAAATTAAGATTTTAGTTTGATTACAACACCAGGAATTATTTGCAGTACAGAAAGAATTATTAGGAATTCTCCTGGAAGTTTTTCTGCACATCGAGGGAAAACAGCTGGACAGTATTGGTGACCTGACAAGATATTGGAGCATATGGACTTTGAACTTTAATACAACAAGAAGATATTTTAGCCAGAGGAAAAAAACACTTTTTCTGACAATCAAAGGCGTGGTTGAATGTACTGAGGACTTTGATGTGTGTTGGCTCAGATGTTGGAAATGCTGGCTCAAAGCAATAGATACAAGAAATGGTTGTCGGGTTCCTGTCTTAATGTCTCCTCTCTTTGTCTCTAGATTGGAAAAGACCGAACTCTAAACTATGACCCCTGCTGCGTAAGCTACTTCTCCAAGGGCGAGTACATAGTGATGGGTGGATCCGATAAACAGGTGTCTCTCTATACTAAAGATGGTGTGCGGTTAGGAACAATCGGGGAACAGAATTCCTGGGCGTGGACATGCCGAGTTAAGCCCGATTCCAACTTTGTGGTGGGTCCACAACTTGTGAAGTCATGCGCCTATACAATCTTTTATCTTTTATATTACTCTTTTTCCTGCTCAAGAATAATAAGACATGTCGTAGTGAGAGAACAGATCAAAGAGTGTAATGCAAAACATTCTTTGCTCAGATGTGACATTCACTTTACCGATGATAAAAAAAACTGATGTGATAAAACAGTGCTTCCTCGACTCCACAGATACACAAGGCATGCTGTTTTACAGCTACACTGCTACAGCTTTTCCTCTCACTATATTTAACTGAAAGTGATGAGGCACACAGGAGAGAATTGGTTTCTGGCCGATTCTTTCAGCTCTGCTGTGTAGATGCTCTAACAACAGGAACATTTTCCCACTCCCTCAGTCTTTTCTTAGAGGTGTTAATAGGATGTACTGCTACATTGTTGTTTCTTATCTAGGTGTTGGGCTGCCAGGATGGGACCATTGCCTGCTACCAACTCATCTTCAGCACAGTTCACGGCCTGTACAAAGATCGCTATGCTTATAGAGACAGCATGACCGACGTCATTGTCCAGCACCTCATTAGCGAAAAAAAAGGTGTGTTTTTGTACAGGCAACAAGCAGCAAAGTTTATGACTTAAAAGCGGGTATGATGCCTCCAATAATAATGTATTAAATGTATTATGCAAGCAATGTGTCACAATAAGGGGGGGAAAGAATAACTTAGACGTTTGTAACTTTAATCATATCAGAGACTTAATATTTAGCAAAATAGAATAAAAGAAACCCAGTTAGTAAACTCTTTGTGCTGTGCATGCCTATCCTCTCCGTTTGTTCCTAGTGAGGATCAAATGTCGAGAATTGGTGAAGAAGATTGCCATCTACAGAAACCGTCTTGCCATTCAGCTACCTGAGAAGATCCTCATCTATGAGCTCTATTCGGATGACTCCTCCGACATGTACTATTGCATCAAGGAGAAGATTTGCAGGAGGTTTGAATGCAACCTGCTGGTGGTCTGCTCCCAACATATCATTCTGTGCCAGGTCAGAGGAGACAGGGTCACTGTGTTGAACTGTGTGTATGAAAGAATTTAGAAATTCATCACTTATTTCATAAGTCCTCAAATTTTTCATTTTGTTAAAGGCTCTTTGTGGCCCAGACTCTTCTGCTGTGAATAAGAAGCCAAAGTGTGGAAATGAAAATGGATGAGCTGATATTTTACATGAAACTGTGAAATGTGTCCCTTTCAACATGATACGTTTTCTAAACCCTACTGAAAATTGAATTTTGGTTTAAAAGATTTGCACACTTTTGCATCGGGTTTTGAACACTGTATTCCAATGAGGTGATTAATAGAGGGAAGACCAAGTTTTGCTAACCTTAGATTACTTTCCCCCTGTAAATGACACTAATACACGCTTGATTGTGCAAGAATGTGCAGAGTGAACCAGTATTTAGATATTTACTACATATGTGTCTGCCTAGCTTTTGTACTTCTTCAGCTGTACATGCGCTTTGCAGCTTTAGCCTCTCTTCTCCTCTGTCTCCCCAGTTTGGATAAAATAAGACAGTTTGAATGAAAGGGGACAGACCACAGTCTGTTGAGCCAGTTGGTTTCTCCTGGGGTTCCTCTCAACTTTTCGTCTTTGTATATTTGACAGAGGCTGGTAGGGAGGAGGAGCAGCCACAAGACAGGGGTTATTTCCTTTTGCTTCAGATCGGTCTGTTGGGCATACTCAAGTTTCATGCCTCAGACAGTTTGTGGGCTCTGTATATGGGCTTTGCATGCTTCTCGTGGGTAAAATCATAGTTTATCTTCATAGTGATGCTTTGTGACATTAAAGCACCCTCTGAAGTGTTACAAGGTACAACTCACCAGAATGTGTTTGACTTTTATGAGTTTGTTTCATGAAGATTTAATAGACTATGAAAGGATCCTGTAAAAACGGGATAATTCGGAGACACTGAGCCAGTTCATGTTTCATTTGTTGGATATAGTTGTGGTTTCACCTTTCTTTTTATGCTCTGTGCAGGAGAAGAGACTCCAGTGTCTGTCCTTCACCAGTGTCCGTGAAAAAGAATGGGTCATGGAATCCCTCATTCGTTACATCAAGGTCATTGGCGGTCCACCAGGCAGAGAGGGCCTACTTGTGGGGTTAAAGAATGGAGCGGTGAGCACTTCAAAATTCTAGACTTAACACTCTCAAACTCAACCTTTGAAACAGTGAAGCCAGGCTGGGACTGGTTATCACAACAGTAAAGCCTGGACTTAACAAGCATGTTCTCATGTTGTCTGTTGTAATTCCCCTCTGCGGGTCTTTCCTGATGCAGATCCTGAAGATATTTGTTGACAATCCATTTCCCATCACGCTGCTGAAGCTGTCGACATCGGTGCGCTGCCTCGACATGAGCGCCTCCCGCAACAAACTGGCTGTGGTGGATGAGCACAACACTCTGCTAGTATACGAAATCAACAGTAAAGAACTGCTGTTTCAGGTCTGCTGACAACGTAAAGAAAGATATGGGGGAGGAACATAATTTGGCTGATTAAAAAAACACTTCAAAGTGGAAAAAAAAACCTTTGTTCCTCCATCAGCTCTACACCTTTTTAATTCTTCTGCCCTTTCTGATTTTCCTGTAGGAGCCAAACGCCAACAGCGTTGCCTGGAACACCCAGTGTGAGGACATGCTGTGCTTCTCGGGGAATGGCTACCTTAACATCAAGGCTAGCAATTTTCCTGTACACCAACAGAAGATGCAAGGCTTTATGGTTGGCTACAACGGTTCTAAGATCTTCTGCCTTCATGTATATTCCATGTCTGCTGTGGAGGTGCCTCAGGTGGGTGTTACCTCATCAGCATGTCGTAGTCTAGAAGACGTCGTGTGTGCGGAGGCCAGTTGTTTGTGGCTGTTTTCTCTTTGTAAGATTCGTAATGCTTTTTGACTGTGGTGTTATTGCTCTGCCTAGTCCGCACCCATGTACCAGTACCTGGAGAGGAAAATGTTTAAGGAGGCCTACCAGATTGCCTGTCTAGGTGTGACAGACAGTGACTGGAGGGATTTGGCAACCGAGGCTCTGGAGGGACTTGACTTTGAAACTGCCAAGAAGGTCAGTCAGATGCACAAGCTGTTCGGATTTTAGACTCATGTCATTATTTTTCACAATTTAGTTCTATAGCCAGTTTTTATTAGAACAAAATCAGCCACACCGCTGCGTAATAGCAGGCTTTTATGTATCTCTATCTCAGCCATGTGTTCTGACTGTTATTTGCAAGCCAGTGATCTGCTTACTTTATCCAAGGAGCCCAGTAAACTGTGAAATACTGTTATGAATCTCTTATTTCCTATAACTCTAACGAGGCTTGCTTGTATTTTTACAATGAATTAAAATTTTAAATCAGTCCTTTTGTCACATTTACTAAGAGAGCCCTGTATTTTGAATGATTTGAAAGAATTTTGAATTTCTTCATCTTAATTCCTGTTACATAAAAAAAATCTATCCTCCAGCATTATTTAGTCAAGTATTAAACTGGGAATCATTTATAATTATCGCCTTTGATGGAGCGGAATTAAAAATATCCACAGTTTCACATTGTACTTAGGTAATAAGGAAAAGGGAGACTTTTTTATTTCTTACCCTTTTTTCTCTCCAGCTACGCAGTTGTGAAGGTGTTGATGTGTTAATCCAGTGTTGTTTTTTGACTGGAAAATTAGAAATGGAGGCAGCAGTTTAAGAGGGTAATAAATCTCTCAGGCAAGGGTTTTAAGAATATGGTACTGGAAACAAAAGCATTAAAAGTCAGATTCTGAGAAGCCATCTCTTAAATCACTCCATGTGTTCTCTCCATTTCCAGGCCTTCATTCGAATCAGAGACCTGCGCTACCTGGAGCTGATCAATAGCATAGAGGTAATACCTACTCACCGGGAAGACAAAAAGAGACATTTGATATTTTTTGTCGCTTTGTACATATTTTTGCTGTACTGTTTATTTTACACCATATGATGGCAGAGCTTTTTTCTTGACTGTCACTTTAAATCCAGGCCACTTAAACATGAAAGGAAACACACATCCTCACAATATGCATGCTGAGAAGGAGGCAGTCTGTCTGAACTTGGCTAATTCTTCTGTAATCTGGTTTAAATCCAGGAAAGCATCCAGCTAAAAAAAATCATAGCATTCACTAGAAGAGAGTTTGTTCTTTATATGATGCTGACTGGTTGTAGGAACATGAAGTGAGTGTTTCACCCTGCATTGCTAATAGTTCTTACTGCCTTGTATGTTTTTGCCTTTGTGCGTTTTCTGAACTCACATACATGACTGTGGTCCAAAGGTTTGTGTGTGCGTGTGTGCCTGTGATTGTTTATCTCGGCACACACGCCATTACTTCTGTTGACTGATTTGCAGGAGAGGAAGAAGCGGGGCGAGAGCGACAATGAGCTGTTCCTGGCAGATGTCTGTGCCTTCCAGGGGAAATTCCACGAGGCAGCCAAGCTCTACAAACGAAATGGCCACGAATCCAGAGCCCTGAGCATGTACACTGACCTGCGGATGTTTGAGTATGCCAAGGTGATTGAATAATCGATTGACAACCCCGCAAATACTCCCATGGAACATACCTTTTTATCAGCACGAGCAGAAAAGCCTGTGAAGTATTGCGTGTTTTATGGGTTTAGAACACATGTTTTTCTTCATTATGTGCGGTGATGCCAAGTTGGGGCCAAGCGCGGTGTTCTGAAAGCCTGTCTTTCATCTGCCTATACATCATCATGGTCTCAACATATATCATCTGATCATTGTGCAGAAGTTGCACTTTCAAACACACAGACACACACTCCTTACAGAAAAAGCTAAAGCAAAAACTGGAGCACAAATGGAGAGAAATGAAATAAACATCTGCTCTAATGTGAAGACTTTGATGAGAAGGTCAAGGGAGCTTTAAAAAAGAAAAAAAGAATTTGAGCCTTTTAATGTTTATATGTGGGGGGTAGTTTTCAATATCAGCATTCGCTTTACTGGACTAGATGACACAGCCATGAATTGTTCATGTATATTTCTGCATGCATGAGTATCAGATCTTTTCTGTGTTTGATGTGTTGGCTGTATATTTATGTGGCTGAGTGGCCATATGGTCCCACAGGCTGTTTGTTTTAGATAGGATGGACACCGGAGGGAAAGGCCTTCTAGCTGGCTGATGTTTGTGCGACTCTCTTCTTCCTGCTTCAGTCTGGACCCTCCTGACTGTGTCTCTCTGAAGTGGACTTTTTTCTTTCTTCAGTTTTCCCCTCAGGACTTCCCTTGTGACAATAATCATCCCCATGTAGTCAGACTTTGGGATTAAATGTTTTCATACGATAAGCTTTGCAGCTATTGTCATCTGCACTGCACTGTCTGGCCAAACATTGGCAAGAAGTTAATTTTGGAGATTTTCTTAATGGCATTTTGTAAAATGTAGCTTTGTTCATGAAATGCTCATAGCTCATCCCACTTTTGAAGGGCGCGCAATAGTTTTGAGGTTAACAAAATACCAACTTGAGTAAAAACTCAAGGAAAAACACTGGTGGAGGGGAGATGCAGAATGATGGGTGGTGTCTTTTCAGACAAGTGGAGAGACCTGTCAGAGGGAGCGGGGCTCCTTAAGTTGTTTTTACAGTAAACACGTCAATTCTTGGAAGCAAACTGCAAATCATTCCATGTGAACTTCTAACTCAGTCTTGTATATGAATATTTTTCTTTAACATTTTTTCTTTATAACCATGTCTTCCTGTTTTTAGGAGTTTGTTGGGGCCACAGACCCCAAGAGCACTCGAATGCTAATGACCAAGCAGGCAGATTGGGCCAAAAGCAGCAAGGAGCCGCGGGCAGCAGCAGAGATGTACCTGTCAGCAGGGGAGCATCTGAAAGCCATAGATATTATTGGAGAGCACGGCTGGGCAGACATGTGGGTTACACTATTAAAATTTAACATCCGTTCTTTGTTATGCAGATGCCCTTGTTTAATTTATTCTTAAACTACTCATTGAGATTTGTGTTTCTGATTTATGAGGAGATATTGTTGAATCAGACTTGTAGGAACACCCTGTGGATAACTTAGTGGAGATCTTTCCTGAGAATCTATGTATATTTGCATTCACAAACAGAGATGAAGAATGGTGATGAAGTTGGCTTGCAGTAGGAAGACTAGAGAAAATATTACATCCCCTCCGTGAAGCCTGGTCAATTTCTTTGTTTTGTATAATTTTTTAGGGTAGATATTTACAAGGGCAATATTGTACTGACGTTTACACAAGGATCTTGTTTCGGCGGATACCAGTGCCGCAGTCAATCAGTGTTTGCTTACATTGTTTAAACCAAGCAGCACACAGGTTTCTGGTATGCTGTGAAAGTAACTACTGTGAGGTAGGGGCGCCGATAGTCCCTTACTTGTCTTTGGTTTTGCAGCACAACAGATAACATCATTAGGGGAACAGTATGAGTCAGAAATTTGCATGCATCTTTCAGGTACAGTCCATGTATTCAAGCATTTGACTTGTACCACCATTTTCTTGGATCTTTTCGAATAAGAAGATCATAACAAAAAGTGTAAACTCATGAGAAACTCTACTGCAGATATTATTCTGTAATGTAACAAACCAACAAAACTCTGTCATCATCTAAAACCTTTTACCAGTTAAATGAGACAATCACACTAACTTTTTCTCTTTATTTTTGTACAAAATGCAGATCATTTTATTATCACTAGTTATAGTGCACCATGAGTTCTATATAAGGACCACTTTTTAAGACCATCGTTTCCTCTGGTCTAGTGCAGACTTATTGGAGTGACTTCCTCAGCAGACATCTGTGTTGCGTTGATAGAAGCAGACAGCACAAGTAAATATCTATATCGTGTTTCTGGCACATGAAGTGTTAAATGCATCTGGTATGCCGGGAGAAGGAAAAGACAGCATTGAGGGTACCTGTGAACAATCAACTTTCTGTTACATTTCACTCCCATGTACACAGTGGGAATGTGGCATGTAATGGAGTGTGTGAGTTGGTGGTGTGGAAAACCAAGCAAATTGATATCTGATGGTCATGTAAGACCTTTCTGCTGACTCCATCTGACCTTCTGTGAGCACGTTGTTGGCCTCCTGCAGTGCAGCTAACATTGCTGTTGAACACAGTGGGAGCTCTTTAACCTGAACCAGATTAAGCTTGTGACCCTGACTGATCCACATTCTTTCAGGGGTCGTGAACATAGGTTGCTACAACAGATACACGTTTCAGTGTTGTTTTCCTGTAACCTGTCTGAGAGCTCTTTCTTCTCTTGTACAGGCTCATTGACATTGCCCGTAAGTTGGACAAGGCTGAGCGTGAACCACTGGCAAAATGTGCTCTCCACTTCAAGAAGCTGAAACATCACGGCTACGCCTCTGAGACTTATTCAAAGATGGGAGACCTGAAGGCTCTGCTGGACCTACATGTGGAGACCAGACATTGGGAAGAGGTCTGACACACTCAAGCACACTTTCTCAGCTTATCAGGTCTCGCACACAGAAAATCCCGTCACAAAAATTGAATGTGAAACACAGAGGACTGTTCTTAATAAACTACTCTGACACTCAAATCTAAAACCACAAAATGAACAGCCTCTTTTCGTGGTTTGTTCAGCTGTTGTATTTGTCAAAGTACCCACAGCTGAAGGTGAACAATGAGATAATATGTCTGCCTAATTTCCTCATTCGCTTTCAACTAAAAGCCTGCATTCACTCCAGAGCTGATCACCAAGCTTTAGATTTCTCTGAATCCATGCCCAGATGATGACAAGCTTGGAGTTAGAAGCTGAACACACTGTGCTGCGTTGAAAGAGTAAGGGCCTCAAACCATATTGTGCTTCCAGTCAAACTCCTCTATCAGGAAAAATCATGCTGCTCAGACAAAAAGAAAATCCTGCATTTCTTTAATTCATCTGCTGTCTGTAATTGAGTCAAAGCCGTTCTAGAGACGCACTCCAGCAATTTGCATGCAGAGACATAAGAGCCAAAACAAAAAAAAACAAAAAATGAAATCATGATAGGCGTCCTGGAAAATGTATTTAATCCTCTGAGAGAAAGAAAAAAGAGTACGTGTTGGAGGCTTACTGCTAAGTTAGGTTAGGTTTTATGTGCATCTCTGGGGGTAGGACACAAAGACAGGCCAGCCTGCAGCTCCGACTCAGAGTTACAGCAGGGACCATATGGATGCTATTTACTGTTCCCAGTTTATTTAAGAAAACAAAGTATTTTGTTGAAATGACTTTAAGCTCATTGGCCTTAGACACATACACACACACTGTGTCTTTTACTGCTTGGAATGATTGCTGTGTGTTTATTGGCTCAGCTTTTGCCACAGGACATTGAGTTAAATTAGTCACCGTATCAGGCAAATATGTGTCCACAGGGCGCTACCGCAGCTCTTTATATCCTGCCATTCAAATAGAGTTACAGTTGGAGCTCTAATTGAGTGTGAAGTCATCTCGGCCCGTACACTCACTTTGTTTTTAACTAATGAATGATACTGGGGAAATATTTTGACTAAATGTAAAGTGTGTTTATATAAAAAATATGTGGTGAATTGTATTGTCCTAATCAACAGCATCTGAAGCTTAATTCCCCCGGGTGGTGCAACGCTGTACCCTGCATACGCTTCAACAGCATGTGGGACGATGAATTCAAGTGGACATATGAGCTGTTCTCCATCTAATGTATCATTCGTCCTCTCCGCTGTTGATTTTCCCAGGCCTTTTCACTGGTGGAGAAGCACCCTCAGTTCAAATACGATGTCTTTGTGCCGTATGCCCAGTGGTTGGCTGAAAACGATCGCTTTGAGGAGGCGCAAAAAGGTCAGGTCTCCATCCTCAGTTTTAAGCATGCAACTCGCTGTTTGGGTAGAATAACATATGTCCTCTTTTAAGACATACAGTATGTGTCCAGGATAATTTTCACTGAACATAAGTACTACACCAGCAGCCAATGTTTACATATGGAAGTGATAAAGCCTGGCCAGCTCTGGTCACAGAGTTTTTTTTTCACTGCTTCCTCAAGATTTTGTATATCCCCTATAAAACATGATCCTCTGTGCTGGAGCAGAGCAGGACCGAATCAGACAGCCTGTTCGATGAATGACATGCTTGCCTTGCCTCTAATCATCAGTGCTACAAGCAGCTCTGATGATGATTACCAACTGTAGCCATAGTTATAATCAGCTCATAGATTTATAATTATGATCTCAGCAGGCATATTTCCTCTTCCACATAATCGTCCTCTGCTTGTCTCAACATAGAATTCATGAGTGAACAGACCTGATTGTACAGGGGTTTGCTTATGGTCATGCATATTTTTTGATTGTGTGGGTTTTAGATAGGCTGTGAAACGGTGTTGTGTTACTTGTGATTGTAATGGATTGGATTCTGGGCTGTCTGCTGTCCACAAAACTCATACTTCCCAATAACTATTCAAGAAAAATACTAATGATTCTCAAAATCCAATGAAAAGGATGGCTCATTTTTTTGTACAAATGGTGTATCATTATCTATTTCCATTACAGAACAATGTAAAGTGCATTTGTTTGGTTAGGAGCGCTGACAAGGACATGCTGACAGGCTCTGCTGCTCTCTGCAACCTTGTCAGACTGTGTTTTGTGTTTCTGTAAATGGGTGTGTGTGCGTGTGCTTGTCACTAACAGTAACCAACAACAGCTGAATGTGGTTTCTATCCAGTTAGGAGCTCTGATAAATGTTTGCCACTAATACATTCTGACCCCTGCCATGGCTGTGGGGGTGCAGTCACCATTGGGGTCGACTCTCCAAAGCTGCTTTTAATTACCTTCTGATAGGAACATGAAGAATAGCTCTCATGTATAAGTCAACATTCTTTGGTGTTTCATATTTGAGAAGACCCCCCCTGTTTTTAGAGAGCTGCTGCTGGTTATCAGATGTGAAAATTACATTGGCATAACTTCATCTACTACTTTGTGTTGATGAAGTCCAAATTACTTTGGCATTTTTGTGTCTAATGTATGCAAAGTTTACATGCTGTGAATGTATAGGGATAATGCAAAGGTTTGCCATATCTGCACTATATATGATTAAAGGCGCCACTCATTGAAAAAGGGTAATAAACAGCCTTAGGAGACTATGGTGAGCAGCAACCACTCAAACCAAGACAAGCAGCCAATGCCAAATAGTGAAACCCAAGTTACAGCCTTTCAGACAGCTCATACATCTCTCCGTCATGGATATAATTGGTCAAATTAGACTCGTATTGTATCCCTTTCTGCAGAACTCTTTTAAACCAAAGAAGGCCCATTATTCACAAGAGGAAATGTATAGTGTTGATGCATGTGTGAGTTCATGCATATGTGTGTTTTTGCACACACAGCGCCAGTCCGGTGAGACTGTAGAGGAAATAGGGTAATGGGGTTCTGTGCGTTGGTAAGAACATCAATATGCACTCTATTTTCTGTATTTAGGTTAAAATATCACATTTTTATCAGCTTGGACCTACTTTTGCGTCCAAGCTTGTGATTTAGCTATCTTGGAAAGTGTCTGAAAGACCAGGGACAGAGAGAATAGCTCTCCCTTCTCACACTGAAACGTCAGTAAAATAAGAAGACATGGTATTTCTCATGTTATTTGCCTGAGTAGGGAAATATGTTCTGGGTTGTGCAGTTCATAAATAATGGCAGCTTACAATGTAGTAGGTCACATGGAAGTATGTAAACAAGTGCTTCATTTCCTAAGCATTTGAAATCTACAAGTAATGTAAGATTAGACAGTCTTTCCAAATTCTTAATTGACATTTGTTATTTTCTTTTCCACTTATTTAGCATTTCATAAAGCTGGGCGTCAGAGTGAAGCTGTGAAGGTCCTGGAGCAGCTTACCCACAATGCCGTGGTGGAGAACCGATTTAATGATGCAGGCTACTATTACTGGATGCTGTCTATGCAGTGTTTGGACATTGCCAGAGGTGGGATGTGTAAAAGATTTTTAACTGTACATTTTTAGACTGTTCGTCCTCATCCATTTCTGTTTGTCTCAACCAGAAAATGAAGATCAGATGGATATAATGCTGAAGAAGTTTGAGCGTTTTCAGCATCTGGCTGAGCTGTACCACGTCTATCGCTCCATTCAGCGTTACACGGTGAGAACTCGATACTTAGTCAGTCATGATCATGACTCGTACAAATCGATAAGAGTTCTGTTTCTGTGTTTTTTTTCCACATATATTTGTTTTTTCACTTGTATACTCCGTCTGCAGTATTTATGCCTACTGTTCAACTCAGCCTTCTATAGAGTACTGGATTCAGAAGAGTTCTGGGTTCAATAAAAATAGGTCTGTCTCTGTAAGATTATGTCAATCCTTGAAATGAGTCTGGTTTTAGGAGAAATTAAGATAAGCACAGGGGGTGGTAGGCAGGATGAACAAAAGCAAGAGTAGAGGTCTTTAAGTTAAGGTTGCAGCTCACTGAAGGGAAATATCAGCTTGAGCAAAGCTCCATTATTAAACTCCTGGAACCTCTTTGACCCTATCACCAAGGTAACCAGCTGCTTGATGGAATGAGATGACAGCCCTATCAGTGTTTGCACCCCAGCACCTAACCTGCTTACCAGCAACAAAATCCTGCCTATGAGTACTGCCCGAGTGACCTGGCCCCTGTCAGTCTCGCTGGGTTGTTGTTTCAGCTTTTTGCCCCACAGCGGTCACACCCAGAGGCATTGCTGTGATCCACACCAGAGCAGGAAACCCGTGTATCTTACATTAACTCTCCCAGACAGGCACTTTAGATTTGAACTATTAGCTTGAGGGACGTAATGCTTTTAGTGATTGCTTAAAAAAAGTCATCTGTGCCTTTCAGAAGGGATGAGGCACTGGAAGGGGTCAGGCTGCTTTCAGAGGAGGTTAAAGATTATAGTAATAAGAAAAGGGAATAGGACAAAATGGAGCTTTTAAAATTGTTATCAGATATTTAGATTATATCCTAATCCTTTCCACCGCTTCAATCTTTATATTTTTTCTAATCTATAGGATGAACCCTTCAGTTCACACATGCCTGAGACCCTCTTCAACATCTGCAGATTTCTCCTAAACAAACTCAACAAGACCATACCACCAGGCATTTCTAAAGTGTATCCTTACATTTTGCAAAGTACATTCAGTGTTGTTTTATGTAAAAAGTAACAATGGGACCCCTCCTGTCTGGGAATCTTTTCACAACACACACCCTGAAATCAAGGCTGGCATCGGCTGTGATGATGAAGTGGAGAAAAGTAGGAAGAAAACGGAAGAATTGGCGCCACAGCGGAAGCCACGCTGCTTCTGAGGAAAAGAAACAGGGTGATGATGGGGAGGAGAAGATGCCAACAAGAGGCGCATTTCCGCTATCTGAACAAGGGCTTTGATTACTGAACTGGGTGCATACGTACACATAGTTAAAAATGTTAAACAAAAAGTTTTGATTTGAGCAAACATACAGAGTCAATCCTCTTGTTAGGAGGAAGGAAAGGTCTGGCTTAGTGGAGGAAATGGGCCTGAGCAGCTGGGATCCTCTGTGGCCAAGCTGAGCTCCTCCAGCAACTTTGAAGTTAGATTTATGGACTAAGAGGGACTTTGTTGGACGTTGTTTAAAAAAAATATACAAGTCGCAAAAAAAAAACACGAGCCGAACAAGTTACACAATTGGAGGACGTGCATTGTCAAAAGGTGCTGGAGCTGGGTGTGTAGGAGGAGCTGGAGAGTAGCTGAGTGGAGAGGAAAGGTGTTGAGCTTTAAAACCAGTTTGTATAGAGCAGCTGCAGCTCATTGACCTGCACTTACCACTCTCAGAACCACTCTCACAACAATCTCTATATAAATCAACCCCCCCCCTCCCAGTCCAACATAAGAAAGCCAGCGAGCAAATGAGTTACTTTAAAGCCAATGTACCAACTAGTTGACCAAAAGCCTTAACCAGATTTTAGTAACACACTTTACGCATTGGCAAAGCAGAGTCGAAAGCTGGGCGCGTATAAACTCGCCAGGTACTCCTACGAAAAGCTCCAGGAGCTTCACGTTCCCTCGCGCTTCCTGGAGTCCATAGAGCTGGGCAGCCTGGCCATTCGCGCCAAACCCTTCCACGACAATGAGGTATGTTGCAGCCTTTCAAGTTATTGTTCGACTTTAGTAGTTAGTCCTGTCTTTCCTGTTTTCTGGAGGCTTAAACTTGCACACGTTTCCTGCAGGACCTCATTGAGGGCATGATGTGCTACCGCTGCTCCACCAACAACCCCCTCCTGAACAACCAGGGCAGTGTGTGCATCAACTGCAGGCAGCCTTTCATCTACTCGGCGTCATCGTACGGTCAGTGACTCCCAAACACACTGCGAGAAACAACCTTTTGTTGTTTAGTTGAGGTTTTTGCTCTTTAATGCGTGTATGTTTTCGTATGTAGAGGTGCTGCCTTTGGTGCAATTCTACCTCGAGGAGGGTATCGGCGATGAAGAGGCTCTTTCTCTTATTGACCTGGAAGTTCCTCACACAGATCAGAGGGAGGCGCAGGGGCAGGATGTGGACAGTGGCAGTATCCTTTGATCATCCTCAGCACGTAAACACTCAAAGTAACAGATTGTTCAATGTGATTTAGGTGAATTATTAAGTCCGCGCTGGGCCGGTGCTCTAACACACTGCGCATCTCCTCTAATTGAAGCATGTGGCTCTCCTCTGCCTTGTGACAGTTCTAAGAAGCTGTTTAGTCTGCATTGGCCTTGATTCTGTGCTTGTGGGTAAGCTGTCAGAACTAAGTCATCTTAGCTCTTGAGCTAATAGGGTTAGTGAGGCTCTCCTGTCTCATCTTAATGACACTAACCCTCCAAGAGCCGTAGCCACAGCCCTGGTGCAAGGATTAACCTGCATTAGCCAGCAGACACTCAAGGGCACTGAGGTCTGTTGTATTTTCCCAAGGCCATGACATGAATGACAGGCGCAACTTGTTTTAAACACATTACCTGTGCCAGTGCTTTCCCTGGGGTCCATTTTGAAAATACAATTACAAAACAAGAAAAATTATCTGATGTTGAAATGTGCAAAACCATACATTCCACGTACATTACATTACATTTACATTATACATTACTTTGCTCATTTGTCCTTAATTGATGACCATAAGAGCTGCAGTCTTTTAGGATAGATGATGGCTTGGATGATGCTGAGGAGGATCCATTTACAGCCAAAATGAGCTTTGAGGTAAGAAAAGACAGGACAAAATGGATGAGTTGATTAGTATTCTGCCAACTGGGCAAACCAGCTGGAGAGGTGAAAAGGACAGAGTCCATATGAGGATGTGGTTCTGTTCATCTGTGTGTCCAAACAGCAAGGGGGCTCCACCTTTGTCCCTGTCAAGGTGAGTCGCTCGGTGCTGTGCTCCATGAGCAGAAGGGATGTCCTGATCAAACGCTGGCCCAGGCCACTCAAATGGGAATACTTCCGCTCCCTGCTGCCCGATGTGAGCATCACCATGTGCCCCACCTGCTTCAAGGTACAGCATTTACATAAGCACAGCCAGGGGAACCTTAGTGACCCATGAAGTTGTTCCTCATTCAGTTCCTGGCTCTGTTTTTTTTTCTGGATTGCTTTTTTTTCTTCTTCCTTTTTCATTGTGAGTTTTTTCTATTGATCCCCCTTCTGAATCTCTTTGTAGATGTTTCACAGTGAGGACTATGAGCTCCTGGTGCTACAGCACAACAGCTGTCCGTACTGCCGCAGACCCATCGACGAACCAAACTGATCTGCCTACCTGCAGATTTGTTGGTCATTTTGCTTTTTCTAGTTCATCCTACACTCCATCTTCTATGTACTGTTACTGTATCTGCGTCTCACTGTAATATGAGATAAAGTTATTACAGTTTGAATCTGTTATTTGATCTCTCAAAAGCAGCTCTTTATTATCCCGGGATAAATGGCTGGACTAATGAATGTAGTGTTTGTGTGCCGGTCATTATAGAGTGAAAGAGAAGTGCAGCGTCAGCCCGTCGATCCAGCTGGATTAATGGAATCCGATTACCTTTGGTTGTCTGTGAATACATCATAAGTTGATGTACAGTGTAGAAATGTAGACAAAAACATTTTAAACAACTATTTTGATGTAAAGAAAAAAGGTCAGTTTATGCACATGTTTCTCTTTGTAAAGACCAGATATTCTGCACTCCACAGACTGTATAGAGTTTGTATAACATGCTATTTAACCACGATTACTTGTTTATATTGTTCCAGAAGTCTGGCAGTATTTTTAATCAAACACTGTATATATTTGCCTTATTTCTTCATCTTACTAAGAAAAAAATTGTTAAATAAACCTCTTTCACTTTTGAAATTTTGGACTTGTGTTTCTGTCAGAGGCGGAGGAGACTATGTCCCACTGCTTCTGATTACTCTTAAGGCTATAAGTGGAGCTCTGTGCTATGCAGTGCTTAGGGATTAAGCTTTTACAAATGCAAATAAGTTGAATTGCTCTAAAAATTTCATTTAAAGTCTGTCCACTCTGAACAGTTGAAATCACAAACTGCATCCTTGCCTTCCCTCCCACTCTCCTCTCATCTCATTCTAATGCAGCACTGATGCTCATGACAGTAATGATGGGTTTTATGTTGCAGTAATCATAACCTCTCTCTTAAAGAACTCTTTTCTTGTATATGTTGAATATTTCTAATGTATGAGAGGACTCAGGGTGTTTAAGTCCGTCTCTGCTAACACCTCACTCCTACATCCCTAATCCAGCCAGACTATTAAAAGGTGCTGCACTCTTCAGGGGGTTCCAGAGAGCATCTCCTTCCCACATCCCTCCATCAATCTTGCTCCCTCGTTTCCAGCTCAGCAGCACCACCAAGCTCACAGTGCAGCCTTTTTCATCGAGTTCTCGGAGGAAGAAAAGACATCAACAGCTGCAGCCATGAATGGCACGGAAGGACCCAATTTTTATGTCCCCATGTCTAACAGAACCGGGCTGGTTCGCAGCCCGTTTGAATACCCTCAGTATTACCTGGCCGAGCCCTGGAAGTTCTCTCTACTGGCTGCATACATGCTGTTCCTCATCATCACTGCCTTCCCTATTAACTTCCTCACCCTCTATGTAACTGTCAAGCACAAAAAGCTGAGAAACCCTCTGAACTATGTGCTGCTCAACCTAGCGGTGGCTGACCTCTTTATGATCATTGGAGGCTTCACAGTCACTCTCTACACAGCCCTGCATGGATATTTCATCTTAGGTATCAGTGGCTGCAATGTTGAAGGATTCTTCGCCACCTTGGGAGGTAAGAGACGAAATCTGAGACTGTTAATGTGTTGACTGTGTTTGCAACTTTGCTCTCTTAATGAATCAGGAATCTAGTGTAAACGAAATGAGATGTATTGATACCATAGGGATTTTTTAAAAATCTGGTTTGTTTATCTCTCAGGAGAGATTGCCCTCTGGTCTCTGGTGGTTTTGGCAGTTGAGCGCTACGTTGTGGTCTGTAAGCCAATGACCAACTTCCGTTTTGGGGAAAAACATGCCATTGCTGGCCTTGGGTTCTCCTGGGTCATGGCCATGACCTGTGCTACACCCCCACTGTTTGGATGGTCACGGTAGTGTATACTTCAGTGTTTAGACTGTGTTTACCCAGCTACTAAACTACAAAGAAAACCTCTTTTCTGATTATTGTGTGAAGCAGCGCACTTACTTAAAGGTAATTGTGTATGCAGGTATATCCCGGAGGGAATGCAGTGTTCCTGTGGGATAGACTACTACACTCCCAAGCCTGAGATCAACAACACCTCATTTGTCATCTATATGTTTGTCCTCCACTTCTGCATCCCCCTCTTCATCATTTTCTTCTGCTACGGCCGCCTGCTCTGCACCGTGCGAGCGGTAAGAACACCAATGCCTAATAATCCAGTATTAATAATAAGGGTTTGATATATTGTTTATCCTCGTACAGATATTGCCCGCCCCTCCCCTTTTCTCAAGGAGGGTAGAACGTCACATGCTCTCTGAAGATGAAAAGACTTAGTGGCTCAAGGACACTTCAGGAGGGGAGATCATTGCCAACATGGCAGCTTATAACCATGTCCTCTAGCTAAAGGGCAGCCAGTATGCTCACTGTGTCGTCCACATGCTCATGCTGATAACTGACAAAAAAACATATTTTGTATCACAATTATTCTAAATCTGGCTATGATAAATATTATTAGGGGTTTCAAATGCAACTTACAGCTTAGGATTGACTTACAGGGAATTTCTGTGTATTGCCTTACTGACCTACCACACTTTGTAGTTTCCCATCATTCTAGTTGTTCTTTAACAACATCCACAGTCTTTCACACACCATTTTCTCAGAGCCAGAAAGGATTAATAGAGTTAGTTATTTTTGTGAAAACAGAGAGACATTTATTAGCTGCAGCAGCAGATTCCACCCCTTAAATCTAATCAGGGCAACTGTAGTCCCAGTTACCGGCTTCCACTTATTTGCATACACAAGGAACAGCTTCCTTTTTAAAAAGGGGCAGTTTCAAGATATAGTATATGCCATGATAATAAAGACAAATAACGAAATAAATTAACATGGTAAACCGATCAACAGAAGTGATAAGTACATTTTTCGAGATAAAAATAAACAGTCATAACCAAATTTCTGTGCCTCACTGGCTGCTGGCTCAGTTTCTCATTGTATGACATCCTATCATTTTGGAAAAGGCAAATTTAAACTATAAACTAACTTCCTAATCTCCTCTCCGTTGGTGCCATTTATTTGCATGTTTTGCTGATTGTTTCCATGGTAACATAGATTATCTCTGCATTTGCACTCTTAAATATACAAACTTGTCTGGAGATTTTAAAAAATGAGTTTACTTGAAGTTACAGTAGGTGAGGAATAGTTTTGACTTTGGATAAGTCTGTCTTTATTTTTTGCAAAGACATTGTGGGCCAAAGTTGAATTAATTTATAGTAGAGAGCTGACAGGAATGCTGGCATGTTGGTGGGGGCCTGGGGGTGGCACGTATCATAAAGGCCTGGACACATACTCAGGCCCCCTGCACCCAGGATTTTCAGTCTCTTTACATGGGGCTCAGCCAGTTGCTCCCTGGTGCCCCTTTTTGTTAGTCTTATTATAAACTGTTTTCACGGTGAAGGCATGCTTAAAATGTCTGTTGCACCCAAATGCTAACAAAGGAGAGGTGTATCCAGTTCAGACAGAAGACAGAAGCAGAGAGGTTGAAACCTTGCATGCATCTAAAATTAATGTTGACATTTTTTTCTTGTTGAGCAACCCACCAACTGTTTGCAAAGAAGCTGTCCAAAAGCATCTATGTGTTCACAATCCACGAGCAGACCTGAAACAGGCATTAATCTGATGTAGCAGCAGCAACTTGCAAAAATAATACGACTGACTGACACGATGATTTGTCGCTTCAACTTGATGTGAGACCAGTTTTGAGACAAGCAGCACTAAATGATCAGATCACAGCAGAATTGATTTTTTTACAGACTGTTTACTTTCGGATCTCTCCTTTATTTAGTTTAAAGCTCATCTGTCTGTCCTCAGGCTGCCGCCCAGCAGCAGGAGTCTGAAACCACTCAGAGAGCAGAGAAGGAGGTGACGCGCATGGTTATTGTCATGGTGGTGTCCTTCCTGGTGTGCTGGGTGCCCTATGCCACTGTGGCCTGGTACATCTTTGCCAATCAAGGAGTTGAATTCGGGCCAGTTTTCATGACAGCTCCGGCCTTCTTTGCAAAGAGTTCTGCTCTGTACAACCCAGTCATCTACATCCTCCTAAACAGACAGGTATGTCAAAAAATATTCATTCAACTCTAAATCTATTTGTAAGGTAGTTGCTCAGGTAAGTATTGTCAGGCTTACTCCATGGTGTTTACCCGAAAGCTTTACATGATGAATATTGAGCTTGAAAAAATGAATACTTAGGTTAAGCATGAATCAGTGATTTGTGTTTTCTTGTATAATTAGACTGTATAAAGTTTTGAGGAACAAACAGATGAAGACATACTCAGGCTCATAGACATTTTCTTAGCTATAAAAGGATTTTCAGTTTTTTCTATTTCCCTTTTCTTCCCACCACTTTAATCAACTGGCTCCTGTCTGCCACTTGTTTTATGAGTTGCTGAAAATGTACAAAGAGCTTGAATATATGGCACTTGCACATCTCCTCTTGGTTGAAGAAACAAGAATAAAACCAAGAACCAGCGAGAGTACCAGCCTGTAATTAAGTTGCTAGGATTACCATGACCTGGATGCCTGAGAATACACACCAACAGCTTTCCATAAGTGTACTTATCAGACTGTAGACCAGCAAAGCATGGAGCTACTGGAGCTTGCCGAATATTTAAATACTTAATGCTTTATCCTGAAAAGTGTTTGAAAGGAAGTGCTGTGTTTTAGTTTTAATGCATCACTGCTCTTATGATCAAAGTGCTTTATCCTCCATTGATTCTGTCACTTTCTTTATTTTGTGGCCTCCAGTTCAGAAACTGCATGATCACTACTGTGTGCTGTGGAAAAAACCCATTTGGAGACGATGAGGCCGCTGCTGCTGTCTCCAAAACCCAGACTTCATCCATCTCCTCCAGCCAGGTGGCCCCCGCTTGACCCCTCGCTCCCCTTCTATCTGCTCCATCTGTCCCCAGTCACCCAGGGACCCATCACCACCAGGCAGCAATACGTTCTATTGGCCAATCCTCTCGACTTACCTCTCCAATTGTCCTCACCATAGTTGGCAGTGCTGCAACTTCGGTGGGACCGTCTTAATCAAGAGCCAGCATGTGTATTTTCAGCCCATTTAATCATGGAAAGCGTTCAGCTGGTCTCACGGATTTTTAACCCGGCATCAAAGGGTTGCCATCTTGGCAATAGTCCAGCTGAACACCTTCCAAGCTCCCCAGTACCCAAAAGACACGAACCCTTCCAGTCATTGCCTAATTTCATCCACATCAACTCTTGTTTAAGTAACTGTTGCAGCTACATGACCCCAAACCAGGCGCTCTCATTCATATGTTCTGTCAATATTTAGGTTTACTTAGACACTCATTTCTTCACATATCTCAGCTGAGTTTTTCTGTTTGTCAGATGACTCTGTCTTATAGTCTGTGAGGTGACAAAGCTGAGACAGTTAGCTAACCCTTTGTCAAGGATTTGAGAGTAAACAGACTGAAAAGAGCCTTTGTTGGAGGGAATGCATCCTTCAAGGGGCTGGATGACTGAGTCTGTGTGTTTGGCAGATGAGTATGCATCTGAGTGGGTACCAGAGTGTCAGTGTTTGTATTAAAGAAATATGAGAACAGTACTTTGTTTGCTGTGTAAAGGCTAAGTTTTGTGCAGTTGTTTTGTGCTCCGCAGTAAAAGCAATCTGAATGTCTGCACAATGTTTTCCACTCTCGTCTTTTTTCGCCCCAAGCCTGTTTGTTTTTTCATGAACATATTTACAAGGCTTTCCAAGAAGTTCCAGATGCTGGTTTGGGGCTCTCAAGTGAAAGGCCATGTCCTAATGGTTATCAAATGCTCTTACAGTGCTGGAATGCATTTAGGAGGGAAGCACTTTACAAGTTAAGTGTTCAAATATCATTATAAGACTGTTTAAAATTCTAAATACTGTCATTTATTTCACAAACAAATCATTTGGCATCACATTACAGTCTCTCTGATTATACTGAGCTCACTTTTTTTTTTCTTAAATGCAAATTTCCCTCTTTAAATTGATCAGAGAGCATGATATTCATTCGTTCACAAGCACACCGATTAACACTTCTATATTGATGCACCTCTTCCCAGTGAACTACATTAAAACATTTGATTTCTTAGTTGTCCTTTTTTAATATTCTTCTCTCCCCTCTTCATCAACCTGTTATCACCCTGCCATGTAAAGCTGGGTCATACTGTTCAAAGGCCCAATGGGGGTCAGTAGTCCATCTTCACCAATCACACCTGAGAGCACTGCAGGCTTTAGGAAATGAGAGGGGTCCTTCTAATCCTGATGAACAGGTCACTTGAAAGCATTATAACACATCTATAAATATTGCTATGGACATTATATTACAGTACAGTGCATCATTGGCTCGTTCCCTTCGGAGAAGGGCTCAGTGCGTTAAGAATGCCACCAGGGCGTACTGCAGTTCCCAGTGACCGTGAAGACATCCAGGAAAAGCGCTGAGTTCATACACATTCCTTCTAAAGTATAGTCGAGCCACGCTGGAATTGTGTCATGAGTAGAGATATGACATGATGCTTGGGTGGCAAGCGTCATACCCCTCGCTCTGCCGCTATTCACCTTTGTCTGCGGGAAAGACACTAGCGTACAAGAACTCCCTAATGGCATTCCCAGGTGACCGGGTGGGCAGGAAGAAGGCAGCTGGCAGCAGGAGACAGAGATGGCGAGCAGAGAAGGCCGACGGGTTCAGGCTTCACTGCAGCACTCGTATATGTTGTCCTCCACTAGAGCAATGACCTGCTCGAACTTGTGGTGCAACTGCGTGCGACGAGCCGTGGGGTTGGCCTCCAGAGCGTTCACCACCTGACCGGGAGAGACGGGGAAAGGCAAACACAACAATCAGGGACTTTCAGCAGCTGTCGAACATTCACGCATCCATCGATCTACGAGGAGAAAGGGAGGGAGGAAGTCAGCCACCTGCCCGAAAATAGAAATTTGAAGGAAAAAAAAGGGAAAGCCAGCAGAATTAACAAGTGAAGTGCTTCAGCCTCCTCTCTTGCCATCACGCATGCCTCCACACCACAAAAGCCCATGCTCTTCACATATTTACAAAACCCACATCTGCTCTGTTTTTCATGCCCAATAGTTGTCACAATGTCACTGGGATTTACGGGCTCTTAGCAACAGTGTGCTACGAGGCAGAGCAAACTGAGCTGGGGCGAAAGAATAGGCAATCAGGGGCCATTCACAGAGCTCTGTGAATCAGAGTCTAAGCCCCTGGCCCACGTCTGTACAGTAGCATGACAGGGGAAAGCAGCTAAACGGTATTATAGTGAGAGTGCTCCATTAAGGCACAGTCACCACTGACTAAGCCTCTCAAGAGAATAGTCACAGTGGTGAGGAACCATGGGGGTGGACAGGAGGAGCTTGAAGAGTGTTGGTTCAAAGCAAAGCAGAAGATTTGAAACAGCAACTTATCAGTGCCATTAAGCAGATAGGGGTGTTGGATGGAGAGAAGGTAAACAGCACGCTGTTTTGCTTAAAGTGAAAGGAGCCTGTGGGCTGGAAAGAGATGACTGAACATGCTGAATAGTGGAAGCTGCTTGGACGATGGCCCACATCTGATTGTTTCCCCTTTTGAAAACCTTAGACAAAAGAAATGCAGCTATTCCGTGCATATATTTAACCAGGCCATTTAGTGACAAATAGCAAGGTTGTTCACTGTGTGTTACATCTTTCAGCATGGCTCTGATCAGCGGCACCGATGCGTCACGCTCTGATAGCCATCTGTGAAACCTAATACACCAAGGAGGAGTTGTGGCTGCCAAAAAGGGCCAGTTTCAATGTTCAAACATATCTTATCCACATCTGAGATCACAAGAAAAGAGAAGCGACACAAAAATATCTCACCTGGTTTCTGTATCTCTTGGCATATTTGTAGATTTCTGTCAAGGCCAGGTTGGTGTTAAAGTCATTTCTGTACTTCTGCGGGACAGACATCAAAAAGTTAGATTAGATCAAATTCCAAAATAAAACCGAGGCATGTGATTACAAGCTTTGGCAGAAAGAGGACAGACAAACAGGAACTTTTTGAGCGTTTTACTTACTCTTGACTCCTCAGCCAGGTGAGCATTCATCTCCTGCTCACTCAGAGGGGCCATTTCCTGTATCTGCTGGTAGTAGCACTGCACTCTCTTCTTGTACTCAGGGATCTCTTTTGCATACAAAAGCTTGTTGGTGGGGGAGTCCTGAAAAAACACAAACACATTAATTCAGGGAGATCAGTCATGCCACAGTTTATTAACGGTCATTTCAGTTGAATATCTCACACCTTTTAATCATAAAGATGGTGCCTTTAGGCTCAGCAAAGCCAACTGCTTTATACTATATTGCTATTTTTATCACTCCTTGAAATATTGAAAGCCACATTTATTTCTTAAAATGATTGAATTAAAGGAAGCAACATCTTTGTCCAATAAAATTCTGTTCTGTATTTGTTTGGATGGTGGTGGCACGTAGCTTGTCTAACACACTATTTCAAAGGTTCACTTCAATAATACACAGTTAAAATGTGGGAAATAAAACCCTGTGAGTGACTGCAAAGCATGTGGCCAAAACGGCCTGGATTGCATAATGGAGCCCATTTCTTTTTGTTTAATTAGATTCCTCAAGTTTTTCTTTTAAAAACAAACATCAAGCAATCAATTCTTTACACACATTAAAGATTAAACTGTGACACATAAAAAAACGCTGATTTTGTTTCACCTGCAACCGAGTGCAACAATAAATTAAAGTCTTCCATTTGAGCTGTCCCAATTCTTTCTGTGTCTTATGCAAGCCATTGCAGTCAAAGTCCTTACATTTACAGTTTCAACAATTACCATACTCCACTAAAGAGCTTTCTTCACGATTTCCACAAGCCCATCATTTTCTGGTGGCTGTACTTTAAATATCACTGCAATCCGGTTCTGCTGCTATTCAGAGGCAAATAATGTGCAATCGCTTCCATGCAATCAGCTCCAGGACGTCCTCAGGGACGCAGCTGACATCAACCACCTGCTGTTTTTATTCGTCCACTGTCAAGATCTCAGCTCCGGAGACAACAACATTTTTCAACAGGCTCTCGCATGGTAAAGACGAGTTTAAGGGCTATACTCACTGCCTTCTGTTGCTTAGCCAGTAAATATCATAAGCGGCTTCAAATGAACTTTTTACATACTATAATTGCTACACTTAGAGAAAAAATAGCTTGCACTTGCGAAAACATCAGTTGTTGCTCTGAATCAGATCAACCCCCATGTATGTCACCGCACAATATTTCAGGACAATCTTTCAAGCTGTCATGACCCAATCTTACTCATCTTTTTCTGGAATAAAATGGGCATTCTTTCTTTATCTGGTGCCCATGTCCAAATATGTAGCTGTTCAGTTCAAATGGAAGCTGTTTCTCAATGACCCCATCTCGACGGGCATAAAGTAAGACAATGGAGGGAGGGAACAGTTTCCTTTCCACACAACAGGAGTCTAAAACAGCCAGAGCCAGAGAACATTCCAGTCTAAACAACTCTCCCCGCAGTCACTTCAGCCGTGCACACTGGTGCTTATTCAAGCAGGAAGAAAAGCAGCGGGGCTAAAAGGCTGTGGGCATTTTCCAGTTTTAGTGGTGACTACTGTTGTGCGCTTTGTGTAGTGTGTGTGTGTGTGTGTGTGTGTGTGTGTGTGTGGGTCTGTGGGAGAGAGAAAAGGACGGAACGAAAGTAGGACAGGGAAACAGAGGGTGCAAAAGAGACTGGCAGCCACAGCTTTCAGCAGCGGTGAAGGTGCTTACAATGCACCTTGATGTTTTCATGTGTCATGAGTTATTTGTGTCACCTTTTGTGAGCGCTAAATGTGCTGAGGAACTGAGAGTCCGCAGTCACAGTTGCTCCTTACGATTGGGAACCCTCTCTCTTCCTGTCCACAAGGTCACTTCCTGCTGCTTGCCCATCTGCTGGGTACCCCCCCCCATGACATTGTGGCCCTCAATGCTCTGCATCTCGCCAGATAAGATGGTTTTTGTGGTATCTGCTAGCAATGCCTAGCTTTCTACCCCCTGCTCGCCCCCTGCTGAGCTGCTGCTAATCCCTATCCTGTACCCTTCAGAGTCTTCTCCCATGGTCATCATTATACATGCACATACACATGCACAAACAAGCCACCATGAGCCCTCATACTGGAGGTGTGTCATGCCTTTCTCCTTGACCAACAGGAGAATGTGCAGTCATATCCTTGAACCTGGTGACTTCACACGACATGCACAGCCAGATGTGACTCGGTAATGAGGGAGCTGTAGACAAACTCCGTCTCCGCTCTGAAGGTTTTTATGTGTTTCTTTGCACCCGTGGACATGTATTTTCCTGCGTGTGCATCTGCATATTGCTGTGGTGAGCGCACTGGGCTTTTTGGCACCGCAGTGAAGTGTATAAATCAGACTGTTTCTCAGTGAAAAAGGAGCATTATATGATGAGTCCTCAGCTCCCTCTGGGGAGGAAGCCAGTCAGAGAGAGACAGGAAGCCGAGCGTGCTCAGGGTCATGGTGTCTGAAGGATGAGACAGATTTGTGAGCAGTGAGGACATTGAAATGCAAGCGCGCACACATAGACAAGCAGATAGATAGACAGATGAATGTACACACTTTATAGACACACACACATCACAAAAAGAGATCCCTGGTGCTCTTGACCTTGGATCAGCCGAATGGGCTGAAATAACATGAGGAGGGATAGGTGGAGCTGACAATCTGAAGGCTTAGAGATGACCATTCACGGGGGACTCAAAAGGGTGTGTGTGTGTGTGTGTGTGTGTGTGTGTGTGTGTGTGTGTGTGTGTGGAGGGTAGAGTCTGAAAGCTAAATACATACAGCAGATATACCGATACATAAATCTGATTGATGGGCACAGAACAATGAATAAAAGGTTTCTAACCGAGAGGCTAAGGGGAGCTTCATAAAGGAATGGCCCAGTCCCTGACTGGGCGACAGCATTCGTTAGTACTGTATTAATTTCTAACACAATAACCACAAAGGCTATCATAAACCATTGCTTACAGATTGGCATGTAAAAAAGAAAATGGTCAAAGGCTTTCATCTCTAATTTTTAAAAGAGTCCTGTGTCGCCTCCCCTTCATATAACAGTGATGCGTAGTGGCAAAAGGCCAACCCAAATACATCTAACAAGGGCCTGTTCTCTGCATGTCACTTAAAAGATCCAGTATCTGGCTGATCAAGGATCAGGTGATCATGATTACTCTAATCAGATTTGTTCTAATTTACAGATCAACGTCTGAATTTGATAAGCAGAGCTGGGTTAAATGATCTGACATGAGCACAGCCTGCCATGCTCATTGACAAAGGTTCTGTCAATTCTGGAAGCCATAATCAGCTGCTTTGTGATTAAACAAATGGGAGATGGCAGCAGTTTTAACAGCAGTAAACCCCAGCACTTGTTAAAATGTAGTAGGGAGGGAAACAAAATGATCTGCAAAAAACCTACATAAAGAGGCACCTTTACAAAAGAAACGAGGCAACAAATCTTCTTCACCTTATTTAAAAGGCTGTAATAAAGGGAACTTTCATCTTTCATGCACTTTTTATGTACAAACCATGGCCCGCAGTAGTTGGAATAACTTCATAAAGGAGCATTGTTCATATTTATTATCTAATCTCGTTAATACTGATAACCGTGATCAGTTAGGATAAATGTGTTTGTAGGATTTTTCTGGACTTTTTAGTATCACAGTTTGCCAGCATGCAATTCCCAAAGAAGCACATACATTTTACAAAGTTTATAAGTTCTAAACTTTATAGAGTGAAAATAGCACCAGGTGGCAATTTGCTGTGCACAAATATGTCGATATGCTGCAAAGTGGGATTTTGACACTGTAATTTGCAATGCAGTTATTACATCGGGAACTAATTAGAATGTGACATCAAGATTCAAGTACTGAACATTTGTATATTTTTAATCTCTGCTGCATTCATCTTTAAGTCTTACTGAACCACACTTCATTTGCAGGCTGACAGAGACACACCCTCTCAGGGGACCTCGGTCGATTTGTTAGGATTGGATGGCAGCATTCACATTTCTTCAAATGATCAGCACTAACAGCAATCACACCAGAGTTAATTTTAATCAAACTAAACCCGTCAAGTGTGAACACACCCTTAATTTGCCTCCATACTTCCAGCTGCCTCACAGCAACTTGTTTGCTGCTTGACAGGGTGTTTGTGTGTGTTGCTATTTCCTGTGAACTGTTGAGATTGAAGAAAGGTACCGCCGAAAGCAAAGCGGAAAATGCTTCAGAGTAAGGAAGAAGGATAAACCCACCTTGCCTAGCTGCAGGTCAGAAATGGAGCAGGCATCGATGAAGGCCTGAGCGATGACAGATAGACAGGCGTCCATGTGATCTGTCTTATCAATGTCAAACACAAACTGAGGGTTCTTCAGGATGTTCACCCAGAAACGCAGAGGTAAACTGCACAGACAGAGAGATAAGCTTTGAGAAGACTTGCACTTGCACGGTGAGGCAGACCAAAGCGGGACTTGAATCACTGCATTTAGTTGGCTACCTATTGGTTTTCCAGATGTGTAGGGTGTCTGGGTCTGTTATGCCCCGTTTGTCAGCCTGCTCCTCAAGAAAGTCAAAAAAATATTTGACAGCCAGAGGCGGGCGGTCCGGAGGGATGCTGAGGATGGCTTGAAAGAGGTCATCTAAAAACTTCTGAAGAGTCCCCTGTGGAGGAAAAGAGCATAGACAGTTTTCACACACGCAATTTTATGTGATGTATGAATTTACATGTGGTGTTGGACACTTGTCATTTATCGTTTTCATCACTATCAATTTCTTGATTCTGCTCACCTTAGTGGACAGCAGCCGTGTCAAGTAAATTTCAGGCAAGACTTTCTTCCGATGGCTCTGCCTGTGCGACTTCTTGGTCTCTATTAACTCATCATGAGGTAGGACCTGGAAAACCAAAGGTCAAATGTATGAAACGCAGACTTAAGCTATGAACTGCCGGGCGAGCAGTGAATACACTACTGTGCGCTCCCTAAGAGCTGTCAAAGGGGAATTTTCTGGTTCTTGCATTAGACACATGATCCAGACTCCATGTTAAGGTATTTTAAAGGACTGAGTAATAACAGAATTAGGGAAGTGAGGGCAGTCGGGAAATTCTTATGGTTTTCTCAGGTTGCTGTGAGCTGGATCATGTATCTGACTTACTCACAAAAGTCTAAAATGAGATGGGGGGAGAGACAGAAGCAAATTCAACCTACTCTGCTCCAGAACTGTCCTGTGAAACTAACTATTCACCCGGTAAATTGTATTCCAAGGAACTCATTATTCTAAAGTCAAAGGGCCCATATCTCAGCTGACGTTTATGAAAGAGCTTAAGCTGCATTAGCACTGTCATGTCCTCTCCACAGCTTTCTCTTTCCCCCCCTTTAACCCCCCCCCCCCCTCCATCCCCCACCCCATTCTCTGTCGTCAGGCTTGCTCTGGGCTGACTAACAGTGGCACACAGGAAAAGCTCTTGTCATAAACTTAGACATCATGAATAGAGAAACTCTGATTAACTCACCAAGTGTACATACTTCTCTGTATCCAGGTCTTTAACTAGAGAGAGACAAAAAGAAAAGAAAAAAAACAACATGCTATCAGTGAGGTGGAGGCACGAGAGGAGACAGGAGGAGGACAGAGGAGAGTGACAGATACAAGTGAGAAAAAAGAAGATTGACAGGAGAGCAAGGGAGATAGAGTGCAAGACGAGAAAGTGATTAGAGTGGACTGTGGGCCTGAAGGGGAGGGGGGCTGTCTGACAGAATGAAAGAGAAAGATTACGAGTGAAAGGAGAGAGAAAAGAGAGAGATTAAGGGAGACAGACACGCAGAGTCTACGACTGGTTGAAGAGCTGCTGTAATGAGATGGTAATGCTCAGCCAATACTGGGAATAAAAGTATTAAAGCTTGCAGGTTTATATATAGATCTAAACACAAACATACTCATACACATGCATGAACGGATATGAGCGCAAGGACAAATGTAGATTTATGTTCAAACAGGAGGGAGAGAACAAGCTTGAAGACAAAAATAGTAAATTACTGTGCCTGCAACAGCGAAAGTAAAGACAGGCATTTGTGCAGATACACACAAAAACCCTCACAGTGAGTGTGTTCTCATTACAGCCCGCTCTGGCAGAGATGCCCCTGCCTGGCGGGCTCCAGTCCAGACCCTCAGCACTGATCACAGGCAGGCAGGACAGTGTTTCATATTAGCCAGGGAGCACTACAGGCTCATAGCACCCCCTTGATGCTTTGAAGCAGGAGCCAGGTTTGGTGCCCATGTGCCCATTTTTGGCCCAGTAAGACTGAAACGAGAGGCTTTGATGGACAGAGCTGGTGCAGAACCGAGCTCTGGTTCTGTGCTGATTATGTGAGGTGGAGCCACGGCAAAAAATGCACAAGCCCATTAAAAGCTCAATGTAAACAAATCTGTGGACAGGCAGCACTGGTCAGATACCCACAACGGGCCCACTTGTGTCACATTTTGCCCCACAAGCCGACACATGCTAATGGATTCCATCCACGGCACGGATACATTTCTTTAACCGCGCCATTAGCCGTAGAGTGTGTGCCTTGATTTATTAGGTGCGTGTGCTCAGATGTCCGAGGTGTCCGTCGGGGACAAAGGTTGACGGTTTCACGTGTGCCTGTTTGAGCAGATCATGTTCTCATGATCAACTCAGCAAGGGCCGTTTTCTGTGACTGAGTGGGTGCGCGGAATTATCCAAGTGTGGGTGAGCATTTGTGACAAAGCGATGTAGAGTTGGTATATTTCAAGGTGACGTACCTCTCCCTAGGGTGTTCTCTTTCTTGTCTTTCATGCTCATGGCCAGTGAAGCTCCCTCTGGGATCTGTAAGGTAGAGAGAGAGGGAAGAAAAAGAAGAAGAATTAGGAGGGAGGGAGGTATGAAAGATGACAGAGGCCAGGGGGCCACGGGGTCAGGGGTGACCTGGGGTGCACTAGAGCAGCATCATTAAGCATCCCCTCGAGGGGAATGCGGCACCCCGAAGCGCGACTGTGTGTGTATATTTGTGTGTGTGCTGATCTTGCAAACATCCTGAACGGTGGTAAGTTTGCAGAGCCTGGCTGGGCTCATTAAAGTCACCCTCGGTGAAATGGGTTGAACAGCTCCGTCGGTGAACCCAGACTGTTAGTACATGCTGCAGCTCTTCGCTTTCACAGCTCAGTCCCCATGGCTCAGCAAAAAACTCAGCAGAGCACTTGACAAGCACAGGTAACAGGTCAAAGGTCGAGAGTCCCAGCACTTTTGTTTTTTCTGCCACAAATCAACGAAGACATAACCAAACAAACAAACACAAAGACATTTTTAGTGGTGAGCTCGTACACTTTACGCGCTCCTTACAGTTGTTTTCTTTTTAATACAGCTGCCTAATGCAGAGATTGGTTGCTCTGCTGGGAGCAGTTGAATGCAAAGCAAATAAAACTCGCGATGGTAAGATTTATACGAGAGATCTCATGTTTGCTTTAAAAAAGCTCTACATCATATTTCATTGATTTACTACTTCTCTTCTTTTTTTTACAAAAACCTAAAGAAATTACTAGTAAAATCTAATGCTTCTTGTGGATTCCTGTTTACCTGTGCAGAGGGTGCCTGTGCATATGAACACTGTTTTACCAGAGATAAAACTGAAATGTAGAAAAAGAGATACATTTGGCACTTTTCTTCATCGACAAAGAAATAAATTATAAAACAGCTTTCTAGGTATTGGCAAAATTGTTCCATGTAATCAGTTCAAACAGTTTTTAGAATATAAAAGTTATTAACATAATTTCATAAGTAAGTGGGCAGCACAGAACGCTTGAAATGCTGTCACTTAAAACTGAGTGTTGTTTACACAGTTCACACTGTTACACAAGTAAAGTGAAGCATCTGAGCACTTCTTTTCCAACCTATTTTTGATCTGCTGGAGTTTAAAGACTGACACTTTAAAAAAAAAAACATTTAAAGTCCTACTGCGATTTTTCATGCATGTGAAATTAATTGCAGAACCTTTCTACTTTTTCAAACTCAAAATGAGCATGCATGTATCTAATTAGTGTTTAAAGTGAGCTGTACAATTTGGACAAATAGAAAACTTTCTGACGTGAAAAACCAGTAACCAAGAACAAGTCACACATGACAAGTATTCTCAGATACTGTCATTACCAATGTATAAATGTGTCTGTCTACAAACACAATCCTGCATATAAAATGTTGTAAAAATATGTATAGTTAACATGGAAGTACATAATGAAACAAGAAAAAAAATCAGTTTTTACCAATTACGGGTATATAGACACTATCACTGCTACAGTAAAAGTCTGGTGCAAAAGATCTGCAAACATGGACAGAAGAAAATACAATGGACAGCGAGCAACACGTTAAATGGAGCTCTCAGCTTCAGCACCCCAGCTGTTCATCATTTACCCTTTATCTTATACACTCATTTAAACGCACCTGGTAATGGAAGACCGTGTTGAGTTTCTTTCGGCCGTCCTCCATCACTGAGGAGTTGTCCAGGTCCTGCAGAAGCTTACTATTACTGCCAGAGTCAAACCACTCTGGAGGGAACACAATAAGAATAAAGGCAGAGGTGTTAGGCATTTTTCTCTTTTACATTAGGAAAAGAACAGGCAAGACAGACGGCTGTCGTGCTCTAAGTACATGTCATGACCTGTGGAAATATTCCCGGGCCATTAATCAAATCAGCTCTACGGGCTCCACAGCCTCTGAAAGCAATAACTCTTTGTGATTATGACTGTACACTCTTCTCAATGCATTCTGTCATTTATTATATTGCAGCCTCAGGTTAGTTGGGCTTCATGAGAAGAATTGACCTTTTGCAAAGGAGATTACTATATCTTGGAGGGTTGGGAAAGAGAGAGGATGGAAATAATCAGAGAAAATGTGCTCTCACCTAGGTCTACATCCTCTGCTCGAGGCCACTGAGAGAAAGGCAGGTTTTTGTAAAAGGCTTCTATGATTTTTTCCTTTACTTGGCAGATAGTGTCAGTATTCATGACCCTAACTGACAGTGAGTCCATGCCACATCCCTGGAAACACACGTTGATGTTCTGCAGAGTAAAAGTACAAAATGGTTAAGCACAAATGTGTGTCTGGAGTCTCTAAAACTTTCTCGCAGTCATTTCATTCATATGCACACGTGAGTTTGTGGAAGGTGAGCTGACGGTGTGCGTGGTATCGGACCTGTGGCTTGGCCTCAACGTTCTCACGGAGCAGCCACTCTTCATTGAGGGTGTAGCGGGCTTTTCCGGTGATAGCGTCTATGGAGCCCTTGTTGATTTGCTGCTTTATTGCACAAAGTAGCAGGAAGAAGGGCTCACCCACTGTCTCCTGATGAGTAAGACACAAAAATTAAGTTAAAAATAAAGGTAGTGGCACACATTTTAGACACTTCTGTTCAGTCTTGCACTATCTTACCTTGAGGTAGCTGTACATGCAAATGGACATCCAGTTGGTAAGCATTTTCTCCACAACGGACTCAGTGCGACGCAGCATCAGTTTGGGGTTCTTAGAGGCCGAGGCGTCAATAAGATCTACTAACAAGTCTTTCATGATGCTGGTGTAGTACTCAAGTTTACCATGGAGGGCAATGGTGAGCAAGGATGCCAGGCTGCATCTGAGGGGGGTGAGGGAAAAGATTAGCAGAACAAAAACATGCTTCTGCAAACATGCTCCGATGGTGTGTGGCCAGAAGAGATTTAAAAATAATAAATTATGGAAAGAAAAACAAGATTTAGCACTCCCTTCTGCACCTGTGACTGCTGACCCAAATAAAGGCCTGATCTAAGGCAGGGAGGGGGCTGAATCAGTGTCCAGAGGTGCAGGGGATTTCCCTAACAAAGCTCCTTTAATCCAACAGGAAGAGGTTACATCAGTCAGAAAGTGCTGACGCTGAGCAGGGATGGGGATTTGGTCTGGCCTCTGGAATTTCTCTCTGGTTCACAACAATGATTTGCTCATTTTGGGACACCAGCATCAAATCAGCTACACTGGTAAATGACTAAATATTCACAAAGAAGAAGCAACCAGTTGCAGACTTTAAAAATGTATACACTTAAAGAACATAGCCAGTGCAAAACACGGTTCATGCTGATGGGATAAAATATTCTGTCGACACCAAATAAAACCTTTTTACAAACTGCAGGTTGCAAAAACCTGTACTTTAAAGCTGAAAAGATTAACTATGGTGATAATGTCCATAACAAACTTTAATATTGAGTGGAGGTTGGTTGATTTGCAGATATTTGTGAGTTGCAACTTCACCATCTCTCTCTCTACTGTTTATATCGCCTGTTTCTTGATTAATTCTGTTTACCATTTTTTGTCCCAGGACTTTTGCCCTATCCTTAAATGCCCAAACTTATAACAATGTCCCTTGTAAATGTGTCAGAGTGGCTGATCCACACTAAGTCGTTACTTTACAAATACAGTATCTTCACTTGTACCAGCAAAAAGATTGCATCTTTGATTTTAGCCACACGGGTATGTATATGAAATCAAATATTATCTTAAAGATTACCTGTTCAGGCTGTACGATGATGGATGGGATAGGCTTGACCACCCCCACCCAAAAAATGATTTTAGAGCAAATCCAATTTGAACATTTTCCACAGCTCTCTGACTGAACTGGCCATTAGTTAAAGACACCCAGCTATCAGTAATGCAATAGAAATGTAGATTTCTAACAGCTTTTAAACACATTTCGCAAACTAATTGCCATCAGCGCTGCTTGCTAAAAGAAAAAAAAGAAAAAAGGAAAAATGCCCCCTAACGATTGCTCCTTAGTGTCAGTGAAATTAAACAGGCATCAATAATACTGTTACCTGTCTCGCACAGCAAAGTCCTTCTGCTGCTCCAAGGCGTGGACAAATGTAATCAGGAAGTGCTTATTATTGAGGAGAGTGGAGAACATAGTGATGCCCTCCTCCACGTTGGGCCTTGTTGTGTTGGTGGCCTGGTGACAGGGGATGACAGAGGGCAGGTGAAACAGTGACTTCTCTGCATGGTTTCATCCTAACTGGATTACACTCATGCTGCTCCCTCCCTAATTTATTTCATCACCTCTTGTCTCAAGTGACCCATCTAGTGAGCACCTCATCTTTCTCCCACATCCCCCTCCCACCTATTCTTCAAGCACTTCCCTCACAGATTTTCTCCACAGTGTCTGTATGTTCCACTCCAGTCCCTTACTGTGTGTGATTGTCGCTAAATGTGCAGAGTCAACTTAATGAGTGTGGCCTATCTATGGGTGCCACTAAGCAGGGGTGTGATGAAGTCTTCCCTCCGGACCGCAGCCATATGGTTTGGCTTGCATCTTGACAGAAGGAGAACAAGGGTGTCCATTAAGATAAATGCCCGCCTGTGAGATTTATTTGCTGTGACCTGGAAAACACTTCCTGTGAAGACAATGTGAATCCGAGGCACTTCATCACTGTTAGACAGGCTCCCCTGGCTGCCGACCCAAAAGGAGCGCTGCAATCTTTGCTTTCTCTCATTATAGGCAGCGCAGACACGTGCACGTGACTTCACTTTGAGCACACGTTCACAATTTTCCACCCCCCACCCCCTCTCTCGTATACCTCCCGTCTGCCCCTAAACAAGCACACACACATCAATGAGACATGGAATCTGATGAAAAGCATATTGTCCGGCAGTCCAAGAACGCAAGGGCATAGAGGAAACAACCTGCCATCAACTGGCTTTGGTAGCATGTTGTTTGACAAGCCGGATTTTAAACTATCCATCAGTAAAAGCTATTGAATTACATGGAATAGCACCCCCATTTGCACAGGCAAAACCACATGAGTCCATGCAGACCTGCTCATCAAATGCATTGATTAGGTTTCAGAATGACCAAGTTGAGAAACAAGGCACAAAAAAGACCAACTGAAACCCATGGAAGATCTAACCAAAACAACCTCAATGGCAAAGCCCCTCACCTGCCAGTCCTGCAGCAGTGGGTGGGTCTCTGGCAATATTCGAGGTCCCATAGAATGGTTCTCATAGGTGGGCTGGACCAGACTCTTCTCGTAATCGGAGCACATCTGAAACACACATAAACACACAGAGAAAATGCTAAAACAAAGTCATCTGCACTCATAAACACAGGAAGAGGGACTGAAGGGGAAAAACAAAAAGGAGATGCCCTGCAGTTCCTGCTTTGTAGTATGCAGTGCAGAACTAAAGTGAAAACATTTTTGAAGAGACCATGAATAGGGTTGGAGTAATTGTGAAAAGGAAACATGATACCGTGACACGGGGCGGCCATGATCAGCAATAGCTTTGAGGCAAAGTTAACCACAGCTAAAAGGAGGCCTTTCAACACAGACTGCCACTTCAGGACAGCTACTTTTGGCCCGTGCTCTGTCTGTGTCTAACACTGTTTTGTGTGTGTAATCTCAGACAACCAGAAGCTCTCATGGAAAGCAAGAGCACAAAGTGCTGTGAGGAGAGTGTTTGTTGTGTTAGTGGAAAACTATGGAGGCGATACTGCAGCGGCAACCCTTGAAGTTATGTTTCCATCCTCGCGGTTATTTTAACACTAATCTCAACAGTGTCAATGGTCTACTACAGGCCGTATGGCCGCCATTGCACAAGATCATCTACGGTTGCAAAACAGCGTGGGTGTGCGAGTTGAGCAAGGAGTATGTTTTGAGAGAACAGGGAGAAACCTTCCTTGTCTCTGTGCCCGTCATTGTTCAGTCTCCTTGAAGGACCATGCCTGTGGTTGCAAGACAAAGCCCCCTGAGTTGTGCCTGTTTGTATTGGTGGAAAAACACCCACCCACAGACATACCCGCAGTCTACCCTCAGGTTGGATCACACATGAGAAAAACGCTTACCTATGGAGAACACATTAACTCTCCTACAGGGTTTCAAACTGAGCCACATTTGGCAAGACGCTCACTGTGTGTTTAAAAGTTCCAAGGTGATTTTTTTTTTAAATCCTGCATATTATAAGCAGTGGGAAATGTTATAAAGAAAGACATAGTAGGATTAAAATATTAACACCCCAGAGAGATCACTAGTATTGTCAGTGCCAGGAGAAATCGTATAAAATAACAGGGTGAATTAGAGTTTCTCACCTTGGGGAAGAACGTGCGTGTGACAAACTGTTTGTACTCCAAAAAGGGGATGCCCTGGCTACGATTTAGCTCCTTGGTCAGATCTGTCATGTCTGTTTGAAGCTCTGCAAACCCTGAAAAGAGAAGAGAAAAGACTTGCCTCATGAGACAAATTCAGTTCCGGGTTATTAAGTTTAATTTGTTGTGAGGTAGAATAGATTATAAAATTGTATGAGGTCTGCCGTTTGGTGAATACACTTTCACCATGCTTTTGAATGACTATGGCCAATTACAGAGTTGTGACTTCATTTCCAAGACCCGGTGTCATATTTTTACCGAATAGTAAATATACCAAAGTCTAATCCTGTGATCTCTTTCCCTGTTTTTCTGCCAAACTGTGCAGCCAATCACGGCATGAAGTCAAATATTTACCAAATGCCAATCAGAGCAGCCAAATCCAGTCTGAGGCTCTTATACAAAACATGTGTGCAGGCTGAGGTTTATAAGCAGAAACAATATCAGCATGCCCAGGCACTGACTTGAATCTGCATGCTAATATTGCAGCCTTTCTATGTACCAGCCGAGGATAATGTTCTCCTCTAATGAGAGGCTGGAGATCTCTTTATGGTAAAGTGCTTCCTGTCACTAGAGGAGAGACGTATTTAGGTTACAATGGCAGTTGCTTCAAATCATATTTAGCAAAGAGCAGAGAATACCAGACCTGAGAGATTTAAAACATGATTCATTACTCGTGTAGGTAATTTATCCTCCTGCTAACTAAAGCGTCAGCGAAACCACCAGCCAGTTCACATGGCTTTGATGTGCTAGGCCCAAATACTAAATCCCTCTGATTCCCTTCTGATTTACTTTTCAAACAAATACCTCCCATTTGAGTACTCTGGAAAACGTCAATTTCTCCTCATCTCTTACTCGCTCTTCTGCTTTTAGCACTTTTTTAGCCTCAACAGAAGTATTCCTCACTTTGTGCACACTCACCCTGAACCCGGCCACAAATCTATCTGTGTCCTCCGACTAAATAACCCTCGCCTCTCCTCCTCTCCCTCCCACGCTTCTGCTTCTCCTCAGGCTCACAGTCCTCATTCCCACTCCTATCCCTTCCTCCCTCCATTTCTCTTTCTCTATCCAACCCCCCCCATCTATACACCATAAATCTGGGTGCTCAGACGTGGAGTGGCCTTCACTTGGCTCAACTCTAATGCTCTAGACACACACGTGAACATGCAGACGCAGAACTACACACGCGTGCATCGGCCTCCTTCCTATAGATGGAGGAAAGTCTATGTGGCCATTCGGCGTCTGCGTGTGTGACTGATCATTTGTCAGACCCTGTGTTTTATGAGTCACACTTGCAAGGCACAAATCTGTCAACTGTTGTATCTCCGTCCCGTTTCAGATTAGAGAACTTCCAAAACAAATACATATTTCCGCGCACGCACACACAATAACAAAGATATATTCACAAACGGTCGAAAATGTGGGGTCAATATTTCAGTCTGACAAATCTAAAACACGGCAGGATTTATGGTATTGGTGTAATGCTGCTCCTCCAAACACACCTTTCCGAATCTCCTCTCGGATTTGGGACTCCATCTCCTCCATTTGCAGAAGCGTTTTCTGCCAGTAGCGCTCCGCCCTTCGGCTCTTGGTGCAGTACACCACAAGCGCTGCAAAGAACGTAAAGGACTGAGACGCACTCCGAGGCTGCAGCCCTTTTCACAGTGACAATTTTCAACATAATAAGATCTAAGAAAATTTCTATTTTCTGAAAACATTGTCAAAGATGCTACTGCACAATTTTTTCTAAAGTGAGAAACATTTCTTTGAAAGAAATGTGAAATCATTATCTTTTTTCTAGAAATCTATATTTTCCAGTGTGCAAAGAAAGTTGATGCACAAATCACTTCAAGTTATGTCGCACCTAACTAGTCTGGCAAGAAAAGTAAGGATTTGCGAATAACTGAGAACAGCACCAAAACGGGAAATGGTGTGAAAATACACACTGCTAGCAATTTCCACCCAGACGCACTCACACAAAGATTACAGAGTGCAGCACACACACACACACCGACAGATCAGACGGAGAGAAACACTGGGGTCTTTGTGCACTGGATACTGAAGAGGGATGAAGCAAGTGCAGGAAACTATGACCCTGAATTCTTTTTATCTGCTCCACATCTGGGGCATCCATTGATATCACAGGCACACATCCATCATCCCTAGGTAAGCGCGTGCGCACACAACTTACCCACTGTGCACAGCAGTAACAGCACACAGCACACCACAATGGAAACCACGATGGCCAGCTCACTGCCGCCGAGCTGCACTTTGGCGATAGTGTGATGAAAGTTCCCCACTTGCACCTACAAAGAAAAAGAGAAACCTCACATGAAACTGGGTCACGCTCTTTCAAAATCTGCCTCCTCTTTTCTTCTGTTTTATTTCTTCTTTTGCGGTTCTCTCAAATCCCTCTGATATCAAGTCAAACATAAAACTTTTATCATGAAGCAGTATGGAATCATTTACAGTCGACAAAATTAAATTAGAAACCCCGTTTTCCTCAAAGTAAAGCCAATAACAAAGACTACTGGATAAAACCGATTTACTTCCTAAAGGTCGTATGACAGTAAGCACATTTTAAAATAGTGCTTTGGCTGTTTATTCTGTCAATTAAACCGATCCATATTTTCAAATAAACACGACCATCTTCACTGAACTTTATCATGCCCGACACCAACCATGTCATTTCAGGAAAAAGCCCCTTGGCTGCTTCAAATTCATAAATAAATTCTTGTTGAAATGAAGAGGTTCTGTAATATATATCACAGTAAAGTTTGATTATACAATGTGAATCTTGGGGTAAAGCTTTACAGCCTCTAGAGGGATTTTCAATTCATGTCATTTTTTAATAATAAATCTATTTAAAAAAGGAATTAAAATGTAATCAATCATCTATTGTTAACAGTGATCTGTAAGCTTTGATATTTCAAAACACGGCTTCCAAGTCGTCTTAAATCACAAAACAGAATGCTTTCTCTAGCTCAAGCTGCAGGCAGCTGATTAGATGTATAACATTAAAGGCGGTTTATCAGAGATTTTTTAGGTCTGTGCTCTTATTCTAGCACTGCATAATGGCTTGATAGAAGTCAGGGTATATTCAAAATAAACAAAACTTGCTTTTTTTTTCTAATTTTGGTGCCTGACATGGCCTCAGGTAATCTTTAGTCTGAAACAAGTGGTTTTTATTAGCTTCTATTGTTTTTAGACACCCCACAAGTTGAGAGGAAACAGTTGCTGCTCTTTAAAACATGGAGCCTTTAAAAAGCACAAAGTGGCGGTAGGAAAATGTCTCGCCTTGTTTGTGAAATTAAACCTTAAAATGTAATAAAAACGAAAGGTTCGGAAGATATTATTTAGTATAAACCTATGATCTTTATTACTTTATCAACCCATGCATTTCCAGCGGGGCGGGCTGTGCGTGCAGAACATCAATAGATAGACAACTGTGACAAGCTGACATCAACCTGCCAACAACTTATAAATCATCTGATTGCTTCATTTTATCTCCTGCTTCACAGGGATTACTTTCATACACATTTATCATTCGTTGAAACATTTCCCCACCTTTCTTTGTAACACGCTTTAGAAACATATGCAGTTCATTGTTCCTTAATAGGGGCACCTGTGTCTGTACGCACATGCAAACCCATCCATTTTACAGTGGGCACAGGTGCACTCATGCATAAAAAAATTACACACTGTCGGTTTTGAAAAATGGTCTCTCATTGCAGCGGGTTGCAGGAGTCATCCGGTTCAAACTAACCCAAATGTGACAAGAAAAGGAATTTCACTTCTCTCTTCTGATTAGTCAGCAGGGTTTCTGTGGTCCCTGCTCACATTGCTCCCTCTCTTTCCCAATCCCAGCATACTTCATAAATAGAGACTCAGATAAAAAGCCTCCAATCCTCTCACCAAATCCTCCTTTAAATGGTATTACTCTGAGGGGGGAAGTAACTCATTGGGCTTCTCGTATTCCCTCACCTTTTAGTTCAGCTATTTATTTACATGGACCTGCATGAGAGGGACTTCTTCCAGAGACTGCAGCAGTCTGACCCAGTGTAATGCAAGGAAGGATGCCATTGTTCTATGTTCCTGTTTCTTCTTCCTCACATTCACTCCTGCAGCACTTCAGAGCCAAGCATAACAGAGGCATGTAAAAATAGATCTGCCGCTGAAAGCAAGTTAAGAAACAGAAATGGCCATAAGCCTCGCTTGAGCCTAACACATATGCACTTACTTTAATGTGCACGCACAAAGCAAAACACACGTTCGCCTTTTATTCATACCCCTGTCAAAGGTGCACACAAATCATCTTCACTGCTCATGGGCAGGCAGCCCACCCATTAGTGTTATGACATCTCCTCTGACCCTTGGCCTGCCTTTACGTCTCTGCTAATTGCCAATGTTATTTTGAGACATCCTGAGAGACAGACGAGGTGCATGGGTGCCCGTGCATGCCACAGGTACATGAAGAGGGGGGAGGGAGAAAAAAAAGAGCTTCATTTCAAATTCTCCGTGAAAGTGGGCAAACAGCTTTTACGGTACAAATCAACAGACGACCCTTTTCTAAGCTATTTTTAGCAAGCTACTCCAAGTTTGGCTCATGTTAAAATATAGATGAGCTCTTTCCCCCTCAATAAAGCCCCATCAAAACAGACCAGAATGGACAACAGCAACAGTTGGAGAGAGAGATGAAGAAGAGGAACAGGAACATTTGAGCACAGAACAGGAAAGCATCAGTATGTCGTCACCAAGTAACTTGACAGAAAAAAAAGTGAGAACTGAGATCAAGTCTAACTCAGTATCAGAATCAGTAGATATTATTTGCAATGATAGATAGAGTGATAAAAAATAAGAAGGCGTTGAGTACAATGCATCAACACATTATGTCACAGTTTTGTTGTCGCACTATCACAGAGTGATGGCTCACAAGCTACTGACTCATGGAGGCATGCTCAGGAACTAGTCGCCATTCATAATGCATGAAAAGTGGCACAGACAATTCACTTACAGAGCATAGGCTTGTGCAGATCAAATCTGTTTCAGTGAACATCACAGATGGTCCCGATTCTGACTAAATATTTGGCTTGAACACTGAGAGACAGATGGCTGATAATCTTGAACTATCAGGGTCTATCAAGCAATATTTGGAAGACGAAGCTGGATGCAAGCTTGTGCTATATTGTGATGTTTTACATGTTTTTGTACTTACAGTGACAGGCAGCTCGCTTTCGCTTGATCTCAGTAGTCCATTAATGGTGCAGTGGAACAGCTGGTCATTATGGAAGCTGATATTACAAGGATAGGAGCCAATCATCACCGAGTATTCCTCCGGCACCAACTCCAGATCGCTTGGAACTTTCTGCGCCAGATAGGAATAAAGACACCCGTCAGCTGGGCCTGGTAATGACCGAGCTCAGGAATAAATTCATACAGAGCTTTAACCGGCACATATGCGTGTGTGCACAACTGTTTATTTACGCATACCAAGACAGAGCTGTCTGTCGCACAGCTGTCACAGAAGATAGCAGATAGCGCATCCAGTTTGGACAAGAGTTCAGCTAAAGGCAGCAGATATTCCTGATGCCTCTCATACAGGGGCAGGAAGCTTCTCCAGACAAAATCACTGATGGTCATCCCTACTTGGGCCCAAAATAGCATTCTGAGGCGCTTTAAGGGAGTCTGTTGCAATAAGTCACACTGTGTCCTATATCCTCTCCCTCGCTATGCTGACAGCTATATTAATTAAAGGGACGCTCCTCTGATTTTACACTTTATGCATGAGTTTAAGTCATGTAGAGTTGTAACACCATGCATGTTCAAACACTTGTACTGTGTCTTCTGCGGGAGCTTTCTATATCAATGATGTCATCCCAGCTATCTGCTCCAGAAAGCTTGCTTTTTCCAGCTGTGGGTGTGAGCAGTGAAGAATGTTCATCAAGTCAGTAACGATTCTGCTGCATCTTAAATTAGCCTGCATTGTCCTGTCCTGTATGGAGGAACATGTCCATCCCTCCAAAAGTCCAAACCACCCAGCGTGTGGTGCTTCAGCTTATCTTAATGTGGCTGCTGAATGTTCCAAAACTGTCTTGGAGCACGGGATTAAATGCTATTAATTTGAATACCATCTGGTCTGTATGGATTTCTGTTAGGTCTAAAGTCTATAAAGCTCTTTCAACTCTGAAAGCAATTTTAGCCTTTGAAGGGCATTTTTGCGGGGGTTCATTTTCACAGATTTATTAATACATTGAGTTTATAATTATCTCCGTCTATTAACGAAAAGACTGTAAGGTACAGATCCAAGCCTACATCTCATTTGCTTTGAAACTGTGATGTTTGTGAATTTTCAAGCTTTCCTTTTCCATTAGATTTGGATGATGATAGGATTACCTCTCTCAAGACAGTTTCCGACTAGACTACATGCTGTGAACGAAGATATTTCAAATACAAAACCCTCATCTGTCCATGGAAGAGCTTTAGAATCAACTACATTTAAATCTCTGAAAATTGGTTATGAACTCTAATTATGAGACGCAAAGTAAATACCTTGTTTGTAAACAAGTTTGTATGTGATATTCCTGTTAACGTGATGATGGTAACCATCATGATGTTTATATAAATGTTAAAATAGCGCAAATATCCAATACAGAACATTAATTAATCAATCAGAGATTATTTTCAGCCACAGAGTCCATATAACTGCAGCATTCTTCGCTCTCTTTTTACCTGATTTTTACAGTTTTACTAAAACTAACCAGACTGAAGGGAAGACCTACAAACATTCCTTTCCTTGAAACTGCAATTTCCCTTCAGTATAAAAAGGCCAAGTGAGGATGTGTGAGTGCATTTATCCCAAGTGTGTTTCCTCGCTGTGATTACACCCTGAGGACCCCGACTGCAGGATGCAGTCTCCTGGGTTTTTGTCAACAAATGCTTCCTCACAACACACAGACACAAACACACACACATAAAAGCTTGATGCAAATATGCATCGAATGCATTAGAAAAATTAATTTTAAAAAACAACACCGGAATCCATCATAATATTTCAATGTAAATTTGTCTTGACAAATATATGTATATATTCTTTAAGGCAAATTTTCCTATTTAGGATAAAAACTAGCAAAACCCACCCACATTCCAGCTCTGCTTCTTAATATAGAATCTCCCCGGCTAACAAGCTGCCCATTAAACAAACACATTACAGCCCCCCTGCTTCCTTCAAGTCCACCACATGTGGAATTCACCTTCTTCTTTTTCAGAAAAAAAACCAACAGGAAAAAACAGTTGAGTTGCTCATCTAGACAGGCTGAGGTAGCGATTCCTGCAGGGGCCTCTTTCCACACAGACGCATAGAGAGGAAGTGGCATCGTGCTCAGATTTCCCCCTCTGCTGTGTTCGTGTGTGCATGTGGCATGGTGTCACAGCTGGCAGCCATCCAGGGTGATAAATTCATGCGGACAGGTGCTTATATCGGGCAGAACACAGGAGCGGGGGACCTCCCACTGAGCTGCAACTGCACCCTCCTCCACCTCACACCCCCAGCAGATTACAACATGTACAGGACAGAGCCATTGATGTTTTATGTTCCTTCGGTTCATGTGTATATGAACGACAACCCATTCACCTCAGTCCACAGGGTACCGTTGTAAAGTTCTTTGGAGCTGATAAGATTAAACAATCACTCGTTACAGACTTTGAGTGACTGTAAGTAATTCTGTTTAAAGGTTACATCTATTCATTTATAATGATGAGCAAATCAGGTAAATGCAAGTTGTTTGGCATATTCTACCAAATATCTTTAGCCATGAAAGCAGAATTGGATGCAGGAATAATCTTGTCACTGGTTGTCAAAAGCTGCATAGCCTTGCTTTTTAGACGCTGTACAGACATTTAAAGTCCCCAGATGACTAATCCTGATTTGGAGCATCTAAGACGTTACCATTTTAAATCGTGGTCAGTGACACTGTCCAGAGACATCACTCGCTGATAGAGGAATGATATACTGTAAACTGAGATTACAAGTGATCTAACACATAGCTGGCAGTTTGGTCTCAGCACTATCACTTACATTGATGATGAGTGTTAGAGGCTCTCCCAAATGGTGTTTAATAAGCTTTTCCTTGTTGGCGGTGAAGAATTGAGGGTCTTCTACATATTCCAACAGGAAGTGACTTTTGTGAGGTTCCTCCTCCTCTTCCTCTGGCTCGTAATCAGAGGATAATGGGCTATCCCCAGTGTAAGGGATTTCATTCAGGATGAACTGCACAGAGGTCTCCTGGGACTGACTGGACGCTGGGGACGGACAGGTAATGGTGGTGGGGGAGAACACTGTACACTGCTGTGAAAGGATGGCAGAAAAGTAGATTACTCACTCTTTAATAAACTTCTGACTTTTCACATTCAATGACTGAAAGAGATTACTCAAGCAAAAGGGGGAACAACTGACTGATCACTCACTGATTCTCCAATTTCCAGCAGCTGCATGGTCACACTCTGCACCAGATCAAAACGCTGACCTGTCACAGTGATGATCCTGCCCCCACTGGGTGAGGAACAGACGAAAGTCACATACACAGAATTCCAGTATGCACCAAATGACTACAACTAATGTCCAAAGACATGCCACCCCCAATCACTTTGTTATTTGGAACATAACGGGCCAAAAAAAACAGGAAAATGACAAACCTAAAATTATGTTTTTAATTCATCTTGTGTGTAAGGCAGTCTACGCACCTGAGGAAACTCTTTTTCGGGTGGATGGAGCTGATAATGGGGTTCCTTTCATACATGAATGTGGCACTAAGATCCAAGTCCTGACAGGGACGGTCCTCAAACTCCACACACACGTCCACCGGCTCTATATGTGCATGTAAGGCTGGAGGCATGATGCATTCAATCATCTGTTCTGTTTGCCTGAAAAGAGAGAGAGAAAAAGCGGCAGAGTTAAACATCATAATTGCACAGAACGTTGAGTAAAACGTTCAACATGAGATGGTCTGTTTAAAATTTTAGATGTGTTTTGACAGACTCTCAAACAAGCCTCTGAATGTTTTTTTGGATGAACTGCATGAACAAGTTACGCAGTAATTGGAACCCAGTCTGAATATTTCATTATTACTTCATGCAACAGTTTTCCACTATTTAGAAATATGAGGGAAGCAAATGAAACACTTGAAATGCTTCATGGAGAGTTGTCACTTGAGGCAAATCCAAGTCAAGTCTCAAAGACTTCAAAACAACTCCAGCCACAAATTGCTGAAAACAAGTTTTACTCACTCCTTAATGCTGCATTCCAGCGTGTTGTTGACCTTGACTATAACCTGAGAGCCAATGTCCAGATGTTTCCCCCTGATGGTCACTTTGGTTCCTCCAGAACGAGGGCCTTTGCTTGGCTCCATGGACTGCAGCACTGGGACCTACATTTAAAGGAGAAATACATCACATGACAAACAACTCATCTGATTTGTCAAAAAGCCATCATGCAGCATCTGTCCTCAGAAAAGACAAGGTTATCTAAAAAGTTTTTTTCCCCCATGATACTTCTCTTGATTCCACTTATAGCCTCCCCTCACCCTCTAAGGTGCAAATGCCCAGTTTTTCCAGATTGCCTGAGACAGATGCTGACTATAACAGTAATTTAGTGAAGAAAACTGAAGAGACTCAACTCTGCAGTATGCTAAAGCACTGCTAGCGCCAAAAGGCCTCTAGGCTCCAGTTAGCAGGACAGCTATGCTGTTTTGTAGCTAAGAACCTATAATGTATGAAAACCTGCAGGTGCTTCGAGTCAAACATCAACACCCAAAGACATTGGCACATATTGAACATATAAACACACACACCACACACACACTTTGGGTCCTTGGGCGAAGATGAGCATCCCAGTTCACTTCTGCAGCTTCTAGCATCAGCATTCCTGCTCTTTCGAAACTTTCTATCCCCGTCATGAACCTCGCCTCTAGGGAAGCCTCTTATCCTTACTGACAGGATTCACTTCCTCAGTGTGCGGGGATGGGGCAGGCCTATTGTGTGTTGTGTGTAACAGTGGGCGTAAGGAGGCAGATGTTTCCGTCAAAAGATTTTGAGGAAGGAGATGCTGTAGAGACACACATCCTGTCTCCAGAACTGTTTTTCCTTTCTCTCACGTCTTTCCCTCAGCCCAAATCACACTGAGCATCTTAGAAGTACACGGGGAAGCCAAAGTGGAGCTCCCACAACAGCTCAATTTAATGTTTGTAGTCTTAGATTTTATTCATCTTTATGGACCATTATTGAGGTTATTTCCCTGCATGGTGACTCATGGAGTGAGCTGCTCTCAGAAGCTGTTGACATGATAAACTGTTCCAGCAACGAATTCTGAAACCCTCTTTGTCTATGAACAAAGAGAAGCAAAGGACTTACAAGGGGTTTTTCCATGGGTTTAATATTCCTATTCCTATGAGATACTGTGTGGGTAGAGGTTAATTAACACAATGCTAGCTTTCCTAGACCAGTGATAAATTCAGTGCAAAGGAACATTCCAACATTCAACATATTTGTTTTTGCTGGCTGAGAGAGACAAACGACAATGGTGCTTAGCTGCCGCTCAAATGTACGTTTGAAGATTCCCACACACTAGCATTCCTCTGAATCATAAAACGCATCTGTTAACACTCAGCTGACACACATGGGAAGGCTTTCCCAGTGGGAAACAAGGGAAAAAGAGCATAGAAGAAGAATGTGGAGGAAGGGACAGACCAGAAGGCAAAAATCATCAGCAGGGTGGAAGGCTGGAGAATACTCACCAAGTATGAGAAGCTCTCCTTTGATGACCCGGTCCTGCTCTGATCCACATGCACACGGACAATATCTGTACTCTCAGACTCAGACCTCCCAGTGCGACACACTAGCCTGGACACCAAACACAATGAGAAGCCAGTTAATAAAAACACAATATGGATAATACTCACAAAAAAAAAGATACAGCGCTTAATCTTGATTTGATAGACTAATATAAAAAATGATTTTATTGAACTCAAATTGCAACCGAAGGTAATGTGATCATGACAGCTAAACAAAGACACATAATTAATCTTGGGGAATGGTAGTTATGAACTAATTCATCACTTGATATTGCATTTACATATGGAATCAAATAAAGCCTAGAGATATCAGATCTAAGCAAATGCAAAGTTCAAAGCTCCTCTGACCAGATGTGTCTAACCACAGAGGAGATTAAGGGGCTGCTGAGGCTGCTCTCTCGCCTCCTGGCTGTGATTAAACCCTGTGCCACTGGTGCACACTCTACAGGGACTTCTCATATTATTGACACGGTGGTGTACAGAGGCTCGGGGACCTACTGCTCTGGGACCTCAGTGGGATAAATGTACTGGGGGCGGGATACAACCTTCACCGCCTCACATGATCCCCCTTCCAGCTTGACAGCCTGTCGGTTTATTTAGTCAGGTGCCTGCTGCTACAGTGGTTGGAAATTCTCAGTTAGCGATCATATGATTGACAGAGGAATCGTGGGGGAATTTGCATAAGTGGAAGAGCTGTGTTGCATGTAGGAGGACCTGGCAGGATGTACGGTGAAATGAGGCTATGAGGAGCAAATCTGGGCTTGGCTGGGGTCAAGCTGTCACTGTTGAGAATAGATAGAAATCTTTCCTTGATTTATTAGTTATTAAACATCAGGTTGTGTCCATCCCAAACCGAAATGTGCTCTGCGTTAACTGAATCTGAGCCTGAAGCACAGTGGCATTTAATGAGTCCAATTAAAACAGGGATTTTGTTCATTTATCTGAGTAGCTGTGGGAAAGAATCTCAAAATGAGCTGCAGTAACAACCATCTGTTGATATCTGGATTTACATTACAGCTCATTAAGGACAGGGACATCAGATGGAGGATGTCGCTGCCCTTTGAATCAAACTTAAATAAGTTACCAGCCACAAAGGGCACTCTTTGAGAAGAATGCATTTTCTCAGATACTCAATTTAAAGCAGTCTTTAAAAAATAGGAAAACTAAATTAAAAAAGACCATGCAGAGATTCAAGCCTGAGGGAAATAAAGTTGAGGCTGAACACGCCGGAGTGCTTGAGGCTCAAAGTGTTATCAAAACATTACATCACACTGTACGACGTCTGTTATTGAAGCTTAATGGCAAGGATCTTTTGTGTAGCAGGATTTAATTAATTGATTCTGACTAACAACAATGATGATTAGATGGAAGCTTTGATGGGGTGAGCGACAGCCTTTTCATTTATACAATCTAAACTATCAAATCTTTTCATTGTCTGTTCTTTTTTAAGAACAGACAATTCAATGTAGAAAGCACTTCATAATCTGACTAAGGCATTAGAAATATGGAACAAAGATATGATAAAAGCTAGAATGTAGCATGACACAGTAGCCCTGTGGCCCTGTATGCCACTACTCTCCAAAGAAGGGTGTACATCAGAACACCGTAATGGAATCTTCATTAGTGCGACCAAGAGTCCATAGCTAAACTTAACAGGGAAAACACCAAAACCTCTACAATTAATCATCAAACTACTCGCGAAATGAATTCCTCTCAGTTGGCAAATCAGTGCAGCTTTGCCTAAATTACGCAACAATGAGACCTGATGACTAATTCTGCAAAGAAGTAATTAAGAGGACTCAAATTACTTTTCAAGGTTCTGATCATTTGAGTCTTTCCAGTTTATGACTTTTAAAGTCTAACATTTTATGTTAGTCGAAGCAGCAACACTGCTCTGTTTGGTTCGGAAGATTGAAACCCATCAGGTAAAATTACTGCATATACATTGCACATTGTAACAGTAGTGTAATAATGCCTTTGGCAGCATCCACTGAAGTTTAAAGCTCAGGCAAGAAAAACAACAAGAAAAAACAGACTTTTACATGACTTTCAGCCGTATACCTTGGTGTGTGGATTTGTGCGTGAATGGAGTTGTGATGTTGATACAGTTTGATCCCAGCCAAAAGACAACCTGACTCCCAGGAGGAGCACACAAAGCCCGGAGTGACCTCTGCTCCACATTCCAGTGCTGCAGCACAGCTGAGATATTATGCCTTTCAGAGGGCGATATTTCAGCAATTTCCGAAGCCCTTCTAATCATTTCTGTAGAGAGGCTGATGAGGATCATCAACAATCAAGTCTGAATGTGTCAGGTTGGAGTGTTGTCTAATAAATGGATGGGGTTAGGGCCTCTCATGGCTCATGTGAAAATGATAGGAAGGGCAGCATGAAATAGTTGAGCCAAAGATACAGAGAAGCACCCCCATAAATGGGGTGCACCCACACTGACTGTGCCATTAATTAACATGTCAAAACCTACCGAGAGGCCTATTCTCTCCAGTGCTGTGCATTTGCTATTTGGCACTCTGCAGAGAACTTTCACTTTTCAGCACACAGGCAGGCACCTGTTTTACCAGCCCCGGTAAATGAGGTCACATGCACAGGTGTGTTCATCCTGATGAGTGTGTGCCTCAGCCAGTTTAAAGAAAGAATCTTATTAACTCGTAAGGATTATTTCTTTTATCAAACAGTTACTGCAGTCTTTGAGTCTTCAAATAAATCCAGGGGTCTGCTTTAAAATGTTCTCTCATTTTTAATTATTCAAATAAGCTTTGAAATACAGCCAGATGGCATGGGGATGACTACAAAGGTTAGAAATTGGAAGTTGAGAAACATCTAATCAATTCCTTGTTATGATAGGTAATATTTTAGGTTGCTGACATGATGTACTGCTGTGGTGTCACTTGTCAGAACCACCCCCAAAAATGGACTTGAACTCTGTTATCAAGAAGCTGGTATTTGAAACAGTGTTTAGCTCCATTAGGTCAAGACCAGGTAAACATTTCCACAGACACTGAAAAGAAGTTAGGATGTTACTGTGGAGTTACATCTGTGACATCTGTGTAAAAGTGGGGTCCTGCTGTGTGATGGACCCTCTGCTACAGAAGGAGAGGGACATGGATTCATTTTAAGCTTTCTGCATGTTCATATTTGTAAAACATATCCTAATGAATAGATGAGAGCAAAACTACACATGGATAGTTGGAATTTCATATCCCTGCAAAGCAAATATTATGCTTGGAGAAAGTTCATTAACTGACACATGCTCTTGGTTACTTTAAACTTAAAAACTTGTCTTACAAGTTGAAAACTATCACTTACGGCCCTATACAAATTTATCTAATCATGAACACTCTAGTTAAAGGTTTTTCCTACCTAGTGAATTCACTCTGTTCTTAAATCAGAAATTATTTCACAGTAACAAATATAAAAATGGAAGAAATGTAGGTACAGTAACCGGGTTCTGCTGGTGACTGCATGAATGGGTTGTTATGTAATATTTTATGAATGATAAATTAACTGGACTTTTTTTTGAAAGCCTACAGCAGTCTATAAACTGATTCTTGTATGAAACACTACGGAAAAATTACACTCAAGATTAGACCAAAAATTACTAAATATAAGTCCTGGATTTGGATTTGTAGATGCAAATATCGCCATGAACTGCACTGATAGCACAGATGACAAACAGTGGATATCTCTGTTGAATTATCCCCAAAATTTGATCAAAATCAGTCCACAGTCAGAAATCAGAAGTGATTCTAAGATTATAATAAAGATCTTTTTGTTTCTGACCTTTTTCTAGCTGAGAGGATAATGAAGACAGCACCTTGCTTCCATTAAAAATAGGCACCTCTGACTGTGCTCCCTGATTTATGGGTGTTACAGCACAGAGATGCACTAGTCAGGATTTTTTTTCAGTAACTGTGACAAATCTCTTTTACTTTTCCTTTCGTGCACGCAACTATTTCTGCCTGCCATCCACGTGAACACGCACCTGCCAGGGAGCATATCAGGTTACCATGACAACATGTAATTGTCACCTATCATGACAAGTCTTGGCTGCAGCATTGCTGCATATTTTAACATGGTTTTATATAAAACCATGTAGATGATAGAAGCCATCAAACACACAAGGTGTTAAAGGAGGGACAGATCTGTAAATACTGCTGTGGCTGATTCAGAGCAGCTGACTTTTGACTCAGCTGCGTGTTGTAATACTTACTCCACGGAGACAGTATAGCGATTAGGTAGTAGATCACATGGCACGCTGCCTATAAAGACCTCCACTGCATCAGCCCTCTGGCCCAGGTTCTTGCCTTGTACTGTCAGCAATGTGCCTCCTTCAACAGGACCCCTCAGGGGCAAGATCTGACAAAGACAGTGAAAAACAATGAACAGAGGGAAAGAAAAGCCTGTAAAAAAAAAAGCTGAGATGAATTATAGCACATAAGTAGATTACCTCCTGGCAACACTCAACAGCTAATGATGGGCGATAATTAACATGGCATAGAATAAAGAGAATAGACATGGTGTATCTGATTCTGACATGGAGTGTGGCACCCACGGAGACGGGGATCCAATTGAATAGACACGGTTTAGGTATATACACACGCAAAGCTGACTCTTAACTGTGCCAGTCTGAGACTCCACGTCCTCTAATCCTCTACAGCACATGCAAATCAAGAGCAGCCTAAGAGCCCCCTTCACATCCCACAAGAGACAGACAGAGTGAGAAAGCAAGGGCTGGAGAGGCGAGGTGGAGAGCGCAGCAGAAAGGTGGATGAGTAGGGGAGGCAATTTAGAGAACCGTGTTGAGAGGAGAGTGAATGCTGATGATGGTGGTGAGAGAGCAAAGCCTCAACAGGGGAATTAATGCACGGTGCCTTTTCCTTTCATCTGTTTTACTGTGTCTGCGCCGTCAAATTCCTTAGTCCTATTTCTGCTGTTGTTCAGAGGCTTTCTCTCACGCGTCATTTCAGCCCCCATCTTTGCTCTCCTAACTTTCCATTTGGAGAGCACTGGGAGAAAGGAGAGGACGGTCACCTCTTCAGTCCCCATGAAAACGACTTTAAAGATAGCATCGCCATAGCCAAGACAGAGGAAATCTACCATCATCTCGCAACTGTAGCATGGTTCTCTGAACAACCTCCAGGCTGGGCTGAGGTCACACTGACCCCTCAGTGTTATTACCCGGGCTTCGGCCCTATCAGAAACCGAGCTGAAGAATGAAAACAGCACTTCTGTTTGGTCTGGGTGAGAGAGGACAAGGTTTGGCTGAACCAAAGATAATTTGAAATCCCAAAGAGTGGGAGTACAGATAAATAAACCATATGTATTTTACAGCTAAAACTGAAGGCGATTAAGAAAAGAAGGAAAGCATATCCAGTGTCTTATTACTGCGTTAAAACAAACAGTTGGAAATGAATGTATTTCTGTGAGCTCCTCAGCACAGGAAATAATTCTTATGTTTTCATGATTGTAGTAATCCTTTGAATATTTTATGCGACTATACTGTGACCTTCCACCGGATGTGCACGGCTTCCTCCCTTTACCAGAAACAGACCCAAATGTTTCCATGCATCATAACCATTCAGCAAACAACTTTGTATATAGCAAACCAGGCCAGTGAGACTGCTTATACCGTTGACACCATCTATCTTATGGCACCAAGTGTAGTGGGTCTCCATAGTACCATTGGGCATTCATACTAACATCAGCTTGCATACTGTTCATTTACACCTCTCTGATGTTTGCGAGTTTTGATTTAGGGAGCAAACTCTGCCAGGCCTTCAGGGATACCGAAGGGTGTGAATGCGCCAGCAAAAACCTCCAGACTCAATGCTAGAGCGATTAAACACATGCAACGGGCCAATTATTCACCATGCAAACATGCTCCAAAAGAGTGTACATGCAGCTACCCGCCCAAGATTGAATATTAGATTGCTAATAAAAAACACATGCTTCCTTTTATTTGTTTATTATCTCTGAGTAGACTGTTTAAAAGTAAGGGCTTTCATCTTCCTCCCGTTTGTCCAGGACCTCTGCATCACACTAATCAAAGAGGACGCAAAGACAAAAACAGGAAAAAAATCCCCACTGTACTCTGCCCTTCCCCACCCATCCCCGGTCCAACACACTCTCCAGCCTCTCTCCTAACCCACTCAGGTCTCGGCCAGATCTCTCTGTTCTTTTTTTCTTTTCATGTCCAGGATAAACTCTATTTGTCAGTTTCTGTTTTGGATGCTGAAGCCTGTTTTCTTTTACCGCGGTGGACTAGCCTACACATAACATGAGAACAAAGAGTCTGCGGGGATAATAAATGTTCCTTTTGTCTGCTGCCAATACATTGAGCAGGGAGCATTTTTCACAATTAGGTGGTAGGTGGCAAAGTTTAGTGAATAATGAATTTCTCCATTTTAATATTGATATTTTGGCTTTGGTATCTGGCACTTTGGCATTGAAGCGGGGAGACAAACGCGTTCCATTATCTTAGCAGAACCCCGTCACTAAGAGCATAAAATAAATCTGCCACAGAATGTGCATGTGTGTGAATGTTTAGGGAGAGTGGATCTTTTTTCTTTCAGAAGGCTTGAGTGTTTGGGCTCTAACCCCTGTGGATTCTCTGGGAAAACACGGCTGCCAAAGCATTGCATCACACACCCCACTGAACCACAGCCCCAGTATCCTCTTTCTAAAATCCAACCTCCTACAAGAGCCAGTTGGGAGTGTGTGTGAGAGAGGGCAACAGTACTGCAGCAATAGTCTACCCACGGGTACTGCGTCTCTGTCCAGCTAACTTCACTCGCGAAAGAAGTCCAAATGAGTTCGACTCTCACAGAGCATCCTGTTAGTCACAGTGTGCTGACGACTACAAAGAATGGAGGATAATCATGAATGCTTCAAAATGGTCTGTTTGCGTGACAGATTGCAGGTTTATGTGTGTCTATGTGAGAGTTTGTGTGTCTTTGCCTGTCTTGCTCTGCTGCTTATTCTCCCGGGCAGACCAGGTTTTATCTACAGGAAGTTCAGGACGACTGGGTCTCATGTGAGCCATACTTCCCATGACCGCCTACCATGGCTGTGCTGATATAAGCTGCAGGAAAGGCTTGGAGGATGACTCTAAACACCCCCCCCCTCCATTACAGTTAGACAAACAAATGAACATGGTCATGCAAATAAGCTCCATAAGCTGTTTGAGAGAGGGAAATGTCAGTAATCACGATGACATGACCGCAGTCAGATACTGTGTCTGATAAACGCCCCTTAACTCCTTTTAAGAGTGTGGTTTTGCTCCTGTTGTGGTTAAAAGTCTAAAATCCCACATGGCTGCTTCCTTTTTAAGCTTTTGTGGGTTTTCTTTTTTTTACATAAAGAGCTCAAAGCATATAGCTCTTAGACCCCAACCCACAGACTTCACACACACACACACACACACACACACACACACACACACACACACAC